TACCACCGACTGGGTAGATGGCAAGGCACTGCGGTTAATCTTTCAGAATCTTCTCGTGGAGCGCAATGAGGGTGTTTTGAAACTATCTATCCAAGTCTGGTCCGAGCTGCTCAAGGTTGTTGAGTTGCGTGGCTCATTCGGATCCGAGGCCGAGCTGTCAGAGTCAGTCCAACCTTTGGTCACCCTGACTCTGGGCGCTTTCGGTGTCCCACGATACCCCATCCCCATGAACGCATCACTCTTTATCAAACCGTCTGGCGTGCCATTCTGTGCTGCTCCTGCTCCCCCTCCCTCCAAGTCCTCTCCTCCCCTCGCCACTCCCGGCGTGGCCGAGACACCCAAGCCGGGACGCAGACGCAAGTCAGAGAAGAAGGAAGCGCCCCCTCCCTCAGCCCACAACGTGGATGGCCATATGTTGTCCGGTGATATCGATCTCGTCGGTGCCGACACCATGCTGAGATCAAAGATCTATGCCGCCAAGGCATTGGGTGAACTGATTTCCTTCTGGGACAAGTATGACCTTCCAAGCCTTTGGCCCGCGATTTTGGACGGGTTAAAGTTCCCTGCTTCCACAACACAGCTTTCTTCCGCAATGGTTATAGAGGAGTATGCTCGCCGCTCTGGATCAGAGAGCAAACACACTTCGACTTTGACAGACCATCTCCGACCTATCCTTGAAGGCGAGCGTCCATCCTGGTATGTCGATATTGCATGCTACCTCCATGTCGCTCGCGCTCAGTGCCATTCATTGTTGAACACGTTTCGCGACCATGCACATGTTGCACCCTCCCGACTGCCCACATTGGCTGTCGTCGTACAGGGCGACGCAGAAGCCGGACCCAATGCCTTCTCTCTGGCTGATGCCGAGAAGATTGTTGGACCAGACTTTGACCGTCTGAAGAAGAACTTGACACCCGCTCAACGTATCACTGCTACTCAAGTATTAAATGATACCCGCACCACCGCCCAATCCGCCGTCGATGAGGCGAGATTGATGAGAGAACAGCGGGACATGCGTGTGCTGGCTGCAACCGCAGGCGCTCTCATTGCCTTGCGCGATATTCCCAAGAAGCCTGGTCATATCATCAAGGGCATGATGGACAGCGTCAAGAAGGAGGAGAACGTGGAGCTCCAACAGCGCTCTGCAACCGCCGTCGCAGGTCTCATCGAGTACTACACAACTGCCACAAAGCGCGGACCAGTGGACAAGATCATCGGAAACTTGGTCAAATACTGCTGCGTGGATACATCCGAAACCCCCGAGTTCCCCCACAACGCTCAGTTGGAGAAATCGATCTTGTCGTTGCGCAAGGAAGAAGATCGACGCGACCACCCGGATGCGGCCAAATTCGAAAGAGAAGCCAAGGAGGCACGCATTATGCGCCGCGGTGCTAAGGATGCATTAGAGCAGTTGACTGTCAAATTTGGCGCTGACCTTCTGGAGAAGGTTCCCAACCTCGCGAAACTTGTTGAACGGCCATTGCGAGAGGCTCTGGCAGTCGATGACCTTCCCGAAGACATCACCAAACCCGAGAACGAACTTGGCCAAGAAATCGTGGATGGTCTGTCTACGCTACGGGCTCTCCTGCCTAAGTTCGATCCTGGCCTCTACCCATGGGTTATCGACCTTATGCCTATCATTGCCAAGGGTCTTCAGTGCCGACTCTCTGTTATTCGCTACGCCGCAGCCAAATGTTTCGCTACTATTTGTAGCGTCATCACCGTCAACGGTATGACCATGTTGGTCGAAAAGGTGCTTCCTATCATCAACAATGGTCTTGATGTGCATCACCGCCAAGGTGCGATCGAGTGTATCTACCATCTTATCCATGTCATGGAGGATGGCATTCTCCCCTATGTCATCTTCCTCGTTGTTCCCGTTCTTGGCCGCATGAGCGATTCTGACAACGATGTGCGTCTCCTGGCTACAACCTCATTCGCAACCCTCGTCAAATTGGTGCCCCTCGAGGCAGGTATCCCTGACCCCCCCGGTTTCTCTGAGGAGTTGCTCAAGGGCCGTGACCGGGAGAGGAAGTTCATGTCTCAGATGCTGGATGTGCGCAAGGTTGAACCTTTCCAAATCCCTGTCGCCATCAAGGCCGAGCTTCGACCATACCAGCAAGATGGTGTCAACTGGCTTGCTTTCCTCAACCGCTACAATCTCCACGGTATTCTTTGCGACGACATGGGTCTCGGAAAGACTTTGCAGACAATTTGCATTGTGGCAAGTGACCATCATATGCGTGCTGAAGAGTTTGCCAAGAGTCAATCTACCGACTCTAGAAAACTTCCTTCCTTGATCGTCTGTCCACCCTCTCTCTCTGGACACTGGCAGCAAGAAATCAAGCAGTACGCACCGTTTCTCAGTTGCATTGCTTACGTCGGTCCTCCCTCCGAACGGTCGAGGCTCCAACCTCTGTTGGCCAACACCGACATTATTGTCACTTCCTACGATGTTTGCCGGAATGATAACGATGTGCTCAACTCTATTAACTTCAACTACTGTGTGCTTGACGAGGGTCATCTTATCAAGAACCCCAAGGCCAAGATCACTACTTCCGTGAAGAAATTGGCCAGCAACCACCGTCTCATCTTGTCCGGTACACCCATCCAGAACAATGTTCTCGAGCTGTGGTCGCTCTTCGACTTCTTGATGCCCGGCTTCCTCGGTACGGAAAAGGTCTTCTTGGACCGGTTCGCCAAGCCCATCGCAGCAAGCCGTTTCAGTAAGTCCTCTTCAAAGGAACAGGAAGCGGGTGCTTTGGCAATCGAAGCACTGCACAAGCAAGTGTTGCCATTCCTGCTTCGTCGTCTTAAGGAGGAAGTCTTGAACGATCTGCCACCCAAGATCATCCAGAACTACTACTGCGACCCAAGTGAACTCCAGAAGAAGCTATTCGAGGACTTCAGCAAGAAGGAACAGAAGGAGCTGGCAGACAAGGTCGGCAGCACAGACCGCTCTGATAAGGAGCACATCTTCCAGGCGCTCCAGTACATGCGTCGTCTGTGCAACTCTCCTGCACTGGTGGTCAAGGAAGGCCACAAGCAGTACAACGAGGTGCAAACCTTCCTGAACACAAAGCGATCAAACATCAGAGATGTTTCTCACGCACCAAAACTCAGCGCCTTGAAAGACTTGTTGGTCGATTGCGGTATTGGCCTTGACCCCGCGGCGGAGGGTGAACTGGACACAGGCGCAAGCTACGTTAGCCCTCACCGGGCACTTGTGTTCTGTCAGATGAAAGAGATGCTGGACATTGTGCAGAACGATGTTCTCAAGAAACTTCTTCCATCTGTTCAGTACCTCCGCCTGGACGGTAGCGTGGAAGCAACCAAGCGCCAGGACATTGTCAACCGTTTCAACACCGACCCCAGTTATGACGTCTTGCTCTTGACTACCAGCGTTGGTGGACTGGGTCTCAACCTTACAGGTGCAGACACCGTCATTTTCGTGGAACACGACTGGAACCCGCAGAAGGATATCCAGGCCATGGATCGCGCCCATCGTATCGGCCAGAAGAAGGTTGTCAACGTCTACCGTCTGATCACGAGAGGTACTTTGGAGGAGAAGATCTTGAAGTAAGTTTATTAAACCTACACACCAAACTGCGAAGATGTAACCAACTAACATAACACACAGCCTGCAACGATTCAAGATCGACGTCGCCTCCACCGTGGTCAATCAACAAAACGCCGGCCTCGGCACCATGGACACGGATCAACTCCTTGACCTATTCAACCTCAGCGAAACGGCAGAGACAGCCGAGAAACCAAGCGATCAAAATGGCAATGAAGTCGACATGGTCGATATCGACGGCGAAGTCAAGGAGAAGGGCAAGAAGGGCTGGCTAGACGACTTGGGCGAGCTCTGGGACGACAGGCAGTACCAGGAAGAATACAACCTGGATTCGTTCTTGGAAACCATGAAGAACTGATCTACCCTGCCCGTCGCCATCTCAACCAATGTCTATCCAACCTTGCATTGAACCTCGGATACGTCTGATGACTTGACTTCATCTTCGTTCCAATCTCACCATCTTGGTTTATACAATCACCTCCCACCCTTGAATCTCAGTCACCCAATTCCCTTTATCCCCTCCTATCACCCTCTACACCCCCATTCCCATCCCGAACGATTTTCATGTCTAATGCCACTGTACTATCCCCATGTTCTTTCTTCCCGTGGAGGCTCTGCATTGTCTGTACAACAGACCGGGGCATAATAACCCATTTCCCTCCATTTTCCATTTTCCATTTTCCAGATTCCATTTTTCATGTTTCAACAGTTGGGAAGGCCTTTTGATTTATGCGTGTTTTCTTACTCCCCAATTGATTCTTCTTCATGTATTGCTAGCTTCATTTATCATTGCCCCTGATGGATGGATCCTTACCTTATCCTGTATGTACATAGCAAAGTCCTTTGACTCATCCAGACTTTACTCTTCCCTGTAGAACAAACTAGGTGGACGTCGACTAGCTGACAGGTAAGCTCTGCATGCGCCCAGCAGGCTAACGGCCCTGGCAAAGCTACTCTACACAATGTACACTACATGGTAGTACAGAACTCATGATGAAACTGTCATTGTTGCCAATAAGTACATAGACAAAGACGAAAGGAAAAAAGCAAAGACGCCTGTCACGTTAGAAATAGCCTGAAAACGTAACCTTTGTATCTTAGACGCCAAATCCCACACAAGGCTCATTTCGAGCCCAAAAGACAAAGAAGAACACCAGGAATGGAGGAAAGGGAAGAAAACCGTAGGATCTTTCGACTCTCGACAAAAAAGAAAAAAAAGTTAAGTAGATACAAGCAAGAATGGGAATGTTGGTTCGTTGACATTGCAGACGAGCATAACTGCAATGTGTGATTGGCAGAAAAGATTGCGAAGATGAAATTGCTTGAATCAAAAACCAGATGCTGATCATAATCCCGAAGAAAAACAGTTCATCAGAGACGCGGCCTAACGCGCCAGGCGTGTACCTATTATGTCATGGCGTGTTTAGGCGTGCCCCTTTGGCTTGGATAGCATGTTGAGACGGCTCATGCTGAGGACACCGCGGTTCTTTTGTCTCGTGCTGGCAGGGGTGCCAGCCTTTCCGGTAGAAGGCCGCACTGGGGTCTTGATGATGCGCTTCGCTGGGCTTGGCTTCACTGGGCTCGGAGTGGGTGGGTTTGACTTTAGTCTCTTGGTGCTGCGCTCGTCGGTGTGCGCATCAGCCGGTGGGACGTTCTCGGTGTTTTCGGCGTTGGAAGTGTCATCGACCTCGCTACGATGCCTTTTCTTGTTGCCGATTCCGTGAGCAATTCCGTGAGCAATCACAGGAATTTCAGGATACGAAGCAGTCTGTTCCACAGCGTTCGAGGGGCGCACGCGACGGATGGATGAGATGCTGGGGGAATCAACAGCGGCAGCCGAGATAGCAGAATTCTTCTCTGGCGTGAGAGTAGGGAGGATCGGATAGAACACATCGGTGGAAGTAGACCGTTGCTTGACGAAGGGGGTCTTGGAGGGCGTGGGAGACGCCTGAGCAAGCTCCTGACGGGATTTGACACTTGGAGTAAACTCAACATGCTTCTTTGGCGAAGGCGTTGGAGCGGAGTCAGTCAGGTCAACAGTGGAGCCCCCAAAGAGCGTGTTGGGTTTAAAATCAGGTGCAGCAACATGGGTGCCAGATGCAATCTTGGCAGGATCACGAGAGAAGAGAGGCTGACGCCGGCGAAGAATAGATCGAAGGTTGCTGAGGGTTGGCAATTTGCCCTTGAGGCGTGGGTTGAAATCGGTACGAGGTGTTCGTGGCGAGGCAATCGTTTTAGCAACCGGGGAGAATTTCAACGATGGGATCATGGAAGTCTTCGGCGCCTTGATACTGGTAGCAGTTGAGCGAGCGAGGGAAGCACGGGTGGGGGTCATGAGTGAGTTGCGAACACCTGGGCGAGGGCGTGGACCCGCGGGTCTGCGAGGCGTCTCAGGTTTCTCCACAGTCTTCTCCGCAGGTTTCACTGATCCACGAGATGAGATATCTCCGGTTTTGTTGTGCTTCACACGCTTAGCGGTAGCGGCAGGAGTAGGAGCAGGCAAAGCCGAGTTCTTTGCGGCAGGCCGAGAGGGAGATGAGTTTTGGCTCTCCGGCTCGTCAAGCTGCGCTTTGGATTTAGATCGCTTGAGGGTCTTGGTAACAGGCTGGAAGCGACCAGGAGTAGCGCGGAATGCCGAAGCGTGTCCAGCAATCGAGTCCATCTTCTTAAATTCGGCCATGTGCACATCGCTGAAACGGCCAGCCCTGCCCTTCGGCATGGCAATCTTCCGATCTCCGTGCTCTTCATGATCTTGCTTTGATTTGTCGTGAATCATCTGGGCCTTGATTCGGGCTACGTCGCCACGGACACTTTCCATGAGTTTCTTGGCCTGGTCGCTGAGATCGTTTTCTTCGGAGGAGAACTTGAATTCGAATCCTGGATTTCCAAATTGGGTAGTCGCGGGAGATGCCTTGGATTTGGTAGGTGTGTTGTCAATTACGCCTTGCTTGACAACTTTGCCATCAGCATCCTTCTTGACGGGGTTGAATCCAAGGATCAGCCCCGAGTCCGCGCGTTTGGTCGTGCTTTGGTGCACCTTGCTGGGATGCATTTCTTCTCGAGGTGGACGAGCCGCTGTCGCACTAGTTGGAGTTTGCGCGGTCGCGGATTTCTTTTGAGCAGACGCGTTGGGAGTCTTTTGAGATGGTGTCTGCGCGACTGGGGTCTGAACATGGGGAAGATTATGGTTGGCAGTCTCTTCCCCTTCGGCAACGGAGGCAAGTCTGGAAGCCGTAGTTTGCTGGGGTTGTTGAGGGGTAGGGTCTTCAACCTGAGCAGAAAAGGAATAAACATTAGACACGAACATCCACGAGTTATATCTGGGCCCATCCCACAATGGGATGTTGCTATGCTACTCACCTCCGGAGACTCTTGGGCGCGACGAATGCGCGCGGAACGGCGAATCGCCATAGCTACAAAGAAAAACACAAGCGACAGACAGAGAGATGTGAGGAAATTGCAATAGTCTGAAAAAGTATTGCAGGGGTAGATCTTAAGAAAGGGAGTGGGGAAGTCATGGAAGTCGAGGCGGTCGAAGCGAACGAAATGTAAACAACGCGCTTGACGTCAGATGACTCAGCAGCTCTATAAGCGCCAACAAATTCGAACTCTCTCTTCTTCGATAGTTTTGACAGGCAGATTGCTTTGTAGTACAAATATGCTCCATGAAGGAATTGTGCTTTTCTTGAGCTTCTTTGATACCCGAAATACCCGGCCTATACGCAGAAGCCCCGGACTGGAAAGGTTTACAGGAGCGGCCCAAAAGTTTGCAACACACTCTCTTTTCACACAATTGAGATCACTTTATAAAGCAGTTTCTTGAATGTCTCGCTTCTGTTGATGCTGTGTCATACTTCTCAAATGCAGAGGAAAAGCTTTCAATATTGAGGTTAAGGGATATCAACATACTAACCAGTTCTCCCAAGTTCAGAGGTGATAGACAAGCTCAGTTTCACATTCTCAGCTCATTAAAGCACCTGAGTTCTAGAACCCAAATCGTTTCCATCTATATAACTTCATCTAGTTAACTAACTAACTAACCTTAACGTCGGGTTGAAGCCTTATCTCTCAGGCAACAACCTCCGCTCGAGAGAACCTTTTAACCTTCTCGGGCCCCAGACGAGCCTCAGCTTTGTCGCCTGGTTATAAAACATCGATCCCTCATGTCTGGGATATGCCACCAGATGAAGCCATGAGCGCAAACGGGAAGATCAGAAACAACGGGATGCTCGAAACCCGTGCTAGAACTCGACGTGGCCGCAAGACAACATCCTGTTCCCAATGCCACTCCAGGAAACAGAAATGCAACAGAGAGTTACCATGCTCTCGCTGCATTCAACGTGGAGTGCCCGAGTTGTGCCAGTGGCCCGACAAAGATAGAGACCATGTAGCACCCTCTCAGGGGGCAGTCAGCGCAGCAGGTAAGGTTATTATCCGCCCACACAGCAAGTATTGAGTTTGACAAGGTGACCATACAGCAGATAACCAGGGCACAGAGCTAGGGCAGTTATATATTGCCCGAGGAGCACCGAGCTTCTTTGGAAACTCTTACTTTGGCCACCAGGTGGCAGCACGTATGATCCAGGAATCTGCTCCTGATTTACCCCCGATGAGCCTGTTGTCAAGCAAGGACTCGTTGCAATCATTCCGGAATGACTCCGGTCCATTCTCACAAGTCTGGGATCTACTTGGTCTTTTACCGCGGAATAAGGTGACTGTTGATCAGTTGATCGAAAGATTCTTGACTGAGATCAACTGGGCCATCGACACGGTCCACCCCGAGACCTTCAGACAGCAATTCGCAGAGTTCTGGGGGCGAAAGTTTGGATTTGACGAAATCGCCGGCGTGGATCTTCGATGGCTCGCTCTTTTGTTTATTATCCTGGCCTTCAGTGTGCTCCTAGACAGCCCCACGACATCTTCACCCGAAAAACGAAAAGAAAGCGAGGAAGCTTCTCTTCGCTTTTACTGGGCTGCCAGGCGAGCCATCGTTATTTCGCCCTCTTTTCACGGAGAAAGCTTAGATCTTGTTAGAGCAGGCCTGATGGTCACACGTTATTTGCTATATACCCGGCAAGTCGCTGAGAGTTGGCTCACCATCAGCTTTGCTATGCGTATGGCTCAAGCTCAGGGCATGCATATCGATGGAGAAAAGTGGGGGCTATCCAAGAAAGCTACGGAGACCAGAAGACGCCTCTGGAGCAATCTGTACATGCTCGACAAGACCATTGCACTTGCTCTCGGAAGGCCATACGCAATATCGGATCATATGTGTCTCATCAAAGCACCAGAAAACGTGTGGCTGGATGGACTGACAGATGAGCAGTCATCTACAGCCAAGGCCCATGCTATAAGCTATCCGACACGGAGTACTGTATCGCTTCTTGGAACTACACTAGCTAAAATTGCAGGTGAAATACAGGACCGATGCTTTGGCTTGTACCCTGCGTCGTACGACATGGTAGTCGAAATGGATAACAAGCTTGTTGCGTGGAAACAACAACTACCTGCGTATTTTTCTGTGGATGACCCTGAACTATCACTGGATGACTCGCATACATTCTTGCCATGGCATCGGCTCTATCTGCACTCCGCATTTCATTTTGCTCGAATCACTCTTCATCGACCTCATCTTCTACGCGAATCTATCACCAATCGCTTCGGCCTAAGCCACGAGGCATGTATTTCCTCTGCGTCTTCCGATCTCAAAATCAGATTACAGTCATTGAACTACGGAACGGCAGAAAACATGAGATGGACACTAGGAACCCACAACATGTTCAACAGTGCCTTCATTCTTGGCATTATAGCGGTGCGGCGACCTAATGCCCCTCAAACTGCCGCCATATTGAACGACCTCGAGGAATATTGCGAAAGACTGCGAAAGGATGTCTGGCTTAACGAATTTGGCCTTGCTGAGGTCAAAGTGGTCGAGTTGTGTATCATCCGCACCAGAGGATTTGCCCTAGCCACCGAACAGCCGAGCGACAAGACTCCAATAAGTCCACCCGAAGTTTTGCCAGACTTCATAATACAACAGCGAGGAGGTAACTCAGACATGTCGACAACAATGAATATCGCGGGTGCTGAAATGGCCGGTTCGCCCAGTCAGCCACCAGTTTATTCTCCTGATATGATGTGGCCCGCAGTCTGGGAAGACCAGAACTTTGCGTTTCCACAAGCAGCAGATCTTGAAACCTGGGAGCAAATGATCTCTGAGATTGCATATCATACATAGGGTATCTAACGGTAGCACTGAAGTCATTTTCATCACTCTTGGTAGATTTGCAGGGCTCATAAACCATGTCAGGAGCTTTTTGTCGACCCAAATGAGACACGAATCTTTGCCACAGAGTCTCCAATGACCATTCCCTTCGTAAAAGAAGTATACCACTTCTTGAAATCCACCGTTACTACCCATCCACAGAGTGCAAAGTGTATCTAGTGCAGCCTCACCCTGAAGAGGGCGAGGAACTTGAGAATCTCCGGCACGTTGCCACATCACAGAGATCATCCCTGCCGCTCTAGCAAACTATATGAGCAGACATTGCTGTTCGACCCCACCAAGACGATCCAGATGCTTCATAACTCTGAAGCAACATATAGAAACTTGTATCGAAAGGTAGGGGTAGCGCGTGCTGTATGTCCGACCTGCCATCCGCCTGACTATCATTAGCTTGCGATTGTAGAAGAGACAGAGGGAAACGTACGTGTGACGATGAGTGGTGCTAGCCTTATGACCCTTTGATGATCTCACGCTTCTTTTTCATTAGGCGGAGACCGCGCTGGATTTGAAGCATCGAGGCATCTTCCATGATATCAGTTGGTGAGAATGCAGAAATCGAGAGCGGAGACGGGCATTAGGGGTGTGCTTGGGAAGGTATCAGATCTGCAAGTGCAACTGTGAACATCGACAAGGGATCGTTGACGTGAACAACATTGTCTCATCTCTCACGCTCCACATCGACCGGCGGGACAGGTTCGGAAGTGTTGTCTATCCTGAAACGACCCACACATGATGTACGGTATATCTGCGCGGAGTTTACGATTAACCTAACGATACGGTGACTGTAGATTGAATGCTACCGATTCCGAGGTCAATATAGTACCACGGAGTTCGTAGATCAGGCGTCCACCCCGAAGCAATTCATCCATGATCTCCCAGTACATCTGAGCGGAATTCGAGTTCAATCTAAGGCTACGGGGACTCTAAAGAGTCACGCGATTAGACGAATATGGTTTGCACATGTAGACTGATGCATGCCTGCTTGTATTTCTGTTTTATGTGGAATTATTGAGCCAGGTATGTCCCTCGAGAATGCCCCCCCTGCTCGCTGTAGCGCCGAAAACGTGAATGATCTATTTGACGATGGCCATTACAATCGTAAACACAGCCGGGTAACTAGGAACAGATTGGGCCTCTTACCTCCATGATCGCCGTATCGAGGGTAGTTGTTAAGAACTCATAAATTCAGGACCCACGCGCATCGCCTCGTGTATTCTCCTGGCTGTCTGTTGTTGTTCAGGCTACTTCTTCTCCTGGGCCTTTAGGTCGCCCTGGTTGTCAGGGGCTTCAACCTTGCTGTTAGAACCAGCGAGGACTCCATGGTAGGCATTTTCAAGCTTGCGGCGACCCCTCAGGTGAGTCCATCGGGTGGATTTGGCCTTGGTGTCCGTGAGGGTGGCCAGGAGCTCCCAATCCATCTGTACAGCGTTTTCATAATTAGCTTGAGCAAGATTAAGCTTGCGAGGCTTCTAACCTTGCCAGTGTTTGTCATGCACAGGTTAGCAAGAAGCAGGTGCTTTGTCTCACCCGGGGTGAGGCCGGCGAGATCGGGTGTCTCCTTCGCTTTGGTAGGGGAAGACATGATGAACCGTTGAAAGCGGATCGTCTGGATGATAGACAAGTAGAATGGATGTAGAGGAATGGAGGTTGGAAGAACTGGTGGCTGAGCGACGTGGAGAGAAGAACAACAAAGGGACAAGAGTTTCCCAAGTCGGGGTGGTATAGCATTACCTCGCCTGTGTTGCCAACGACTAAGCATACGATCAAATACGGTAATCTCCATACGATAGTTTTGTAAGGGTTGCTAGATTCTTAAAGAGAGAGACACTAGAAGCGTGGAGCCAGGTACATACAGGAAAGGACATGACCATCCCGACTTTGTTTGCTAGATGGTTGAATTCATGTAAGAAGATAATAAACCCATCAGACTATACAGAGTCATCTAAAATCCTGTTCATGGAATGAGATCTCGATACAAAAGAGAAAGTTCCAACATTTGCAAAGGGTGACCTTCGAGCTCTGGTGTGTCATTTAACCAGAGGTAACGTGAAGGGGACCGTTACCATCATCAACAGGGCAGCCATCGCTGTCAGAATCGAATTCGACAACACAGCTAGAGTCTTGACCGATAGAGATACCAATGAAAGTGGTATCAGTCTGTCCGTTACCGGTGCCAAGGCTGTTGCCATTACCGTCCTTAACCTCGCAGGTTTCAGGATGGCCTCCGAAATCAGCCATGCACTTGAACTTGCGTGGGGTACTCCAGCAGTCACCCTCGATGGTGAACTCGCGGCCGTCGTCGGTGTTGTAACAAGGGGAGTGGTCATCGGGGAAGCCTTGGTCATAGATGGCTTCGCCAGCGTCGTTGATGATAGCAAAGCCGGAATAATGTCCGTTCGTGTTTCCACCGGCAGGACCGGAGATTGTGGAAAAGCTACCAGACGACCAGACGACTTTGAGATGCTCGGCGTAGACGGTACCAGAGGCAGCCATCAGGCAGAGAAGAGCGGTGCGGAGAGAAAACATGATGATGCTGTGAAAATTGATATTTCGAAGAATGGTTTGTTTATAGCTGGAATGGGAGCTATGTTTGTTGTTGATGCTCCTCTCTTGATGCTGCTGTTCAGAGGGCTTTTATACCTGCTCGGAGCCACCCTGAGAGCCGGTGCCAAGAGCACTGCACTTCTATGCCTTCTATGATATCATGAATATGAGCTGCTGTGGAGAAATATCAGCAAAGCACAAAAGGATTGACGGGGCTGAATCGGGGTCCACTGTCCACTTTCTAAAGAGTGGGCCTATCGACCATTATATTGCGGGAATAACAATTTACGATATGACTCTGAGTATTCGCCTTCTAGTGTACAGCATGCCTGGCGTTGATTCCTGCATATGACCCGACATTTGAAAGCATTACCATCCGGGAGACCTGGCAGGCAGATTTGGGGTTGGTGGCAAATTATGCTACAGTGCATTGAGTGATTTGGTTAGCTCCATCTATTAAGGGGTCAAAAATTAGCTGAAGGATCAATATTTTGCTCTTTTGCGGGTTCGGGGTATCACTAACAGCTTGTATGTAAGGTCTTGGCCTTGCTGGGACTTTTGAGTTGACCCCTGGATCAGCACTCATATTATCCACTTCAGTTCTAACAGTTCATTAGACGACTTGCATCAGAATAAGACTTGAAATGTAGAATAAAGTACTTCCATGCCTAGAGACTCCTTGAAACGTGGGACCGTCACTTGTGGCTAGTCCCAATCCCGAGAACGAACGTAGATCTCCCATTGCTGTGCAATAACAAGCAATGATGGAAGGTTGGCCGACAGAGTATAGTTGCTTCACATGACCAGTGAATCGTTTTTTACTTGATTGCAAAATTCTGCATCCCCAGAAAATCAGCACTAATGAAGGCTAAAACCAAGGCAGGGAAATGGGGGCCAAATTCAAATCTTACGGCAAAAGCCTGCAAGCCAATGGCCCCAAATTGTTTTATTATCTCATATTCTGCAGGGCAATCCAATGGATTTAACTTACAACTCTAATATAGAGTATATCACTACCCCTGATCCTGAGTTAGCTTCAATCCGTAACTTATCTTTAGAGATAACTTATACATGTACTTCGGATGCCACACATAGAGCTTTCCTATGGTGTAGCTTCCAACGCGCTCTAATTTTTACTAATCATGATATGAATAAAGCAAAGCGGAATTTTGTAGGTCACGGCTTGAAGTGCCAAGGGCGGTTCCAATTGCGTGGGGTTATATTCCAAATCCCGATGCCTATCACTTACCACATCTCGCACAAGGTACATGTATGTAGTGTGTGGGGGTCCGTGTTTAGGTATATTCTCTTTAGTAACAAAGGTGCATATAGTAGTATATAGTAGTAGATGTAGTAGGCAATGCCCCCCGGTGATCTACTGTTTCAGATGAATATCACTCAGTATCAAATTGCCAAGTCCCCGCCCCCACTGAATCTTGCGTTAGTCTCCACCACGACATACCATGCTTGGAGTAGTTTTGGCTGATCACCAGTGCTTACAAATGTAGGATAGATGTTTGAAGACCCTTGTAGACGTGACCCTAGATACTTCGGATGATCAGTATCTATAAATATACCCCGGTCATATAAACGCCGATCATGTAAGTCGAGTGTGAATATCACGCTGTGGTAAGGGGCCCTATTGGAAAGGGTCCTACGATTAATACGCTATCCAACGTCAATTGGTGAATAAGTCTCTTATACATTCAGAGCTTCTATAGACCCATGGACGAGATAGCAGGCTATAGTGACAAATCATCCCCGAGTGATCGATTTTTGATGTCTTCACTAAAGGTACTCGGAAGATGCCCGAGAGCATTAGACACCTCGAGGCTTGTAATGGTCGGAGCATAATCTGGCCCCAATCTTACATTATGGATCAGGATTCGAAAACTACAAACCCCAAACAAGAAAGTGACTTCTATTGCCACATTCGAACGCCGATCCCCACTTGGCGAGTGAAATCTATTCTGAGGAACACAAGTCCAGCACTCAACAGCATCTGACCTCAGATAGGAGAACCATCCAAATCATTCGAAATAGTTATTCAATCCGCATGGAACTGGTTCCCAGTCTAGCCCAAAGACTATACAAATTCCCTTAACATTTTGTGATTATCGAATGAACGTCTTTATGAAGGAGGAGGAGGAGATTAATTCACAAAAGGGACGGGGCAAGCACTTGGAATCAATCCTTTGCAAATCGAATTTTGTCAATTCCAAACATAAAATTATAATGTGTTGATACGTAGACATGCATACAAAATGTCACAGGATATAGCGGAAGTCCGGATGGAAGTCTCCACCTTTCTTCTCATAGGACCCTGAGCTGACAATCGTCTCCCTCTCCTCTGGTGACATTTGAGCCCGCTTAGTGTTGTGGTATCGCAGCAACATCCACATTCCCGCGTTTCCAAAGAATGCAAGGCAGATCGTAGCAAGTGAAACGGAATGCCCAGTCACATAGCGCCCATTAACTGGTGACTTGTAGATTTGACCTGCCTGTGACATATGTTAGCTTAATGTCAAAAATCAAGGCACAAATTTGAGTTGTCTTACAATTAAACCTGCACAATTTCCGATAGATTGCTGAAGACCCACTGCCATGGCACGTTTATAGTAACCAGAATGACTATTAGCATTCCAACTGACTCCGAGGCCAACAACCGCGTAGATTCTGAAAGAAAGATCAGCTGTTATACCCCCATGTAGTCTTAGAGCGATGGAGTGTCCATACCCAGTAACACAAACGTATGTTGCAAAATAAAGTGGACCACGCGCATGGACATCCACTCCCAACATCAAAGCATATCCAACGGCCGTTACGAGACACAAGGGGACCATGAAGACAGCCCGCATGCGAACTCGGTCAGATAGATTGGCAACCACCAAGTAGAAAGCGGAAGCCCAGATATACACAGGGACAGTGAGTAGTTGAGTTCTGACAGAATCATAGCCAAATCCTCGAATAATTGTGGGTAAGAAGGTGCTGAATCCGAAGGAACAAGTGTTGACGCATATTTGGTTGAAGGAGGTGAGCCAGCTCTTAGGGTCTCTCAGGGTTTTCCACACTTCCTTAATATCGAATTCTTCGGAATCAGCGTATCGTGCATTTTGCTGCATACGCATGCGCATCAACTCTTTATCTTCCTCGTTCAAGAAGTAAGCGGTTTCATAATTGTTCGGAAGAAGGAAGAAAGTGGCAATGCCAACGACGGCGCTCATAAGTCCCTCCACAATGAAGAGCCACCTCCAGCCTTCGAGACCACTTGCGCCGTCCAAGCGAATCAAACCAAACGCTAGACTATAATCTTTATTAGCATGTGCAGTAAAAAGGTTTCGATAACCTAAAGAGGGCTTCACGCACAGACCGCCAAATCCTCCACTCAGAGCAGCAGATACAAAAAGATATGAAATTCTTTGTGCTTGCTCTTCGCGCTTGTAGAAAGTGGTCAAGAGAACGGTCAAGCAGCTAAACAATCATTAGCTTAACTTTGGAACAAATATGATCACGAAACTCACGGGAATAGACCGCTCTCAAAAACACCGAGGAAAAGTCTGGTAATATAAAGCCCCGCAACATTTTTGACAAAGCCGCCGGCAAGAACTGACGCACTGAAACCAATGATTAACGCGGAGATCAATCTGTTTGGGCGTAATTTCTTGAGAAGCATCGAAAATGGGATCTCGAAAAAGACATATGTCGCGTAAAACAAAGATACGGCATCTGTTTCCGATTTGTTAGCTCCTAGTGTAGTAAGAATGGGATATGAATTATTAGCTTACTCCCTAGTTCATTTCCAACTAGACCGATGTCTTCCTGTGGGAGCACAGTTAGTATTGGAAGTCCCTCCAGCAACTTATAGTCTCGTGCTTACTGGCATTCCTGCAACAGCCGCATTTCTAGAAAATAATTAGCAATTGAACATATTCTGTGTGAGATAAAAGCTTACCCCAAGTTGCTACGATCAAGGTAGGCAACCAAAAAAATGAGCATCACTAAGGGGCAAATGCAGAGGTCAAGCTTCCACAGAAGCTTCTTCTCGCGGACGGGATCAATTGAGAAGTTGCCCATTTGCACATCATGGTCCGAAGATGCGTCGGCTTGAAATTTGATATCTGTTTCCTTGATTGTCATGCTGGGCAAGGAATAGTAGGGTGATGCCGAGAATGGAAGCAAGTAGACATATGATCCTCATCGGTCTTTAAGTACCGATCACATCTATACAGTCGTTATCAACCATCGGGGAATACATCGGTTTATTCAAAGAATTTGGAGAAAGGGGCGGTAATTGTCCGACAACATTGGTGGCGCCTATCGCAGCCGAATGGAACCGTGAGAGATAAGAAGCGAGAGTGACCCATTCTTTCTCTTAATTTGGCTCTACCTTAATTTTCCGTAACCTTAAAACATTCATTTTTACATCTTATACACCACAATATGGACTTTTTGATATCATCTTCAATCCCATTTGAGTCTCTCACAGATGCGATAATAGGGTTCCCAAATTCCGCACAAAGTTTTGTTGGGCCTGGTCGGCCTGGTCCGATAACTTTGCGATTCCCCGCGTTTTATCATCTTGGCATCGGTAAATTCAAACCTTGTCCCTATGATCGGCCACCAATTTCCCGATGAATTTCCCGACTCTAGTCGTGGGGTACATCATGAGACATTGATAAGAAGACAAAGACGACAGATTTTGTAACTTTGAATTGTTCTTTATTTTGCTTATCTTTGAACATGGCGATTTCCAATGATTCGAAAACAAATGGGGTTAAACCAAGTTTAACTACAAACCATCCAGTAAGTTTTTCCTTGCATAAGTGTTCCTTGCAATTCGAATTGAACTGATTCCCTCCAGGTTTGGAAACGATGGGTCCGCTTCAGAGGCAAAGATGGTAAAGTCTACGGCGGCGAGCCGGTAAATGTGAACATTGATGGTACTACATGTCATGCCCTTTAAGAAATTTCATTTGGTTAACAAACTCGCAGTGGGCCAGGCCATAGAAAAAAACTTTGAAGTGGCTGTCAAAGTCGTGGCTGGCGGTTCAGCGTTGGATTATGACGCTTCCTTTACTGGTGAAATCAAGGTCATTGATCAGCTTCTATCTCCAGTGTCACAAAAAGAAGCTGGAACTGTTCGCTGTGTTGGCCTCAATTACAAGGAGCATGCCGCCGAGATGAAGATGACTCTTCCAAAGACACCAACGTTCGTATATTGACCCTTTGGTTAGCTACTTGCTGATATTTGAAAGCGTTTTTCTCAAGGCAGAGACCTGCATTGCTTCTGCCGCCGATCCAATCATATTACCTCCCAACGTGGCTTATGACGAAGCAGACTATGAGGTTGAGTTAGCCGTGGTCATTGGCAGGGAATGCAAGAATGTTTTAGTTTCGGAAGCATCGAACTACATTCTGGGATATTCCGTCGCCAATGACGTGACCGCCCGCAAGCATCAGGATCAGACTTCCCAATGGTCTTATGCGAAGGGCATGGTATGTTTTGCGAAATTGCTTCAGATAAGGTTAGCATCATAGCTGACATCCACCAGGACGGCTTCTGTCCACTCGGCCCATGTATTGTTTCCACAGAGCAAATCCCCGATGCTGCCATTTTGAATCTGAAGACCTCTCTCAACGGGAAGATTATGCAAAATGAATCTGCCGACGACATGATATTTAGTATACCCGAAATTGTCTCTTATCTATCTCAGGTATGGTTGAAAAGTCCAAAGGCTTATATGTCGTACTTAGCTCACAATGATAGGGTCACACCTTATTGCCTGGAACGGTCATCATCACAGGAACACCTTGTGGAATTGGCATCTCACAGAAGCCCCCACGATTCCTTCAGCCCGGGGATGAACTAAGAGTGAGTATAAGCCATGGAATAGGTACACAAGTATGCCCAATTTCGAGAGAGTAAAAATGTTCTGAATAGAGAATCTGATTTTATTCTTTTCTCGAGAAAACCATGTCCCGAATGTCTCCCCAATAAGTCCACAGCACCGTTGTAATAACAGTTGTGGGTATAGCAAAGACCCAGTAGATCCAGAAGTTGCTCGACATATTCCAACCAGTATCAGGGCCGTAGTTGAAAAATGACATGCTGAAGATAGCGCAGATGAAGGTGGGAGGCAGGAATGTGAGAGTAACGAAAGCGATTGTTTTCATGGTGGCGCTATCCAGTTGAGTAGCGCGACCGATTTCAAGGGTGATACTTGAATCATGCTGGGCCACAGTGTTGAAAGCCAGCTGGATCTCGTTCTGAAGTCTCTTTTCATTCGAGATTGACCGAGAGCGTAGATTGGCGATGAAAGATTGGAAAAAGCGCAGACGACGGTGGATATCCTCAGATGCACTGGTGGCGTTCTCGGGGGTCAAGTTTTTATAGTATTCATGTTCAATCATCAAATACTCTAAACTTTGCATGGTGGCGTCTAATGTCTCATTGACATGAATTGCATGCCGTGCGATGTCATGCAGCCGTCTGTAGTCAGGCTGTGGTCTACCTTCTGGTTTCTTTTCGGTCTCCAAGGCTCGAACATGGTCTCGGATACCCCACACAGAGGGCTCTTGGGCGCGAGCAATCTGTTCCATCAGATATGGGTGAGCCCAGAATGGATCACTGAGAAGACTTGGGTCCGGATTCATGAGAGCTCTGAGACATCGCCCTTGGATCGGTGGCTGCATATCGAATGCAAGGATAATAGTCTGACCAGTGGACGGTAGCCATCTAGTGAAGAGATTTGTATAATACCATGTGAAACTGGCATCCGGTTTCACCTGTTTTACAGTAAATCTAGACCAGGTATCTAGCAAAATCAGCGCTGTCACATAGTTACTATCTGTATACTTACTGAAGCCAGTAACAACTCCAGAACGCCTCGTGCTTTCACATCCAAAACCGCCATTCCCATCTCGGAAATATTTTGACCACCAGAATTTAGGCATAGCGAACGCATCTGCAAAAGACTCTTGACACTGATGGCACTTTTGAATCGCAAATGAGTTGGCAACACTTGATAAGTCAGCAATCTTCTGGACATGGAGATCTATCACATACATTATGCACACTTTTGACCAAGCAGGAAGGATAGAAGAAATGTCGCTAGGATCTGCAATGTGAAAATTTACGAGGTGAGTCTGTCGCCAGTCGTTTGCAAGTTCACCGTTCCATTGGTACACCAACAGGTTGGCACAGACTAGGCAGTTTGGGTCCTGCATTTTGTAAAACCTAAAGACAAACGGATTGCCGCAATAATAGACAAGAGACAATGCAAGGGTTGGGCAGCAAATGCTGAGTGGGAGAAAAGAGCGGTCGCAGGTGAGACGGGCCGTGCCCCTCTCAGCCTCTCAGCCTCAAGTGGAGTAACACGAGATGTCTTGGAATTGCTTCAATTTCATAACTCCCAGTAATTACCAGATACATTGCTTATTTATATTCCCTATGGCCAAGGTTCGCTATCCAATGATGGCGGCCCGGCATACTTCTCATAACCCCAAACCCAGTACCAAGCGGAAGCAATTAAAATGAATGCCACAAAAACGACTGGTGCATAATTGACAGTCTCCGCGGAGACAGGAATTGAAGTTGGCATGCAGAAGAGGGGAATAACTAGGATACTCCAGGCTAAATGCGTAAATAATTAGCGATGTTCGTTTAGCAATCATAGATCAGATGTCTTACCCAGAGCCACAATGTTACAAACCAGCCCAAGAGTCCCAAGATCGAATTGCCCATTCTTGATGTGCTTTCGACCTCCAGCAAGAGACACTGCAATTGGACAGGCATAGCTGACGGTCAAAGTAATCACTCCAACGCCAGAGAAAGCATTGAATGCAGCAGTTGATCCGAAATAAATGAAACCAAGCAAGATCTGGACAGCTGTGCCAAGCATCATAGCGTTAAATGGAACACCATCTTTGTTCACCTGCTTCCACCATTTAGAGCCCGGGATACCCCCGTCGCGAGCAAAGGCCCAAGTACTTCGCGAGACAGCCGTGGTACAGCCAATCACACAGAGCAAGGCGAGAACTATCAGAGGAAGAAGAAGCAAGAATGACCCAACCTCATTTCCAATAGCAGACTTGATGATGGTTGGCATTGGCTGGCCGGATGCGAGGGCGGCAAGCATCGTGGTATCGGGGAGTACAAAGACCAAGGGAACAAGGAAGAGAAGGCCGGCCAGGGTGTTCAAAATGACCGTACCAACCATCGCCTTTGGGACTTGTGTTGATGGATGTTGAACCTCTTCGCACATACTTCGATAGGTAAGTTACGATCTCAGGAAATGAGAGAAGACCACGTACCAAATAATCATGCCAGTTGATGAGGTGCTGTAAGCAGCTTGCAGAAGTCCAACACAGAAAGACCAGCCAGCTGGCCATCCGGACTGGGGCTCGAAGTGGGTGAAGACATACTCGGCATCGTGTCGACCGTCTTTGGCAATTACGAGAACACATATCACAATAGCCAATACACCAGCAAGTGTCCAAAATATCGCAAAAGTCTATTGAAGGCGTCAGCAAATTCAGGCAAGTAAAAGGGCGTCTGATCATACGTCAAGGTAAGGCAGCCACTTATTCCCAAAAGCCGATACTGCGGTAGAAAGAAAAGTGACAGCAAGGAATATAAGGAAAACTTGGTAAGTTTCGGCCTCGAAAATTCCCACCCCAGGCGAAGACTCAAAAACATTAATACATGAAACGAGGAAAAGGGTGCTTCCAAGATTGACTGCGAGGGTAATAGTAATGTTGCCAACAACATATGACCACCCACAGATCCAGGAAGCAATCCGCCGGTATGAAGGCGGCGATAGCATGAAGGTTTGGTAGTAGACACCCCCTGCAGTTGGGTAGACGGAGGTAATTTCACCAAGGGAAGCAGCCACGCAGAGGATAACCACAGACACTGCAAGCCATCCCCAGATGATGTTGACCGGACCTCCTCCGACAAGCGGATAGACGAATGTTGTTGCGAGGCCATATGGAATTGCTGCAAGGACAAATGACATAAAAGCCACCTGGAGGGTGGAGCGGTTTCGAACTAGTTCGGGCTCGTAGCCAAGGGCTTCAAGTACACCGTTTGCTGAGGTCTGTTTGCCTTCTTCGATTTTGGGATAGTCGTCAAGTGCATCGGGCTCGAACTTTTTGTCTTTTGAAGAGTCATACTGGTTGGTGTCGACTTCGGTCGCCATGGTCAAGGCGCTTTAGGGAGTTGAAGCAGGTGGGTTATCAGAATGGCGCACTGGGAAGAGGATTATAAGAAATATTTTGGTAATGCTAGGTAAAAAGGAGAAGAGTTAAACGGTAAAAAGATACTTTGGGAGCTTATGTTCTCAGGACACCCAAACATCGAGGAACACCCAGGCTTATAAAGTTATAGTTCCTCATTGGAGAGCGGAGCATCGTCGAGTAAGGATATCGGAGTAAACGTCAATTTGATTGTCTGGTGACGAGGGCTCCATGCGGAGACGTTAATTTGATTGGCCATATGAGGGCCGGGCATACAGTAACAGCCACTAAAGCCGAATTTCATTGAAATCTTTTGTGCCCTATCTCTTCAAGCCATTTTCTAACAAGGTTAGCGATGCGGGATGATGTACTAGTCAGTTCGTTCTGGCCGTGCCAATCATAACGCAGTCACGATAAGCAAGCTTTACCATAGGTTACTAGGAATGGTCTCAGGGGTTGAGAGTCTCCACATTCCGGCAACAATAAGCCCTTGTTCAGGGGACTTGAGTGGATAAATGGTCTGATAACGAGATAGTGATTTGACGATAGGACAACTCTGATGACACAGTTATAGGGGCAAGATAAGTCAAACAGGATGCTATCACACCTAAGGAGTGAGCTGAAACGTGCACAAGCTCTGGCCGGTTTATCCCTCGCCCTGTCTCTCGCCTTGGAGGCTGCTATGTTTGTCTGCGCTAGTCCAGATTACTACTAGTGATGACATTTAGTGGATACGCTAATGCACGGCGGCTACGCTAAGTCTAATGCGGCGGTTATGTGGAGATGCTGGCGCTCCGAGGGAGGATGTATAGTACATGTACGTACTGCGTATACCCGCACATAGTGAGGGAATTATCAGCATGTCACTACATAGGACTGCATCGATATCTTATCTTATAAACTGTCGATAGTCTGTATTGATGGGGAGTATGTTGGTAGGTCAAACAAGAGGTTATTTTAGTCGAAACATGACACTTCGGCGTTACGGGCTGGGAAGTGCGCGAATTTCCCCTCACCGTATGACACACTGGGCCCAGATCACTAGTATACCATGGCATTATCTTCAACTCAATTCAGAGTAGACGAGACTTTCTCCGCACTCGTGATGTCATGCTAAGTCTTTGTTGCAGAGAGAGGGGTGCCATTGATCGATCATTGCAGCACGTCGCTGTTCTGCTTTGCTGGAAAAAGCGAGACGGTGTGTCAGAAGATGACCGGCTTAAAGTTCTTGGCCACATGGACACCCTGATATCAACGGCACATTCCCTAATGCTCAATAACTGAGAAGACTTGACGTCTGGGAGTGCGACTTCCAGGAGTAATTGACCTATGTGGCAAGGTATGCGCGAGCGTAGGTACGGATCACGCTGGCACTGGTTTTCATGCACCATGCAGGTTTGACCAGTTGAAGACTATTTCTGGCCATTTTATCAAGCTGTCCCAGTTGCGATTATTGCGTCGAACCCAAACCGGGGGGTTTCACGATGAAATGGCATCTGACAGTCGACATTGCTGCGGACGGGGATTGCAAAAGCATGCAACTCAGAGAAAAAATGACCGTCTCAGTAGATCTCAGTTGGGTCAAGCCATTTTGGATTTGCAAGAGCCTAGGTGTCGTGTTGCTCGCCTGGAAGAGCTTGAGTGGAAGACTCTTCTTCTTAGTCACATGCCCGATCAGACATGGGATGTCTGCAAGTCTAAACTGCTAAATATGGGTTGCAAATGGTCGTGTGCCAATATGCAAGACATATGAGCTTACTCGGTCATGATTGGGTGAGGTTAATGGCTGCAGAGAAACATTAGTATGGTACTCAACATGAAGGTATGCAACCACCCACATTAAGGGTGTTGAGGATGATGACTTTATTTGTTTAGCCACATCACTCTTGATAAATATCATTCAAGCCTTGAATTCGGTGCGCCGTGGGGGTTGAGTCTCCATTGGGAGAACAAACCCGCCCTCGGCGTGTTATAGCTCCTGTTTAGGCTTAGCGTGGAGAAGCAACACCAGAATAACATCACGAGACCAAAGTCTGCGGGATCGAAATAGGTAGCACCATCGTCTGCCGAAGCCCCAACAATCCAATCACTTATATCAAACCAATCGGGATTCCAGGACTGATATCTGGCGTTCACCTTAAAGTCGGCGGTTAGTCAGGTGATCGGATCGGTTGGCATCCCGACGCGGGGCTTGTCGAGGCGATAGTGTCTCCTTCCAAGCTCGCCTGTCGTTGCCGGCCCGAGATCCGCCTTTCCATTATGCGTTCATACTCTCGATAACATCGATTTCACTCACGTCTCGCTGATTACAGTAGGATGCAAAGTGCAAAGGAAGTCCCCACTTTAAGGAAAAGACAAAATCCAAATCGGTGCAGGCCAAAGTCCAAAGGGGGTTGTCAGAGGTGCAAACAGCGGCGGGTAAGTTGAAGTGAAAGAGGCACTGTCATTCGCCTCTCCTTTCCGACCTCTTGTTTCTAGTTGACCCTCGTATAGCGCCGATGTGATGAGACGAAGCCAAGTTGTCAAGAATGTTCCAAGAAGGGACATACGTGTCCTGGATATGAGAAGCAGAATTTAAAGTGGCGCTATGTCTTCAAAGATGACTCCCGTGAGGCAACTCAGACGGCATCGCCGATTGAGACCCCCAAATCAACAGCGACCGATTCTTTCGAGGCGACTAATCCAACCCAGGAGCCTGAGAGGGAACGTTCTCCCAATGAAGACCAGGACCAGGTGGACACCACCGGATCCTCTGTCTTTGACCAGTTGCCAGAGTATGATGACCCGGCAAATATCTGGTTCAATCTCGAGTCGGGGCTGCCTGGCATTGGGGTAGAGAATGATGACGAGCAGAACAGTCTGTCGATCTTGCGCAAGCAGTTATCCAATACATCGATTCCTTCGTTCCTTATTCAGCTCCCAGCGATGCTGGTCGAGTATTACTTTCGTACTGTTTGCAACCAATGGTCATCCTTTGACTGTCCTCTCAACCCATTCCGAACAATTATCAGCCGACTTTGGAGTCGAAATGCAGCTATTTACTTTACCATCCAAAGCATGTCAGCCGCATCACTGGCAAATGATTTCCCAAGTATGAGGGCCATCGGAAGACAAACCCAGCAACAAGCGATCGTCTGCCTACAGAATAGTGCACGAGGAGGAACAGCTCGCATGGGAGATGATGAGTTTTTCCTGGCACTCTTAATGTTAGGATCCACCACTGGGTGGCACGATGCGTCTGACCTAGGGTTGGCATATTTGAAAGCAGCCCAGGAGCATCTTCTGAAACAGAAGCGCCGGTGCAAAAGTTCAAACTTTGCCGTAGCAAAACAGTACCCGCTTTTCAAACAGTGTCTGCTGTATTGGAACTTGTTGGCTGCATTTGTGGCCGAGGATTCGCCAATTCTGGACGAGGACAGCCCCACGGAAAACAGCGATGGAGACCTCTCAATCTACCTTGTTGATGGACAAGCAATTCCTCATCCATGGACGGGATCTCTCACCTACTCATTGAGTCTTTTTTATCGGACTGCAAGAGTGATTCGAGCCTCGAAAACGTCGCATCGGAAACAAGTACAGGCACTAGATCCTACCCTGGTCGACTTCAGCTGCTTGGCTGAAGAACTGGATCTCAGACAGAGGGCGGAGGAACTTGAACAAAACATCCTCTTTTCTGGATTCTCATTCTACTGCGGTCCTGTCGATATCGGCGACATGAACACTCCCCCGTCACATTTCCTTACTTTGGCCGAAGCATATCGCTGTGCGGCACTTTTACAAATCTATCATGTTTTCCCGGAGATTTTGGAAGAAAGGCTTCGCAGCAATCAAGAGGCAGATGACGAATCCTCTACTCCAGCTCTATTTTTGTTATTGTTCCCAATTACTGCAGACTGGTTATCACTCTCGGTCGAAGACACAAGACACACCTTGGCACTACACATTGTATCTCTGTTGGATCAACTACCTTCAACATCTGGGACTAAGGTGATGCAGCCCGTGATTCTGGCTTGCATTTCCAGTGATCTTGTGTTCTCTTCTGGGTCTGTCTTAGGTCCGACCGCAAATACAATTCCCAGTTTGAATACTTTGGATGTTGATATTGCTCAAGCCAGACGGAAAGTCAAAATGAAGATGTCTGAGCTTACGATAATCCTTCCAAAGCTACCAATGCAGCGAATTTCTAACGTTATACACGAGACTTGGGATCGCGCGGACTCTGGATTGGAGGAGTTTTGGTTGGATGTCATGTTGGATTTACATTTGGAGACGATAATGGGATAAGCATAGGGAGATGGTGTACTTGATGCATATGTTAATTGGTTTGCGTAGACATGTCACATACCGTTTAACGTTAATATGCTAATCAAATTGGATTCATTGGGAGATTTCTTCTCGAATTATGACATAATTCCATTGATCTATATACATATGGTTTAGCAGATTAAGAATAACTCATTTCGGTCTGAGAAGAAACTAGACAACATGTCCTTATGTGATCCCGTCTCCCATGATTTCTCCAACTGGGTGAGAGCGGTCTCCATAATCCCCATTCCGAAATTGCTAATCAGAGACTTCATATATTGCCGAACCGATTCCCTTTCAGTAGAGCCATATGCATTCATTCCAAAGACAAACAAAGGCCATGTCGCTGTCGTTGCAATCGGGGAGTTGGAAGGCAGACGTAAAAACAACGACTTGAGATATTCAAAAGAATTTTGAATAGCATCTCTGCCGTTGAATGATTGGAAACGGGCGTCTAACAGAAGAAGAAGACTGTGCTTGTAAAGTTCGGCGCCGAGGGCAATATCAGACTCGGTGGTCATGGGCTTCCAACTCGCTATTTGAGACCTTATGCTCCAATACTCGTCGGCAAGGCTCCTATCATCAATCTGAAATTCGTCATTCTGAGATTCTATTGCGCTGGCTCCAGACTCTGATAGTAGTTTTGAGACTTTCGGGACGAAAGTGAATAAATCATGAGCACATCCACATAGCATGCCGACCCTATTGCCCTGTTGCGGTAGAGATTTCGCTAGTGTATCAGGCCACAAAGTCGCTAAGGCCGGGCAATCAACTGTAAAAGAAGCGAGACAAGCATTGTAAGCATATAGCTCAGTGACAAACAGTCCCATACTGGACTGAATACTGCTAGGATCGGAGCGCAAAATGTACGCCATTAGATAATTTGCGCCTTTCATGTGTGATTTCATTGCTTCATGGTCGCTCCCCCGGGTAGCCTGCGGTATGTTAGCGTATAATTATCTGTAGCATGATAAAACGAAGACTTTCCTCGATAAGGTAAAATATTAAAACAAGTAGAAGAGATCGTATCGCAGAATCGACATTGCGACGCCCGTCATCTTTAAGTATGTGGGACAACTCTACCCTCAGGCTTTTCAATGCACGAATGTAACTTTGACAAGTGGAAGACTGTATACTGGGGCTATTTTGAGGAAGCCGTCGCATTAAATGAACCCCTGCAAGTGCCAAGATGGAATGCATCAACAGTTCGTCATTCAAGGCAGCTGGAAATATCATATGAAGGAATGGATTCTCGCTGTTTTGTAAGCAAACAAGTCTGTTTGCTGTGTCATTCAGGTAATGGTGGAGAATCATCCATGTCTCTCCTGCAGATGATACTGATCCTGGCAGGACAAGAGGAAATAGCGAGACGGGGATCTCGGCGGAAGCAATAGCCCCAGCATTGACCATGGCTGAAGATTGCGCAAACAACACATTTTGCCCGAGACCCAATCCACTTTCCACGTCTTCCTTCTCAAAAAATGAGCTGGGCCAAAAACAGCCTATGCAATTGCGTTGGCAAGCTGTACAGGTTGGCTTGGCTTCATCGCACTTCTTTTTGCGCCTTCGACAGGGCAAACATCCGAGGCGGGATCTGGCTCCCATGTTGAAGGCATACAGGGGCTCTACCCATTGTTATCCCAAGAGACTAACGCCCATTTTAAGTACAATTTCAAGTAACGGTGAGGGGATGTATATCTAAACAATGTAACCGGCCACGTGACCGGCATACGGATGGGTAGATATGGCGCCGAATCAGGACTAGTTCTATCTCCGTCACCATGACCGTCGATCCTTCTCTATATGTTAGGTCATATTGATATCCTTATGCGTTCTTCTAGTCCATCTTCAGGTGTCATTAGCTATCGATCAAGTTAAAATTCGCACTTATGCCATTCTACATTCTATGTGCATTGAGGACAATATTACAACCCCTCAATATCCGAGCTAGTATTGCATTCGTGGTTATAAATCCCCTTCCAGCATAGGTAGACGAATTGAATTTACCTAGCTATGGCGTAATGTCAATCTGAATTCCTATAGTGGTGACGATAAAACTGCGAATGCTTTCATTATTGTGTTCTTCCCACTTCTCTGCAATCACCAAAAATATCCATCTACGATCTGAAACTATGATTAGAACTACCACAATGGAGACCTACGGACTGGCCTTCTACATCTGCATGGGTGCCCTCATAAGTCAATGTGGCATTCTCATCGTCTTTTTCTGCATTCTATGCTGGATGAATCGACCGCGGGTTGCTGGGTTGAACGACATCGAATCGAATCAAAGGGCAGTTCAAACCCACTGGAGCAAACGCGCAAGCAATATTTATCCACACATCGAAGATTATATTTTACACCAGCAAAAGTGCTCTTAAATTGCAATATCCATGGGTATGTGCAAGACTGAGTGAGTCTCTCAACAGTTGAACTCAAGGCCCTCAACGGCTGCCCTCTCTGAATGCTATTTTGACAATCGACCACTTGGAATATGCAAAGAAAAGAAGTCGGCGTTCCCAAGGCTATTACTTTGCTGGGTTTTAGAAGTTTAGCTCTACCTACCGCATATGCATGTTATGCGTGTTTGTGTCAAAACATGTAGTTTGTAAGTCCCCTAATGTTTGTGTTATTACCTAACGTCTGATCAACTTTTAATTATGACCTAGGTCTCTTGCTTTGGTTGAACTTAAAGGAGGTGATTGGCGCTACGGGCGCCATTGTTAGATTGGGTTTCTTTTCCCGTGAAGTACTTCTGGCTTTTTTTCTATTTTCTATTTTCTTTTTTGATCCACGTTGATGAGTTACGTGCTATGGAAATTGGGCGGAGAGCCCCAGGTTTGTAGCGCTTCCAGCGTCAAACATGGCTAGGCAGTTCGGTTTCGTAGGGTATAACAAAAGCAATTATGCTTCCCCACACGAGGTCATGCTGCAAATCAGAAATCGATAGAAGGGCCTCGCCCTTTTCAACAGCTGATTAGTTCAAACCTATATATTTGTCTGGGGTTGGGTTTTAAAAAGATCAATAACTCCGGCTTTTACCGTCTCCTCTCTTCCGAACGCAAAGGGCCATAAAAGATGCCATTTTCCCGAACATTGTCAGTTGTTGGATGCCACGCCGAAGGTGAAGTCGGTGATGTGATTACTGGCGGCGTACTTGATGTTCCTGGCAACACGATGTACGATAAACTGGTTTATTTCTTGAACAAGAGAGACAACATACGTCAACTTTTGCTCAACGAGCCTCGCGGCCGGTCTTCGATGAACACGAATTTGATCCTGCCACCGTGCGATCCGCGAGCAGATGCCGGTTTTTTGATCATGGAGAGCGAAGAATACGCACCAATGTCAGGGTCGAATACCATCTGCACTACCACGGTGCTTTTGGAGACCGGTATGATTCCAATGAAAGAGCCAATCACCGAATTGACACTGGATACCGCCGCTGGCCTGGTGGTTGTCACTGCGAAATGTGAGGCTGGGAAATGCAAAAGCGTGGCATTCGACAATGTGCCCTCGTTTGTCTTCAAGCTTGACTATAAACTCCAAGTCCCTGGAATCGGGGAGGTCTCTGTTGATATCGCCTGGGGAGGTATGATGTATGTGCTGGTGGATGCGGCATCGGTGGGATTGAAAGTCGAGGCTCAGTATAGCACGCAGCTGGTTGATTTGGGCGAGCGTATCAAGCGTGCAGTCCAATCATCCTATACCCCCGTTCATCCTGAGAATCCCAGGATCAAGGGTGTCAGTATTCTAGCGTTCACAGAGCCTCTGACAATAGAAGATGGTTGTAAAGTCGCTGTCAATACTGTTGTTGTCTCGCCAGGGAGATTTGATCGCAGTCCATGTGGGACTGGGACTTGTGCCCGAATGGCTGTTTTGCATGCAACGGGTCAACTCAAGGAGGGAGAGATTTTCAAACATCGCAGCATCATTGGCACCGAGTTCACTAGCCACATTCGTGGCATAACCAAGGTGGGAAGCTATCAGGCTGTCCTACCAACAGTCGCCGGCCGAGCTTGGATCACGAGCTTCAAGCAAATCGTTCTTGATTCGAGTGACCCTTTCCCTGAAGGATTTAGGGTTGGCGACCAGTGGCGGATGGTACCAAATTAGGTAACTCTAGACTGGAGGACCAAGTCTGAGGGAGCCTTGCCACGTCGTTTGAGTTATTCTTGGGGCAAGACGGAATCCGGCGCCCTAAATCGGAGTTGGATATGGAGACTGAGGCTTGGGAAGGCGTATATGAAATCTCACGGATTGTACGTATATGTTTACCTCTGTCTTCAAACTATGGCTGCGAGTATTTCTCGTGTACTGAAAGAAGAGACAATGGTTGTACAAATCCTACCTTCTTGATATCTATAATTCACCAGTTGAAAGACACGGAATCGGCCTCATGTTTTTCCTGATCGGCACGCACCTAGAAATAGAACTCGGGTGTTTTCAAACGTTTCTCTCCAGTCTCTTGTCGATATCCACCATGGATCAGAAGAAGCTACGTATTGCCAGCCTGGGCAGCTCATTTGCTGCCGGGCCCGACATTCCCCCACAAATCAAGCCTCTTGCCGCGATGCGATCAGGACAAAATTATCCTCACCTGCTGGCTCAACGATTAAACGCCGAACTCACCGATCTCTCAGTCTCTGGCGCAACTCTGCTCAACATTACAGTCGAACCCCAATCCGCTCCACTCTCCGAAGATGTCTTTCCGCCACAACTATCGAACCTACCCAGAGATGCGGATATTGTTACTGTCACTGCAGGAGGAAACGACATAAACTACATTGGAGGCATGATTTCAGATGCTTGCGGTGCGACGATACAATTACCAGACCCCTTGACACTTGATGAACTGGCACAAAGATTAGGCGGAGTTCTCGATGAAGTACACAAACAGGCTCCAAACGCTCGCATTTACCTTGTTGAATACCTCGCTATTCTGGGACCCGACACGCGACCTGATCAGGATGTTCCCTTCGACCAGGAAAGGATCACACACCACAGTGGAGTTGCGTCTCTCCTTCAACATGCATATTTGGCTGCAACTGAAAGTAGATGTGATTGGTGCGAAAGAGTCCCAATTCATGAACTTAGCCTGGGACATGCACTTGGGAGCAAAGAACCCTGGGTCGGAGGGTTTGACGGCGGACCGCTCCTTCACCCGAACCTTGACGGTATGAAGGCAGTAGCAAATGTCTTATTCGAGAGGATCCAGAAAGACTCAAATAAAACATTACTCTGAACCTGATCCTTTCGAGATCAGCCTGGCGTGTCCTAGCCGAGCATCGTTGTTACGATCTCGTACGCATCATATTGCGCCGAAATGATGGTCCAAGGGACGAATCACCTACGCAGATTCATGATACTCTCGCCCTGGCACGACAACGCCAACCTTGCTGTTCCCAGTCAGTCGTCAGGCCTCTGCATCAGAACCATAATGCGGTGTTCTCTTTCTTTTTTTTTTCTGGAAGACTTTGCTCAATTGATACCCCACTCCAAATAGATGACTTGAATTTGATTCCTCGTGCCTGCATAGTCAACATTCTAAATTATGTACCTGTGCGTTCTCCCGTGATCAGCACTGCAGGTGGCGGTCAAACACGCCTTATCCGATGTCCCTTGGGCTTTTCCGAGACCAAGCAAGGAAAACGCATCACCTAAGCCCTTTTACCCCCGCAATGACCTCTTCCTCGTGTAACAGTAATCTGGGGGTACAACACAGAAAAGGGAGCCAAGAGCTTGGCCAAGCTTAAACGGCCGTCCAAGGGCTTCAACTTCAGTCTCACACGTGTCTAGATATTGTCATAGTCGCGTTCAAACTACGCCTGTCTCCAAAGGAAGTGCGTCCGATCATGTTGAGTACACACCTGGCAAAGATGATGACACAAATGATCTAGCTGGTCGAATGCCAGCATGCTTGGTAATTTTATCTTCTGAAGAGAGGGATCTGGTGGAGAAGAAGCTTCTTCGCAAGATTGACCTCAGACTTCTCAGGGGCATTGGAAAGGCGGCCGTTTCGGGCGCCAAAAGCGGCCATTTTCGGCCGTCGTTTTCGCAGGTCCTCATATTCTAGTTATAAATCATAAATTGTTCGCAAGTTGAAATATCCCAAGATTCTCTATATCAGTATGCATAAAGATTGATCACTTCCGAGTCAGTCGCACGAATCTTCCGGTTTTCTTTCATGAGGATCACTCTCATAACCCAAGCCAGAATCACCACGCCGGCCGAGAACCCAATGCTACAATACATAGCCATTGAAAAGCGTGGGGCATCACTATCGGGCCACAAGTAAGGGGTGTAAATACTTGCAATATTCCCCAGCGTGTTTGTCAGGGCAATAGCCACTGCCTTCTTCTCGTCCGTCTGACCAACTGTAGCGGCCACCCAGGAAATGTTGATGTTGTTCACCCCGTATGTGGCGCCCACAAAGAGTATCATAGCAAAATAGCGTGCGCCAATATTTAAAGTGCCACATGCAAGTGCAAATCCAACAATTGCAAGCGCCTTAGAGACGGTAATATGCCAAGTTCGCTCGTTGAATCGGCCTGATGACCACGAAACCGCAACGGAAGTAAATGTTGCAATCAGATAAGGTGGGCAGGTGAGAACCAGCGTGATAGTAGAGTTGAACCCAAGAGTCTTCACAACAGTAGGCATGAAGTTCTTGAATCCGTTCGCAGACAAGTGGAGATTGCACATGAAAGCAAAGATCCAAGTCCGATAGTCGGAACATGCCTCTCGGAGACCCCTCCAGGTACTAGTGCCCTCTTTCTTCTCTGTCGTATCGCGTGCGATGCGGTCGTGTGCCATTTGGCGCTCTTCAGGTGTAAGCCAGCGAGTTTGTAGTGGTGAATTAGGCAAAAGGAAAACAGATAAAATGGCAACTCCAACCGTGGCAACTCCCTGGATGAGGAATAGCCATCTCCATCCAGCAAGCCCATGTTTTTGATCTAGACCAGCAAATACTCCGGCCGCGATAAGCCCGGAAAAGGCACTGGCTAGCATGTTTCCAGTATAGAGTATAGCCATACGTGTTGGTGCTTCTTTGCGGGTGTAAAATTGGGAAATCATGAACAAGGCGCCCGGGTAGAACGGAGCTTCCACGAAGCCGAGGACAAGTCTGCAAACTAGCATTCCGTGGTAGTCTTTGGCCAGGCACGTCAAGGTGGATACGATTGCCCAAGCCATCATGAATCCCGCCATGAAATATGCCGGTTTGACGCGATTAAGTAACATATTCGAAGGAATTTGGCCAGCTAAATAGCTGTTTTACGTTAGAGACCGAGTGTCAGAAATGGGAGGTGGTTGTTTCTTACCCAACGAACAATATACTAACACATGTATTGTACTGAGATCCATGGAGATTGAGATCTTTTGTCAAGCTATTGAGTTTTCCGTTGACCATGGCATTCCGATCCAGAAAGTTGAGAAAATACATCAGCCAAAGAATTGGCTATGATACTGTTAACAATGTCGCGCGGCGAAGATGAGATAGGAGCTTGCAGTACCATCATATGAATGTCAATCTTTTTGACGAGAGCGATCTCTTTCGGATCGGACTTTACTGCAGACCCAAATCGATCATATTGAGGGCTTGTCTTGAGGCCATCCCCCATATGATCAAGGTGCTCGACATGGCTATCGTTCTTCTCGACATCGCCCTTGGTCATTGTCATTGTGATTGTGAGAGAGATACTTCGCTAGGAAACAGCGTATTGGATGTGATCAAATGTAAAATGAAGTATGTGATTACTGGACTTGGAAGTAGTCACAGATATAGCTTATGCTCCCCCGGATATCCCCACGTCTTCGACATCTGGGGTACATGATAGCTAAGCATGCGCTGGCCCACTCGGACTTGCTAAAGTATCCTTGCCAAGAGTTTACCAAAGATGTGCCAAGGAGCGGGGTGGGGTAAGGGTTTCGCTATGCTCTCATCGCTGTGACAAACTGCAGTTGCGTGATGTTATCCGAGTCTGTGCTAGATATTGAGCACGGACAGATAGATATCCGAACGTAGGTAGGATTTAGGCGCAAGGCTCCGTTTGGTGGGAAATCATAGTAATTCATAGCATACGAACGCCAATCAAAATTCCCAAGTGTGAATAGCAAATCCCCGGGGACTCGCTTAGTCTAATCTAGGGTTTGCTTTTCCGGTCGCTTTTCCGAGACACGAACATCCCGCAGTCGGTTCAACCCGAAGGGCTGTGGACAGACAAATTGCTTATAGACATATTGAAGGTATGCTCATCTGTTAATTGTCAATATAATAGCTACGGTTCCTGTGTTGTATGTGTTATATGTGTATCTCGAGACGGCACATGTGTCGCTTACACAGCATGCAGGCTTCAAGTATAATTTCAGAAGATTGTGATAGAGATAAGTAAAGCCCAGTATAGATACATAGAATAAACAAGATCTTGCTTGTAAAACTCAATGAATAATATCTAATGCAGATCTTTGTCTTCGCTCTATTTTCCTAAATTGCCATGGAGTTGCCAACTGTAAGCGGATCCATTAGGACAAAATCCTGACACAAGCTATACATAAAGTGGTCTTTTTAGTTAACGGTTGAAGGACCTCTCTTATAATCCCTGTCTTGACGACTGCTGTATGTAGTTACTCGAAGCAAGTAGTTACTACATTAAAGCCTTATAAACAAGGCCCAGTAGCCCACATGCGGGGCTGACTTACCCCAGATTATCACTTCATGGCATTTCTTCTCTTTTATCCACCTTCGTCTTGGGTTTAACCTAGGCTATCTGATTGGTGCATTTGAAATTGTCCATACCAGAGCCTTTTATCATGTTACTTCCCTTATTGACATGATGTCCGACGAATATCCTAACAAGCGCCGACGCGGACGCGGCAAAGAGCGTGTGCGAGTAACACGTGCTTGTGACGCATGCAAGCGGTAGATTCTCTCCTTTATCTATCACTGGTTTTAATATACTGACATGGTGCGCAGGAAGAAGCTGCGCTGTTCTGGAACCCTTCCCTGTTCACTGTGCCTTCGGTCAGGGGCAAATTGTGAATATAATGCAGACTACACGAGAGGCAAAAAGACCGAAATTCCCCTCCTGGAGCACCATGAAATTGCCAGCTTACAGTCGCCACCAATAACTGCTAAGTCGGCTACCAACGCTAAGTCTGAGAAATTGGACAGCAAACAGCAGTCGTCAGGGCGATCAATCATGTCCACAAAAGAAATATCTCTACCCACAGCTGCTTCTCCGACGCTTGCTCATGCTAGAGTTGCAGATCAGAATCATGCACGGTACAGCCTAGATCATGATACCCGACAGCCCAATCCCCATCTCGCCGCTCTACAGGGAGAAGAAGGCGAAGAAGCAATTTCGTCGCGTAACTCTCCAGAGCCAAATCAAACCGACTTAGAGGGGCACTATGTTGGACCATCTTCCGGGGTATCGTTTTTACTCCGAGTCCAGAAGCGCATCCACGAGAATGTGGCCGTTTTCTCGAATGGGCCCATCTTCAACTTTGGCGATGCACCTTTGCTAAAACACGATTCGCATTTCTTAGTACTTCCACCAAAAGATGAAGCTAAGATTCTTGTAAATCGATACTTTGACTTTGCATTTCCAACCCACCGTTTCCTTCATCAAGCTACGATCGAAACATGGCTCGATACATTCTACTCGGATGTGCATGGATCAGATGATTCACTTAGCCAGGCAGTCAAGGCTCTGTTGTTGATGGTCATGGTTCAGGGGAAACAATACCTTTCTAACCATGGTCCAGCTGTTGGTCAGTCTGTCAAGAGGTATCTAACCTACCCCACAGTGGTATTTGCGCAACCGGCTAACATACCCACAAAGTAACGTGTACTTTGCCGCATCTGAAAATCATTTATTGAAAGAAACTGGGTCAGTAAGGCTTGCAAGCATTCAAGCCCGCCTAGCACAATGTTTCTATCTATTATCCGAGTCACGAGTGAACCACTGTTGGAGTCTCTTCGGTACTACTGGACGCCTTGCCCTTGCGATTGGCCTTCATAGACGATGGCGACGTGAAGCTATATCCGATCATATTGAAAGTGAATGTAGGAAGCGGGTCTTCTGGTGTGCATACAGCTTGGACATCTACCTCAGTGCGGCACTGGGTCGCCCAAAGATCTTTCACGATGAAGATATTGACCAAGTGAGCTTTGGAATGTTACTACCGCAACACATATCAGCTCACATGTTCTTAGGATCTACCAGCATGCGCAAGTGATCTCCAGATTACAACAAGTGCCATTCTGCCAGCCTTTTCTCCTGGGCAAAGCGTAATGCTAGCGCCTGTATTTCACGCAAAGTGAGAAACCTCAACAATTTTCTTTCTATCCACTAACCAATCTCCAGACTCGTAAGAATAATCAGTGGGGTTTTGAAAGAGCTATATGGTCTCAAGAAAAAGAACCTCGAGGCCCAAGCAGTCATCGCACAGAAGTATGGTGCGAGCCTCGCGGAATGGCGAAGTGGCATTGGCCCGTTTCTCGAAACTTCCAACATCGAACTTCTTCAGCCAACATACCAGAGACAGTACAACGTCCTCAATCTAGCATTTGCTCATGCAGAGATTCTACTCTACAGACCATTCCTGCTGCGAAACCTAGCATCACTAGGAAGGCGTTCTGGTCACACGCATTCACAGTTGCAGCAGGATATACAAACAAATGTGGAGAAATGTCTGCAGGCTGCTTCCACAATAGCAGGCTTGTTCAAGCAGCTTTGCAGGTCAAAGCGGATGTATCGATCTTTTTGGGTAAAGACATATCCCTGTTCGGTTGGAATCAGTCACTGATTCGTTCTAGTTTACGCATTACTACGTCTTCTGTGCCATTGTGGTTCTATACGTCTATGTGATTCAGCATCGTTCCACTCCAGCACAGTATCTCAGTCAATATCTGCAGATGGGTGAAGAGGCACAAAAGGACCTGGCCGAATGTGGCAATCTGGCGTCATTTCCACAGCGATACGTCGTGGTGCTTGAAGAGCTACGCAAGGAGGCATTGCGATTGACAAACTCTCCACCTACTTTTACTGCCGTTGGTGGAGTTGGGCATGCATGTGGAGACCTTGCACAGACTGATCATTTCGAGTCGGGCAGCGTGTCTGCGGCACAGGCCACTGACAGTATGAGGAACTATGAGCAGCCAGCATCTCCAGAGTGGATTCCGAATTTTGTTCAGGATCCTAGCCCAGCATCATATCTTGCAGATATGACAGGGTGGAGCGAGTTTGACTCACTCGTTTTGACCGGCTTAGGTGAATTGGGTCATCTCTTCCCGGATGATACTGGTCAATACCAGTGACCTCTAGAGATAATGATAGATACCTACCTCAGTTCCGGATCAGAATATGTTTAGTCTTCTCTCAATAAGCCGACTTTGACCACAATTTCTTCGGGTTATTCCGTTTTGCTTTGGCCGTACTCGATAGACAGGGCTTGGCATGAATATCCCATTATTTCAGGGTACACTATCTCCGGCCTCTCCCCCGTCGGGAAAGTACCACGTTCGATTGTCTGTCACCATCTTGATAAGCAAATCTTATGGGGAAATTGGAAGGAAGAAGGAAATCCTTCGCCCAAGGCAAAGGAGCATAAGCGACCGACAAGCCCCTTGTTATACAATATGCAGGACCTATTCATCGTTGTACAGTAGAATGATCAGATTTCCCAGCCCAGAGTTGCTATTTTTGGTTAATCGACTGTACCTAGAGCCGAGCATGCTTGTAGTCCTCATTTTTATCCTCGGAGCGGACCGTCTTTGCCGTAAATGGACGGTAGTTGTACACTAAGCACGTTTATAGAATAGAAGGGCGCGTATGGAACCATAGAGCCGCTAATGGGACAATCCCTGTTTAGTGGACCCTTTTAGAATCAGCAGTAGTACTGCGGAATTCCCTTTTGAATTGAGAAGTATAAATTGCGCAAAAAATGGAGTAGAGGAATGCAAATGAAAGAGATGCTATATTAAGCTTCATGGGATAGACTTAGTTCAAAAAAGATGTGCTTACTGTCAAGTTGAATGAATAGGACATGTATAAATAGTTAAAGTATAATCTCGATTTAAATATACTACTGGGGTAATAGTTACTAGGACTACTATCTGTATTCTTCGCAAAAACCCTGTCCCTCGACCGGCTATCTAATGATGCATCCCACTTCCCTATCATGTGAACCTTGCATAATCCAAGACCAATAACAGTGATCTATACATATCGCTTCAGAGAAATCTGAGTGCTATATATTGTTTGGGAAGCTGTCAAAATTTGGAGGGGTCTGTTTATGAATAAATTCAAACCACACTTGTTAGCATTCAACCTGAGAGGGAATCTGCTACGACTATGCATATGCAGCTCTCCTATGTTCATGCAGTCCTCCGATTACTCTGCGTACGTAGCTCCTTCCTATCAGAGATGTCTTAATTATCAGCTTCATAATATCTCTGTTCGCTCGCTTCGTCAAAATCGAAGATATTTTGAAAGAATGAGGACAGTGGGTTCTAAGGTTGCCGCTAAGCAATCAACCACAAGACATGTTTTTAAGGACTGAAGCGGAAGTAACGAGAGATGTCATAGTGGCAACACTGTGTTTATTCTCATCTAAATGTCCAGGCTGATACCCTCGGTCTTCTTGTCCCATCATACCCAGTCGCCGAGTGTACGTGACTCGGGTCATATGCATCTCCAGTTAAGGCATATTAGCGTGGGTAAGCCATAGCTTAATTTGATCATGCATAAAATATACTGTACTTTCCATCTTATATAGGAACAAATAAAATAGAATGGCTATCTCTTTATCCACCCGGAATCTTTCGTTCCATCGCTGTCGGGCCGAAGACCTCGGGAAGTCACATTCCGGCTCCCGCTCCACGTCCGGCGAATGCGAATACATTTGTTTCGGATCTTGGGGAATACGTTGGTCATCCTAAAGAAAAGATTATCTACCTGTTCCAAGACAAGCATCCACAACTCCCTCCACATCAATTCTCTGGAGCTTACATATCTCAAATATACCCCGCAATCCCCGCCATTTCCCCAGACACTATGGGCAAACGCATCGTGGTCACCGGTGGCTCCGGTAAAGCTGGGCAGCACATTATCAGATATCTCCTCGACCAAGGCCATGACATCCTCAACCTTGACCTGATCCCTCTTCCAGCGGATCTGGAGGGCCGAGTGCACACGCTAAAGGTCGAACTGACCAACAGCGGCCAAGTATACAGCGCCCTGGGCTCTCATTTCCACCTGTCAGAGCCATTCCGCGAGCCACTCGGACTCATTCCAGATGCAGTCATTCATCTGGCGGGATATTCACGCAACATGATCGCCCCAGATGAAGAGACGTTCCGCTGCAACACCCTGGCAACGTATAACATAATCGAGGCGGCATCCCGCCTCAACATCAAGAAGATCATCATCGCCAGCTCAGTCACTGTCTACGGCGTTTCCTACGCGGAGGGTGACGTGGATTACCCATCTTTCCCAGTGGAGGAAACAGTCGACGCCAACCCCATGGATACATACGCCATCTCCAAGGTGTGTGGGGAGCGCGTTGCCCGCGGCTTTTCCCGTCGGTACGGGAGTGACATCTACGTTCTGCGAATCGGACGTATTGTCGCGCCGGAGGAGTACAAGGAGGCCATGTTCCGGTCTTATGTTGAGACGCCTGAGAAGTGGGCGGCGCATGGCTGGGCTTACATTGATGCACGCGATCTTGGACAGATGTGTGACCTTGCAGTGCGAAAAAATGGCCTTGGGTTCCAGATCTTCAATGCTATCAATGACGAAATTACGAATTATGAGCGTACGGCGGATTTCCTTGCTCGGATTTGCCCCGGTATTCCAATTACGCGAGAGTTGGGGGCCAGAGAGGCACCTATCAGTAACCGGAAGATCAAGGAGCTTCTTGGGTTCAAGGAAGAGCATCATTGGATGAAGTACTATGAATAAGAGAAAAATAAGAGAGTGAGATTTATTTCACAATCGAAGTACGGAGTACACCGACTTTTATAGGACAAAGTGTAGTTGACATGTCTCGACTGAAATATAACGTGTAGGAAATATGAGTCAGCGTATGACATTACGTGACCCCAATAGGGCAAGTGATAGTCTCATTCGGGTTGCTGCTAGTTTTTCTTTCCAACTCCGTACAAGACGCCTAAGCCTTGGCATGGGCGATCGAGCCGCTAAGGGCAGGTAAATGGTGTGTATCGATACTCCTTGCAATCCTTGCACTCTTTGAGGCTGGAAGACCCCGGTCTGGTCTTGGCGCACAAAGACACCGTCAAGACGCCGTCAAGACCCCGATATTCCCCTTTAGCGGGGCTCTACCCCTCGGAGTTATTGGAAATATCTCCTGACCCACCCGACACAAGTTTAGATCTGTGAGACGTTGCGAGATTGACAATCACATTATGGACTGGGGGGGGGGAGGAAATGCCTGGGGACGCGGCTGGGAAGCGACTGGGAAGCGAATCCTTCCAACGTCGATTCGCTTTTGGATCTCACCGGTGATTTCATGCGGGATGAGCCCTTTTTTTAGCACTGTAACCTCTAATATTACCCTGTTCGCCTACCCCGGGCTATCACCCGGCCCCCGCATGGGATTATACGGGGTGCGCCTTTCTCTAGCTCCGCCTCTTTGTTTGCCTATTCCTTTCTCTTTCTCTCTAAGCCTTTCCCCAGATTTCATATCTACCCGTCTCACCTGCTGCATCTCTTCTACGCTACCCACCGCCATGTCCCATTTCCTGATACTAGGTCAACGCTATGACTGACTTCACCGCCCCTGGGAATGGTATCAGCGGTGGCTACCAGGGAGCTTCCCTGGGCATGAAAATCACGATCGCTACTCTCGCTGGTATCACCTGGTATAATGCCTTCGAACTGATGATTCTGCTTTTTGTGACCTTCGCCGAGTACAGAGGCCTCTACTTTTGGAGTTTACTGATCTCGTCATCTGTTGGTCTCCTGCCCTACTCGCTGGGCTTTCTACTCAAGTTTTTCAACCTTACCGACATACGATGGCTTCCCGTCACATTGCTCACAGTCGGATGGTGGTGCATGGTCACTGGCCAGTCCGTTGTTCTGTATTCACGCCTACATCTGGTCCTCTCAAACCACCGGGTCCTACGTCGCGTATTGATCATGATTGTTGTTAATGCAGTTATTCTTCATCTCCCTACAACTGTCCTTACCTACGGAACGAACCTCGCCGTCGATACCTCTCTGGAATCATGGAAGAAAGGCTACAACATAATGGAAAAGCTCCAAATGACAGGGTTCTGTCTGCAAGAGTTCATTATTTCGGGCCTATACATCTGGGAGACAGTGCGCATGCTGCGCCTGGATCCAGATCGCGCCAAGCGCAAGATCCAATACCAACTGCTGATCATCAACTTCATCATCATCATCCTAGACCTGGGCCTACTCGTCGCCGAGTACAAGAATTACTACATTATGGAAACGATGCTCAAAGGTGCCGTCTACAGCATAAAGCTGAAACTCGAATTCGCTGTCCTCGGAAAACTCATCCACCTCGTACATAACCACGTATGGAAACCCGAATCTTTCTCCGCACCACGCGACCTCCCCGATTTCGTCGATGCAGCCCGTGTCACTTCAGATGTTACCCACGCTCCTCCCACAGTCAATCAGCGCATACCATCAGGAATGGACGCGGATGACATCTCCATCGCCATGTTTGAACATTTGCCACCCACTCATCTCCGGAGAAACTCTGACTCCAATTCTTGGAGCAGCGAGGGTCGCGCATACCATGTGGATCATGCGCCGATTGACTTCACCAACCCTTTTGAGTACCCAAGGCATGCGAGTCGGTCTCGGAAAATGATTGAGAAACCACGTTGAGCATCTTGTGACTACGATACCCTTCTATCTTTTACGAATCACGATTTATGAGATACGACCACTCCTGATATCCCATTTCCATGTTTGTGAACATATCATACCCGCTTTGAGGCTCTTTCAACTGGGCCGAGGTACGATGACCTCCACATGCCAGACCGCGGGCCGCCCGACTTAATTGTCGAGGATTTTTGGTTATACTTTGCGGTGTGCGCCGCACTATACCCCTTTTTATATGATCTGCAGATTTCTCCTGGCGGCAATCCTTGAACTTGCAATGTAGATGCACCATTGCTCTTTGTATATACCCATTTCTAATGTTTATTTCTTCAAAGAACCTTTTGTAACTGGATATTATCTCAAGGGCTAGCCTTTGTCTGTACCGGAGACGCGGATGCTCTCTATTGCATTTGGGTATACGAACTCACTCCTTGCTTTTTCAAGACGGTAGAGATCACCGTCTCCGTACGAAAATGTATATCTTCGGCGCTTGGGGGCCGTATGCCGGCCCCTAAACCAACCAATCCCCCAACAGTCGCCTTAAGCCCGACTTCGCTCTTTGTGACCTCATCTCTTTCATTATCCCGGTCCCTCTTTGGTTGCGATGGCCTGCTGCCGCGGAGCTTTTGCTATCTCCAACATGCTTGTGATAGAGCAAGTTGCTTCAAGCTAGTATAACAATGACAATGTCAAGCCCTTACTTGCAGCATACTTTATGTAGGGTTGGTTATGATACATTTCTTTCCTTCAGACCAGCTTGAATCCACCAACAATATTCTCCGGAAATCAGCGTCCCGTTCTTGTCCTCAAACTATTCAGCAGGCATCCATTTCACTGCAATAGGATCATGCTTTTTACTTCGGATCCTCCTATCCTTAGACCACAGCTGAAATGAAAGATCAGCTGGCCCAACCACCACCTTCACATCAAATGTAGTTCTCCAGAAAGCTGGCTTCATATTGTACCAGTGCCGATTTTTCAATTTCTTATCCACACTTTCGGTTGCAATGTCAAGGCTGCAGACCAGATGAACGCCACTTTGACTAATACTACTAGGAAGCTTTTCTGGTGTAAGAGTTGACATGACGATCTGCACCTCCCAAGGCCCAGTTTCATGGCCGGGGTCCATTTTCAATTGGAATTCCTTTGTAATGCCCGTGTATGGAATGGAATTTCCCTGTAAATAGCAAGATGTTAGTCAGACCCCAAGAACGACGACAAGAGTGAAAAAGTCTGAGCCCAACCTGAATGACCAGCCAGTCAACTTGGTCAACAGCGAAGGTCTTCTTATCTCGTGGATCAAGCCGGACTCGTTCTCCAACGTGGGTCTCTGGGTCGTATATCTTGTCACATATAATGCCGTAGCTCACGGGTGAGCATCTCGATCCAAAAGTGACGACTCCACGCTTGATTTGCTGTATCCGATCTATGACCAAGCCGTGTACAACCACAAGCTGTCTTTGCAGAAGTTAGATAGAAGGTCTTGGGAGCCCGATGAGCAAACCGGGAATACTCTACGTACGGCTCATCTGCAAGTAGAATCTGCATGCCCTCTGCATTAGGATGTACAGGCGCACTGGGCTCACTGTATCTTTCTAGAAGATATTTTCGCACATACGGGGAGCTGCCGAATCCCCCCGACAGGATAAGATATGTCTACCTCGGACAGGATTGTTAGTTATGTATCCCCGGTAGAACTTATATTCACGTACTATTTGGTCACCAGGATACTTAGCATGCATCTGGCGAATATGCCCATCCAAAAGATTGCAAATTTCTTGGGCCTTAACGTCAAAGCACTCTTTGACAAGGGCCCTTCAACAATGTCAATCACAAATCGTCTAAGAAAATAAGCTCGGAACATGATTATTACTTACCATGCGATACGCATTTGTCCGTTGTATATCTCTGCTTCTGGGAAGCCTGAATTGGGCTCCAAGGAGGGAACATCCAACGTCAGCCACGGCGTCAACGTGGCTTCGGTGCCAAACGCGCATTTCAATCTTTGAAAGCGACCAGAGGTCATTTTCCATGCTGCTTCACTGGGCGAGAGACTTAAGCTTTCTTTGACTTTCTCTAGCCTTTCACAAATGAGTTGATGGATTTGTTTGTCAATGAAAACCGAGCCAATTGGTTGCCCTGAGGTTCTGTCAGTAGATTTTCTCGCACATCCATTGCTCTGTTAAGTATTACCTTCGACATGACCAAGTTGCTCGAGCCGCGTGGGCTCGCCTCGGGATGACATGAGCTTAAGAACATTGACGTCCTGTATTGATGAGAAGACAGTCGCAGCAGTCAACATGAATGCATTACTCACTGTAGTTCCTCCACCTGCATCACATACCAGGATAGTATCATCCACATTATAGTGCTCATTCCCAGCATAGACCGCAGCCGCTTCAGCTTCAGTAAGACCTATAGAGGCACGATGATTCGAAGTCTTCGAATTGATTGCGCTCTCAAGAAGCCTTCGAGTTTCCTCGACCATTCGAACATCCTTCCAGGTTGTGGGGACACTGAAAAGGAACTCGACATTGCGCGAAGCAAAATGAGGAATTGTGTTGTTAAAATGGGAAAGTACATGTTGGTATATGCATTGAACATAGTCTTGAAACCAGCGCTGAGCTTCATGTCGACTGGGGGCACCGGGGTACTCATCTTGATACTGAGGCGCGAGATGCAACTTGAAGAATTCTTTGAAGTTCGAGCCTTTGGCTTCAGGGTCGCATTGAAACCCCCAGTTTATAACTGAATTAGAGTCAGAGTCATACTCGATGCAGGTTGGCACTTTGTTCGCCAGTTCTCCCGGAAGCTTCCCTGGCCAGCGTTGGAGGGTTTTCGGAGGAAGCCATTCTGGCGCAGAGGAATATGCAACCCCTGGTTATATGTTAATGTATATGCTTAGCTTGGATTGAGCTTGCTTACCAGTATAGGTCATCCCGAAATCAATGCCCACCACAATATCCGGTGTCCATTCGTCCCAACTTTCCGCTGTTAGTGCCACAACTTCTTTTTCGTTCATCTTTCCGGTTGTCAGAGCGAAACTTGTGCTGTGTTGTAGGAGCTAATTCTCTGGTATAAAAAGATGGCCCGAATAACCGGGATTTCTCTGTTTTCATGAAAAAATTACTGATTTGACCCCCTGACAGGGGTGCATAAGAAATGAGATCGCTCTTCCTTAGCTTGGATTCAGCGTTCAGCTCATGCAGCTAGCTGTTCAACTAATATCAAAAAGTGGATCAATACCCTTGTAGTTCATTTTTTGGTGCTCTGTTCCCCGGCTGCATTCATACTATCCTATTTCAGTTAACAATCCAGCCACGAGTCATGTCACCCTTAAGTACATTGGAGATCCCGGATTGCGAATCTCATCCAAGCCCGCATCACTATTCATACTTTTACTCCATCCACAAATGAGTAACACATTTGAAGCTCGGCAGGAAGGTGCTGCACAATCCTCTTCATCTGCGGCGGCCTCTTCTTCTTCTTCCGCTCCAGGGTCGTCCGATTCCGCGAATCCATCAAGTACAGCTCCACCCACACCACAAGATGCAAGCTCTACTACACCCACATCACAAAATGCAGGCTCTACTGCACCCACCACAACAAAGTCTGCCGCGCTCATTCGTACCTCACTGGCGACGTCATCGGAATCGCCTTCCAGTACATCAAGCATAACAAATATCGCAAGCAGCAGCGCTCTACCCTCAGGATCTCATAAACCAAGCTACTCCGGTGGGACTCTCGCAGGAGCTATAGTAGGATCCATTGCAGGAACACTTCTCCTGGCTCTGCTGGCCTTCTTCTGCCTGCGCCATCGCAGAAAGCGCAACCATCCCGATGCAATGGCCCAAAGTTCCATATCTGTAACAACAGAGACCCCCAAACAACCCGCACAGATTCAAAGTCGCATTTTCGGTGCCACTGCTGCTACTTCGCACGATAAGCACACACATATCCCTCCCGCTATCGAGTCGCAACGTTTTGATCTCGCGTCATATATCCCAAGCCCGGTGGATGATAACACTGTTTCCACGAAAATTCAAACTCTCTATGATCAGGCCAGTCTACACATCGACAATTACTACTCTCATACCAATCTAGCACTTGGGTTGACACCGGATGTCGTGGCTTGCATGAACAAATTTGATTCACCATTCCTCCCGTCTCCTTTGGCAATTTTACTCTCAAACCCAAGGTCTAAGAGAGCTGCTCTGACACACACTTTGGTGAGGGCTCTGCTGCAGGGTATTCAACCAGGGAGCCAAACATGCTCTCTCCTTCCGCCATGCTATACAATGAGCCGAAACAAACAAGAAACTAGTGGTGATGATTTTGGTACGCTTCTCACATCCCGTATTCCTCGTCGATACTGAGCTGATTAAATCTACTATAGATGACCATCGTGTCATGTTTGCCTGGCGTATGTTAACGTCAAACATCTATACTCGGGGCCATAACCTCCAGGGACCTACTTCCGCGATAACGTTATCCCAAAGAGAGGCAATCGCAGCTCTAGTAGAAGATTTTGCTACAGCGTTCGCGCCGTATATTGATTCCCGTTTTACTGTGGAAGATCACCTCGGCCACCTGACCAGCGTGGTCCAGGCAGCGGCCGACCTTGGCGCTTGGCTATTTTCTCAGCCGTGTTCCTTTGAGTTCCGATGGAGTCCATTGGTTACTCCTTTGAATCAAGTTATCATGTTTCCAGCTGTTCTTAAAGTTGGTGATGAACAGGGGCGCCCATTGTCGGTCCCTCATACACTAGTGGAAGAGACCTCAGCACGAATTTGATAGCTGGATGTCTCTTTCGGCATTTTTGTTGGGTGTAATTAATTTGCGTGTATCTTTTGTTAAGAAAGATTTGTCCATGGGAATCTAGGGCAGATAGCTGCAGCATACGATGTTAAGGGTATTTGTGTAAATGGAGTAATACTGTTTCCTTCCACTCAAAATCGTGCATACAGATATCGTGTTTCAGAGGCCAGATAATAAAAAGCACTTAGATGTTTAAACGGATTAAGATGGAACTGAAATCCAAAAAAGGAAGGTAGTACAACAAAAGAGACTAATTCAACCCAGTTCCTCCGTAGTAGAACCCATAGAGTGTTTCAGTTCAGTCAATGCTCCCTTAGACTGACGCCACGCCAACATATCGTGCATCTCGTAGTTCAGGAGACTTTTCGCCCCCACGACCTCCTGCGTATCTTTTGCCGGTCCACTAGATCCAGACCGTGGCCCCTGTCGCCCAGATATGCTGCGGGTGGAGTTTGTTGACAGGGTGTCAGCTCCGAGCTCATGCACGACGGGGGATTCAGGTATAGGGGATACGGGAATATCCAGCCGCTGGAGATGACCCAAAACCAGCATTAGGCTGTGATGACACGCCAATAAACGTTGGCTTTTGATCTTAGCTCGTTGGCTGTCTCTGTAGAGCCAGCGCAGTTGCCGCCCCAGGGAGAGCCTTCCGTTGCGGGTCTCGCTCTCGACTCGTATGGGCTCGATTAGGGTGGCTGCTTCGCGGACTGCATCCGCAACGTCTTCGAGGGTTTGGTCGATCCAGCTGCGTTCGCTGGTTTCTAGGAGAGGAGCCTTTATTTCACGTAGACGCTGCGCCTCGTGAAGCTGGGCAAGGGTGTGCTTTGTTGTCTTGAGTAGCTCGGCTGTTTGTTCGTTCGCGGAGGACAAGTGCATCTCCCGCCCCAGGGCTCGCCGGGTCCCGGATGTCACTTGAGATTTCTCCTCTTTGGGGCCGGTGTGCGCCCCAGTCAGCTCCATTGCAGGTACTAGAGACCTGAGCTTCCAAGTAGGGGAATAGCTTGGACAGGCAGAAAACGCAGGAGGCACCTGTCTCCGCTTTATCCAGTTGTTTTTCTTCGTCGGAAGGGCTAGCAGGGCGTCTATGCACCTTTCTCATTTCGGAACTTTGACCTGCATTACTAGGTGCATGGAGATCCATGCTAGCTCTGTACATAGTTAGTGCAGGTGCAGTTAGTGACCCAGGGATTGTAACATCGGATTAGTAGTGCGCTTGGATTTTGTTGGCCTCAAATATGTATACAAAGCTTTGGAGGACAGAATCTCGTGAAATCCTAATATGAATAGGGAGGACATCGGCCAATGTGAAGCTGGGAAAATGATTTAAAGTCCACGGCAAAAGACGACAATACGAGTACATGTAGCTGGTGCTCTTGGCAAGCCACTAGCGCCGGACAGATCTTAGTTCAGACACCCAGGCAACTGTTGGTCCCAACTCGGTATAGATCGATAGGGATTTCCAGTGTCGTTTGGCGAGGCTATGGAAGAGAAGGTACGCAAGCCCCACCTAGCAGAGGAAATGGTACGAATGATGACCTGGGCATTGATTATCAAGTCGGTTCATCGATTTCACAACACCAACGCTTCTTGTTCATGATATCAATAAGCGCCCCTTCCTTCATCTATCAGCCTTCGTGGTCTAGTTGGTTATGACGTCGGTCTCATATATCCTTTCTTATGACATTCTTGGTAACAAGATTGACATCCGAAGGTCTCCAGTTCGAACCTGGACGAGGGCAATTTTTTTTATTTTTGTCATATTTCTTATATGACGTCATATCAGGCTGTTCTATTTTTTTTAGCATGGAGCTATCGTGATGCTGGACAATGCCCTATATAGAGCTATAATATTGACATTTTTGCCTGTGTAATTCCCTTGTTTCATATTCAGCAGCACCGGGGTGGTTCAACTGGCAGAAGCATCTTTGATACGGATATATATATATTGCTGAAATATATACCGACCAAAGCTAGTTTAAATTCGATATACATAGCTACACCAAGACTAAGTATCAGCATCAGAATCACATCTTTCCATAGCCACAACCACCAGACGAAGATCCACCCAGAGTATCGGTATGTCCTATCACGGAAATGGACAGTTGGGTTGACCAGCCGCATATGCCGTTCCCACCTAGCTTCACATCAGAAATAGCCTGACATTATTGTGAGCGTTATGCATACCAGCAAAGAGAGGACCGCAAACATGACTATACACCCAAACCGAAGCTATGGAAGATAGAGATAAAGTTTAATTTAATGGTCTATTTCTTTTGTCCGTTCTATAGTATATTCAATTGGTCTGTAATGAAATCCAAACAAACAAAACAAAAGGGACTAAGCTATATACAAAAAGAAAATTCATCTATATTACGCCGTCCAGCAGCAGAGACATGAGATTTAAACAACGCATAATAAAAGAATACGTCCTTAGCCGAGTCGCAGGCGACCAGGCACAGCCCGCCCACCAAACAACCTCGAAACACCACCTTCTTCCGTGGTAGTGTTGTTGTTACCTGACATCCAGCGCGGAAGGCGGAATGGCTCACCCTGGAACCACTGAGGCGTATTAGTAGTGTCGAAAGTATTCTTCACACGATGTGCAAAGGACTGGAAGAAGTTCTCGTCTTCTTCCTCTTCACCCTCGACAATCGTCGGGGGAGCTACGGTCCGCTGGGTAGGCTGGGGAGAGCGAGAGCCCTCGGCAGCTGGGACACGCAGGCGAGAGGAGCCCGGGGAGCCTTCTTCGTTGCGGTCTGATGCCCAGGTGGAGCGGCTGCCACGGGAGGAGACTGCCAATGAGCCGAAGCCGTTCAGCTCGCGCTCAATGAGGTCGCGGCCCTCGCGCCAACCGCCTAAGCCATATCCGGCGGGGTTGTTCTCCACATCGTGGATATCGTCATCCTCTGCAAGGCCGCATCCGAAGACGTTCTTGATGCGGCCGTAGAGGTTGAATAGTGTTGCGCAGATAGGCAAGAGGATAAGGATGGGGAAGATGAAATCGAATCCTTTGCCGAGGGGCGTTAGGTTGATGAGCTTGCCGAGGAACTCGTAGAATGTGGTACTTCTACGGAACTCCTTGGGCAGGAATGTCAAGAAGTTGTAGGCGATTGGCACTGTCAGACGAGCCACAAGACTGGCGTACCAGCATGCACTTTCGCCGTATGTGTTACGTCGGACAAGTGCTCGGTTTCCCCAGACTTTGACATCGCTGACACCAACGAGGGCTGCCGAACACATGTACAACAGCCAGGCAGAGGCGATGAGTTGACCGCCAAAACCGACAGGGCTGGATTTCCAGTTCGGAACAACAGTCAGACTAATAGCAGATAGATGAGGCGCCAAAGACTTGATCAACTCTGACCAAACAATGCATCCAGACGCCACAGCGAAGAATGCTCCAAATGCTAGCCTGACCGCAGGGATGACATTGGAGTATAGTTGATACCGCATGTACGGAGTAAGGAACTTCACGCGGGGGAAGCAGGAAGACCGTCGAGCCCCGGGAGCAAATTCAAGCTTCTTTGAAGCCGCGGAGTTGATAATAGCTTGGAGATCAGCAGCCAACTGGACTGTGCGATCCCACTCATCCACAAACCGAGCCTTCATGTGGCGAGCACGCTGAATCCGTCTTGTCAGATCGGCCAGATAGCGCTCTGTAATTACAGAGGGTATAGTAGCAGAGGTATCCTGAGATTCAAGGATTGGGGCCCGCACGTCGGGTTGACCGTGACCTTCCCGAAGCTCTTCAATCCACTCCCGGAAGTCGCGGGCAGTACCGGTCTTGCGCTGTTGCAACTGAGAAACCTGCGCGTTAAGGTTTTCCACTTCATTGACGGAGTCCATCAGTCGATCGTGTACCTTGGGCGCATGCGCTTGGATTCTTCGTAGCCGACCGCTGACGTTCGAGTTTCGGAGCAGATTGCGTGGGATGGAAACTAGGCCGTGACCCATAAGGTAAATGGCAAGCACCAGACCCCACACATATGCCAATGCCATGACGAGACCCTTGATTGATCTCAAACGGAAGCCGTTTGAGATGGAGACGTAGACCAATCCCACCAACGCACAGCCCAGGACGATTAATTGGTATTTAGCGTTGGATCGGAGGGAGTACATAAGGCGGGCTTTGGGTTCACGGTATCCGGAGTCGACGTATTCACCGAGCAATGGAAGGATAGCCCTGTAGGAGAGATGACAATGAGTTACGGTCCATATCCATGTCGAAGAAGGTGAGCCACTTACCAAGTAAGAACAAAGATTAGCCAGTAGGCAATGCGCCAGCAGACCAGAACCATTCGCTCTGGCAACCAGATTGCCTTGGGACCGGAGCCATCGTGGGAACTGGACGCCAAATCAATGGGAACCAAGAGAACGACACTGGCAGGCAGAGCCAGAGCCAAGAATATGGGGACAATGAGGTAGCCCGGAGTGGCGCGCAATGTCAGGAATCGTCGTAGGAGCAATAGTACAAGTGCTGAAATGAAGAAGAGGGCGAATGCGAAAAAGACGTTCGAGCCCACCGAAATGGGCGGTACGGAGACGGAAAACATGCTGGAGGAACAGCGGAAGTGATAGAACAAGTCGTTCAACCGTTGTTCATGACGAGAAATACCAGGATCTCGAATAGAAAGGAGGAGCCCGATGACACGCGAGTTGTTGAAAGGCAAGCCATATATAGAAACGGGGCCCAAGGTTGACGTTTCCAGGAGAGTGGCTGACTTAAGCTCTGACTAACCAACATGAAGTAGCGGGAACATTGGCCTGGGTGTCGTGTGCCATAGACAGTGGAGTACCCGTTACCAGCCATCACAGTAATTAGCCCGGATCAGGTCAGGGCCAGAACGCCTTGTCGATCACCATAAGAATCCAGTGGTATTTCAAGGTTGATTATATATAGGCATTGCTAAGGTTAATACTTAGTGTACAGAGTACTATTGTATAATATAATATATTTGCATTTACCCTTACTCCGTACTTCCCAATGTTCCAACTCCACACTATGACGACGTGCTAGAGCTCTCAGGCTCTGAAGTTGCGGCCTGAGGGATCAGCGGTATTATTGATACATGTAACAAACAGCCCTAGGGTACACTCTAAGTCAGTTTCACCCGCCAGGAGAGTACCCCATGACATCGCAATACCAAATACCAGTCTATTGATACGCGCCCACCCTCACCATCTGATTCTCTTTAACCTTCAATCGTCAATAGCCCTTCTTTTGTCTCTTCTCTTTTCTCTCCCTTCTCTCTTATCCATTCATTCGCATTTTGTATATCCGCATCATCTCAACTTGACCCGCCACTCCCTTTCCTCCCTCCCCCCCGATCTGTGCACTCATCGCTTTGTCTCAAGATTCAGACTTTTGGTTCGTATCTAAGCTCCCCGACTCCTCCCCTCTTTCGCTCGAGAGGCAACAGAGCCCAGTGCGACTTGAGCGTTGCAACATCCCTGTCACGGATCCCATCCACCCTACAACTGCCCTCATTGGCTCCAAGCCATATTCAGGTGTCGGCCAGCGAATGGCATCGCTCTGACGCTGGTGCCCGAACGCCTTGCTTTCCCCGTCGTGTTGGCTCGTTGCGTGCCTCCAGTCCCTCCAGCCCTCCGTTTCGTCCATTTTCATTCCATCCCCACCCTCCCTGATTGACTCGAATTACGGTTCCACATCAGCACCTGCTTGCTTTTTTTCCGCTGATCGACCCGTGTCGAATCCCTTACGTCTTCATCTGCTGACCTTGCGACATCTTTCACAGTTGCGCGTGGTATTCCAGCTAATGCTGACCTTCAAGAAAGTTCCTCGCGGATTGCTCATTGATCCTCCATTGATGGGGTGTCCGCTATGAATCCGGGAGAGTTCGCCAACCCGGGCGCGGGACCTGGCCGGCCAGCCCTGCCCGTTGGGATGAGGCCTATGAAGGCGAACATGCAACCACAGAAGAATGAGAATATACAGGCTATTATGAACCATGTCGCCTCAGTAATACAAAATCAGGGACCTCATGGTGGTTGGAAGGCCACGGTTCAGGTAAAGGACCGCGCCATGCACATTTATCAAATGTGAGTGTTTCTCTGTCTGCGCTTGTTGTGTGTTTCTACTGTGTCTGACCCGTGTTTGAATTAGGATCTCTTCCCTTCGTCTTATTCAACCTAGCATCGGTCTCAGCCAAGCAGCCCAGGCGGCCATGAGTTTTGAGTCGAAAGCCTTCTCCAAAGCCAATGAACGAGTCTGTCCTGACCCTTTTTTATTTCACTCGAACCTCATATGCTGACTGGGAGGGCTTGCAATTTAGGATGATTATGAGAAGGAATGCACCGAAAAGCTTCTTCACATCAAAGACACACGAGAGAGACAAGCCGCGGTCGCCTACCAAACTGGAATGATGCCCCAGACGGGCGCTGTCCAAAATCAGATCCCTGTCGGTTTCCCGCAACAAATGAATCAGAACATGCAAAACTCCCCTGTTCCCGGCCAGAACCAAATGGCAATGGGAATGAATAATGCTGCCCTCCAGCAGCAGCAACAGCAGCAGCGACAACAGCAACAGTCTCAGGCGATGCTTCAGCAACAGGCGCAACAACAACAGCGCACCCAACAACGTCCTGCAAATGGCATCCCCCTACCCGACGACCTCAACACCTTATCCCCTCAGGACCTCGATCATGTTTCTCGACTGGCAAACGAGATGCTGAGCAAGACTTCCCCCGAAGACATGGAAAAGATCAAGCTGAACTTGTCAAACATGACCCCCGAACAGCGTCAATATCTGGCAAGAAAAAACCTTGATCCGATGACCTATTTCTTCCGCTCTCAGGCACTCGGTCAGATCAGACGTCATCGTCGCGCCCGTGCAGAAATGGGACGCACTCAAAACGCTGGAATGGACCCCAATGGCAACATGATGGGTGACCCCATGATGAATTCCCAACAGCAGCGACAGGCGTTCCAGAATATGCTGAACCTTCAGCGTAATAATGCATTCCCTGGTAACCCTGGCCAGTCGATGGAGCCTCCGAACTTCATGGGCAACGTGGAAAACATCCAAGGACAGCAGGCAGATGGCCTACGCTCACAAGAAGCTGGCCAGCTAGTGGTTCCTGCAAGTTCATCGCAAATGAACCAGGCACCATTCCCAAACAACAACCACAATAACATGTTCCCGCAACAAATGGGCCAGAATGGCCAGGCAAACATGAACGGCGACAATGTCAACGCCCAGGCCCAATTCCTTGCTCAGCAGCAGCATATGCAAGGCGGCTCCAATGTTCCCCAGGATCGAATGCAGTTCCAGGCCCAGGCCCAGGCCCAGGCTCAGGCGCGTGCACAGGCGGCTCAGAAAGCTCAGATGGCAATCTCAGGTCAAGGTGGCCAGGCGAACCCCCAAGGACAGTCACAACTCACTGGCCAGAGTCCCGGCATGCCGATGCTGAACCAACCGATGGCACCCGGTCAGATGTCGCCAGTTCAGGTCCCTGCTCAAACGCGACCACCCTCCCGTGCTCCGAACATGGGTCAGCACCCTGGTGGTGTTCAAGGACAGGCTGCAATGCAAGGTCGTCCACCAATTCCTCCCAATATCCCGCCACATGTCCGAGAACAACTTGCCCGTATGACCCCAGAACAGGCCCAAGCTTTTATTTTGAACCAACAGCGTCGGGCTGCTCTTGCAAGCAATATGGCTCGAAATTCCGCCCAACAACCCGGCTCTCTACAGCAAAACCAAACCCAGCCAGGCCAACCCCAGCAGATGATCAATAATCAAATGGGCAATGCCATGATGAGAGGCTCGATGAACGTCCCTCAGGATTTGAACCCCGGAGGACTACCCCAAGGCCAGCAGCTGACCCCGCAGCAGCGTCAACAACAGCAGAACGAAATGTTCAAGCTCCAACTGCTGCGACAGCAAAACAATGGAGTGGAGATGACCGCTGATCAGAGCAAGCAAATGGACCGTGTGGCGTTCCCACCGTCGATTTTGAACATGAACGGCACCTCAATGCAAGTACCTAAGAACATCAAGAATTGGGGCCAACTCAAACAATGGGCTGCATCAAACCCTGGAGTTTCAAGACCTAATGATGTGTCCCGGCTTATGATGCTCCAGAAGCTTCACCTGGGTCAATTGCTTTCATCTGGTACCGGTCTAGTCAAAGACCCGAATACACCAGCTCAACAGGCAACCCCCTTCCAGAGCACCCAGAACCAATTTCCGAATCCCCAGGGCTTCCCTGTCGGTCAGCAACAACCTACCCCTAACATGGCGGGCATGCGGCCGATTTCCGCCCAAGACATTCAAATAGCGCGTCAGAAGCTGGGACCCCAGTCAGCCAACTTCAGCGATGAACAGATCCGCGAAATTCTGCACCGGAACCGTCAAAGGCAATTATTGCAGGCCGCGCAAAGCCGAGCTATGCAAATGGAAGGAAACATGCCGCCTGGGCAGCAAGGCCAACCGACGACGCAACCCCCGTTCCCTACAGCCCAAGCTGTCCCTCAACCTAAACCACAAGCTCCTCAGCAGACACAGCAGCCTGCAGATCCACAATCATTGAACGCAAAATCCCAAGCCACGGCCACAGCCAAAAATGCCAAGGCCGTTACCGGGAAACAGGCGTCAAAGAAGCGACCCAGCACAGATGATACTGCTGACGCCAGAGCCATGGCTACTCCCCAACAGAGCCAGCCTGCAATGGCTCCGGGTGCAGGGACTGGCCCTTCCAGGCCAGGACTCCCATTTACGCAAGAACAGCTTTCACAGATGACTCCCCAGCAGCGAGCCCAGGTGGATGCGCACATTTGGAGGCAACAACAGGCTCAACCCAAGATTCTTAGCAGAGCTGCCGCCGAGGAAGCGTGGAACAAGAACCTGCCACCTCAAGTCATGGAGGTTTACAATGAGATCTCCAAGGCCGCCCCACCTGCAAAGCCACTGCCCATCAGTCCAGAGGACAAGATCTCAATGACAAACCAATTGCGTGAATCCTTGCAGGTCCTTGGTCGGTTGGATGCTCTGGTGCAATGGTATGCGAAAGTGCCAGGCCAGGAGAAGAACGTCAGAAATCTTCTCGCTATGGTGAGTACTTTTCATTCTGGTAATTGAAGCGATTTTTTGCTAATACAGAGTCAAATAGCGCATCCAACTAATGAGACAGTTCAAGCCTTCGCAAGATTGGGTTGTTAATGATCATTTCACAATCACCAATGATTATCTTCACGGCGCTGTCATGTTCATGAAAAGGCTGTTCCAGTTGATGCTTACCCGTATACAACAACAGAGCCAGCGTTCCAACGCTTCTCAACCTCCTGCTTCCACCGCGCCAACTGCCCAAGGCAACATGCCTGCACTAAATGCCACCAATTTGCAACAGCTGCAGGCACAGGAAGAAGCTCTCCAGCGAGCTCGGCGCGCCTCGAGTCAGTCTGCTACCGTTCCACCTGCGCCTTTTGGTGCTCCATCACCATCAGGAGTCCCTCATGCCTATGGCCCAGGAGGACTTGCCCCCGAAAACCTTAAACTGCCTCCCCCGAAAAGACGGAAGCAGTCTCATGCTGGTATTGCATCGTCTCCAATCCAGGCTAACGCGGCTCCTGTGGCAGCCGCGAAGTACAACAAAGCAGTCGCGGATGCCAAATCGACAGCTGCAGCGTTGGCGGGTGCTTTCAAGTGCAGTGTGGTTGAATGTCAACACCACTACCAAGGATTCCCCACTCAAGTGGCCTTGGACAAGCATGTTGAGGAAAGCCATCAACCAGAGGAGGAGGAAGTCATCGATGACTATCTCAAATATTACCATGAAAGCATTTCGATCGGTTTGGGATTGAATCCCAACGACCCTCAAGTCCCACAGGTCGCCACAGCCGGATTCGCACCACTTTCCACCAAGATCAGCGCTGCGGCATCTCCTGCGAAACAAAGCATTGCTACTCCTGTTCTTGGAAACATGACTCCTATGGCCCGAGTCACCAGCCAACTCGGAGGCAAGACCGCATCTCCTTCTACGTCAACCCAGCTGCTCACCCCGCAGCAGTCAGCTAAGGGGGTGAAGTCTGCTGGCAAGGATGGAAAGAAGGATGCTGGTAAGTTTGCTTTGGAGGATAGCGAGCAAAAGGACCCATGGGCGGACTGTCCCACTTCGCTTGACGCCCTCCATGACACCTTCTCGAACCTGGCGAGCAAGGACTTGCCTCACCTGGGCTACGACCCGCTTGAGGACTTCAATATCAACGAAGCCACCCCAGAGGATGATTGGCTCGCCCTTGGTACTCTCACTCCCCCTGACGAGGTCGACCAAGCCACATTCATGGATAAATTCTATGAACCCTGGGATGAGGAGACCATTGCATTGGCTGCGGCCACAATCCGCATTCCGCCCGATATTCAGGTCAAGAGCGAAGGCTCTATGGGTCAACTTGAAGTTGATTGGGATGCCGTTGCCCGTTACGACAAGGAAGGCATTCCCATTCCCATGACTTAAATTTTTTTTTTGGTTTACATCGGGCTTATATACCCATGCCTAGCCCTATAGCCATAGGTTGTGTTTGTGTTAAAGGTGGACTGATATTACGATTTATCTGATTTCGGCAGATAATCTCCGGCGCACATAGGGTCCAGGAGCGATGCGTCTGTACACTACCCTACGCGGGACTCCTCTTTCATCATCTTATTCTTAATCTCTTGTTGGACAGTATGTGTTGTCCGTTGTCCCCAGCGATGGCGTTTTGAGGGAGGAAAAATAGGGATTTGGCTCTCCTTGCGGAATATGCACTCTTTTATATTCAACAGTGACATGTGTTTTGAGTACTCCGTAGCGTAGTGGGTACCGAGCGGGTACCGGCCCGTACAGTCAGCGTAACCCGTGACTTGTGCTATCAGCTGCTCTGATAAGCCTATCTCCGCTTTGTCTCCTCACCTATTCAGAGGCTCTCAATAGCCTCCTTCATATCTCTCTTACACTCGAGCCTGAGCTCGAGTTCACCAGTCTAAGCTTGCCGCCAAGATGACGAACAACGCCCTCATCCCCTTCCTGGTCACGATGATGCTCGTGACCGGGGTGTGCAACACCATTCTCAACAAGTACCAGGCAAGTCCAGGAGTCATGGCTGCAGTCAAGGATACCCAAGCTAATCGTTTCTCGTCGAACAGGATATGCAATGTGTGCGGAACTGTGATTCACCCGAACCCAGCTACCGGAAGCTCTTCGAGCAGCCAGTCATTCAAACGTAGGGGTCAACCCAATCTCGCACGAGATAAAGCTCTACAACAAGAGCAACGAGTACTGACAGCAAAACAAATCCCACAGAGCCCAGATGTTCGTCGGCGAGATGGGCTGCTGGCTCGTCGTTGGCCTAACCTCCCTCTACCGCTGCTACATCGCCCCCCGTCTATCCAGCGATCCCTCTCCGCTCCTTGCCGGCGGATATCACCCAGTAAACGGAGAAGACGAGCGCCTAGAGAACGACGATGAACATATCCGCGGACTCGACACCGACAACAGACACCCCAAGCCCCTCCGGGAGGACGACGAGCGCATCCCACTGCGTGGCTGGAAGGTCCTCCTCCTCGCCGCGCCCTCCAGCTGCGATATCGCCGGCACAACCCTAATGAACGTAGGCCTCCTCTTCGTGGCAGCAAGTATCTACCAAATGACCCGCGGCGCCCTGGTCCTCTTCGTCGGCCTGTTCAGCGTCATCTTCCTCCGCCGCAAACTGTACATGTACCAGTGGAGCGCGCTCTTCATCGTCGTCCTCGGCGTGGCGGTTGTCGGTCTTTCTGGGGCTTTGTTCAGCGGCAATTCTGGTCATGATATCACGCAGGGTGATGGAGCCGCGGGTACTGTTTCGCATGCTATGATCAAGGCCCGTGCTGTTGCTGGGACCCCCGAGGCTGTGAAAGCTATCATTGGTGTGCTGCTTATTGCGGCGGCGCAGATTTTCACCGCTTCGCAGTTTGTACTGGAGGAGTGGATTCTCGAGCACTATGCTATGGATCCTATCCAGGTTGTCGGCTGGGAAGGTGTATTTGGCTTCTTGGTCACTCTCGTCGGTATGGTCGTTATGTACTTTGCCGTTGGGCGAACTGAGGCTGGTCGCTATGGGTACTTTGATATGAAGGAGGGATGGCGTCAACTGACTAGCAACCGTGCCATTTCTGTTTCTAGTCTAGCGATCATGGTCAGCATTGGGTATGTTTTCTCCAGTCTCTCAACCCCACGTTGATATTTCGAAAGCCCTCTCTTTATAATCCCCTCTCTAACTTTATCCCAGCGGCTTCAACTTCTTCGGTCTATCGGTTACTCACACCGTCTCTGCCACCTCCCGCAGCACAATCGATACCTGCCGTACCCTCTTCATCTGGCTCGTCTCGCTCGGCCTGGGCTGGGAGACCTTCAAGTGGCTCCAAGTTGCCGGCTTTGCACTCCTCGTCTACGGAACATTCCTGTTCAATGACATTGTCCGGCCCCCTCTCAAGGCCTGCTTGCCTCGCAACCGGGGAGAGGGCGAGGTCCTTCTCCCCGAGGATCCTATTGAGCATATTTGAATAAGTTGATACACTCTCGAACTGACCTACCATTTCACTATCTATCTCATATCTTCACCATTTTGGGATTGTGGTCATTTATTTGTGACCAGGACCATAAAGTTGAGGGATATCATTGGATAGATGATACGATTTTGCATTATTTTGCTGGAGTTTACTTACTACTTTTTTCTCGTTTCTTTTGTTGTTGGGGTGTTCTATTTGATCTTTCGGCTTATAGAGCCTTGCTTATTATCATGAGTGGCTTACTGCATTTCTCGGGTTTGTGATTTGCTTGGATTTCATTCTTTCGTTCTTTCCATAGGGAGTTACAGTTGCAATATAACAATGCATGTAAATATATATACCGGGGCTTCTCGTTCCGTATAACGGATAATATGCAAGAGATTGTTACTGTTATTCGATATCATCCTTGTACTGCTATAGGGGGACAGGCATCTTAAGTAACGGGCAACGAGTATACCGTAGCTTATTTTTTTTTGGCCTCAGCTGTAGGTACAGTACATGTACTCCTGACTACGAACCACTAAACATCTAGCTCCGATGCAATGCACACTGCACCTGTACCTGCACCATGCAGTATTTGCTCATACATAAAGCTCCATCTGTTAAGCATATACAAGAAAGAATAAATCCTCACCACAGGGAACGAAAACGAGGACAGGGGCCAAAACGAAAGTCTAGATACGGACGAAAGCGTAGGCGCAGAGAAAAGCAAAAGCAGGAGTAAGAGTAAGAGTAAAAGATGCTAGGGTGTATAGAAATGGATTTTGAACTGTTCATGGGAAAATTAAAACTTTCGTTCGGTTGAAATTTTGGCATCATTTTCGCCATTGCCATTGTATCTATGGCTCAGACCAATCCACTTGGTCGATAACGGGGTCGCCACCGTCTCTGGCGGAGGAGATACGAAGTCGGAGACGGAGTTTGGCAGGGAGTGCCTGGGGAGTAGTTAGTTAGCTTGATGAGTTTTATAGGGTGGAAGATAGGAAATGGAAAGACATACTCCGTTCAGAGCGGTCACGCGCATTGATTGGGTGCCCTCGTCACCGGCTTCAAGATCGGCTTTGCTAATTGCGCTCAGTTGCAGACGCTGGCTCTTTGGCACGGCGGCTTGCAAACCGACATTAGTGAAGGTGTCGAAGTTGGACTCATTGCGGAAGCGAGCCATGATCTGGGCGTTATTGCCGCTGCGCTGGACCTGCAAGGTGAGGACGAGGCCGTCCTTGTTGAGGGCAGTGTGTGCTGGTGTCGAGGCGGAGACAGGAGCGGGAGAGGATGAAGGCGAGGGGGCAGAGGCACCCATACCACCTCCACCCAGTAGATCCATGGATGCAGATGCAGGTTGTATTGGCTGAGGTGATGGCGAAGGACCATTGGAACCGAACAAGTCCATGATGGCGCTGTTCGAGTTCTTTTGCCCAGCAGGGCCTGGCGAGGGCGATGACAGGCCGGAGTCTCCGCCAAGAATGTCTGCCAGCAGATCGGCGGTGTTCGATCCGCTCGAGGTAGGGCTGGTAACGGGGGCGTCACCGCCAACCAAGTCGAGGAGCAGGTCATGCTCGGCCGGTTTGGCGGCCTTAGTAGACTTGCCACGGAGAACCTTGCTCTGGCGCTTCTTAGCGGTAGGCGCACCTAGCACCCGTTGTTCCTCACGAATCTCAGGTGGGGGCATCCGCTCGAGCACGCCGCGGCGGATTTGGTCGTAGCCGAAGAGGTTGGAATATTCAACAGCGCGCTGCTGGATCTCTACACTCAGATCTGCAGTCCGGCCAGAGAGGAAACGGCGCAGACGTTCGATCTGCGCAGGATCCGACATACGCACTGTAAGCTTCATGGATGCAGTGATGATGTATTCAACGGCGATCTGGCTGGCGTAGGTGCTGTTGAGAATGTTGGTGAAAAGGTCGACAATATCACTTTCCCGAACCTCTTTGACCAATTCCTCTTCCTCATATTGACCACCCTGGAGTAGACTATCGGCGTATTCACCGATCGTCCATGTCGCAGCCAGGGTGAGACCTTCTTGTGAGATATCCTCCTTTAATGAGGAGTAAAGCTTCTGCACTGCATAGGTCTGCAATTCAGGGGTGGTAGCAATGAGACGCACAAATGAGGACAGGATCTGTTCCTTGACGTAGTTCCCAGCCAGCTTGAGAACCCGCAGAATGGTATCCATGTGCCAGCGCTTGTTTGGCGCGAAACGATCAGCCGCAATGCCAATTTGTGTGGTCATCACAGGTTTGAATTCGTTGTCGGCCACCTCTAGGAAGGCTAGCAGTTCCCGCACCAGCACCCGCACGTTGCCCTCGTTGATCAACATGAAGCTGAGATCGAGCGCTCGCCGGCGAATGCTAATATCTGGATCCCGCAGACACTCCAAGATCGTGTTACGGTGTCTCTGCACCGCATTTGGTTCGATTGCGACCACCTTGTTCAAGGTGTTCAGTGCAACATAGCGGATATTATTATCCTTGTTAGCCAAGAATTTCCCGAGAATGTTGACGCCCAGCACCCTCAATCCCGAGTCGGCTTCGATATCCAGGATAGTAAGAACGGCCTCGTACAAGATCGAGTTGCCGACGTTCTTTGAGGAATCCGTGTTGGTGGCCACCTGGGCCAAGATATCGTTGATCAGCTCGCTGGTGGCCACATCTCCGCGACCCAATACACGCAAGAAACGGAGAATCTTGACCTGTAGGAAAGGGTCTGTGATGCCGGACACATCGTGTTCAGGGGCATAGCCGGAGGTTGTCAGGCCCTTCAAAGCGCGAACAAGTCCTCCAGCCAGCGGCCGGAACATCTCGATCACACCCTCTGGTCCTTCCTCCTCCTCTTCCGCCTCACAAAGATCAATCGCCAGTGTCAAACCACAGAGCAGTACGCCATGGTTCCGGTCCGAAAGAAGGTTCTTGGCTTTCTCGAGGAAGTGCTCGTACAGGTCTGGAACCTTGCGACAGATGCGCATGGCACAGATGGCTGCTTTCCGGCGAATGTATGGGTTGGCGGTCGACATGAGGCCTTCGACTTCGGGGAATAGATCACGGGACATTTCGACAGAAGCAATGTTGCCGAGGGCACAAAGAGCGAGACCGACGATATATTGGTTGGAGTGGTTGAGGTCACTGCATGCTAGTCAGTATGAGTTCAAGCGATCGAGACTACCGTAGACACCAACTTTTTCAGAGAATTGGTGACAAGTGTTAAAACCTCCTGGTTCTCATCCAGCAACAGCATGGTCCCCAGATATCCCAGACGCTTATCGGCGAACCGGTGAGAGGCAAGTAGTTTCAGACATTCGATCTGACCGAAGTGAGTGCGCTCTCCAAGAGTGAAGAGGTACAAGAGCTTGGCGACATTATTCCTCCTGTCAATTTATTAGAATTCGTTCGCGAAGTCCATTGGGAGATTGCTGAAGCTAACCGGATACCGGAGTCATGGCTCTCTTCTCGAAACGAGGCTCGAATAGCGGCGCTCTCTTTTTGAATCACGGCACGTTCATCGGCGATGGTCTTGGCTGATCGGACATTCCGAATGAATTGCTTGACTATAGACAGATTGGGTTGCGTGTTTAGCGCTCGTCTCAGGGGAGGAGGGGCGGCGGGCAGCACTCACGGGAAGACATGGCAACGGAGACCCCCAACGGGGCGAGGAAAGGTAATATTCAATGGAGGAGAAGGGATGAAATCAGGCCTAGGAAACCAAACCAAGCACCGCGCTCATAAGATCAATGAAACGAAGAAGCGTCAAGGCAGTGGTCTGGAGGTCTGGACTGCTTTATTATTATTCCTCATGGCAGTCGACCTGGCTTCTTGGCATGGGGCGCTAGTTGAGAACGGGCCTAGTGTGACCCTTGTGGTCAGGTGACCGCTGACCGGCACAAAGCCACACCGCCTTTGAAGTCAGCAAGGATAAAAAATGAATGGACTCGCGGGGAATCGAACCCCGGACCACTCCCATGCTAAGGGAGTATTATACCACTAAACCACAAGCCCATTTGATTGGTGGAGGTCGCGGATTAATGCTACATGAACCAGATCTACAGGTATGCCGTACACCTACCTGTGTAAGGATGCCAGAATACTTGGTAACTTGAATTGAAATAGAATGACAAAATGATACATACTCACCTCTTGGCAGGGAGAACTCTCAACAATCCAACAGATCGTTGTGATTGCATCTGCCTAGTCCCCTATAAATGCTGTGACGTAGTGGTTATTTTTGGTGTCTTAACTCAGACAAACAAACCCACCAGAGCTCCCCCTCATCATATGTGTCTTCCTTTCATACCACCGAGTTCGATGTGCCACCTTTCTGCTCCCACAATTGCGTCCATATAGGATGTCTAGCGCCGTCTCCCATGATTCAGCAACTGTACGGCCGCGCGCCGTCCCTCTCCAGTCCGACGGAAAAGACGTGACCGGAGCTCTTCCCCTTCCCCTGGAAAAGCTGTCGCAGGACGTGAGGTGAGCTGTTCTCTATCCACATAGCCAGCTGATCCAGGGTATTGGTTAACATATCCACTGCATTGAAGTGGCCGCTCAACCCCTGTCTCCGAAGATGCGCCCCCGTCGGCGCACTCGATCTCGACTGCGAGGAAGCAAGTTCGAGCCCGAAACCGTCTTTTTTATACGATAGACTATGTCCCTCGTGTGTCGCATTTTGATCCGGATAGCGACTACCACAATTTCCGAGGGTTCTTTACTCTCTTTTGGATTGCGCTGGTGATTATGGTCGGGACCAGCGCGCTGCGCAACATTAAGTATACAGGATTCCCCTTACAGTTGCGCGTTTGGAGCCTCTTGACGCAGAATGTGTGGGTTATGGGACTCAGTGATGTGGCCATGGTCGTGAGCTCAGGACTTGTTCTACCTTTACACCGGATCTGGCGGAGCGGTCCGCAGTGGCTGCGGTGGTCGCGCGGAGGTATGATAGTGCAGAGTCTGGGGGAGGCATTTTGGCTGGTCTTATGGATCAAGTGGGTGGCTATCTATATATGAAATGGGGTTCTATATCGCTGACAACAACTAGCTGGCCTTTTATGCTGCAGTGGACCTGGACCGCGCAGGTCTTCTTCACGCTGCATACCCTCACAATTCTCATGAAACTGCATTCCTATGCTTTCTACAATGGCCATCTCAGCGAGACCGAGCGCCGTTTAGCCTCTCTTGATAAACCCGGCTCGATGTCCTCCAATCCTACATCTGCCATCCATTACCCGGAAGTCCACCGACGCCGGCCGTCCATGAAAGACCAGAGCGAGAAAGACACCCCGACAGAGCCACTGCTGAAGCTGCGCGAGGAACTAGCTACGGAACTGACCTCCCCACTCGGCAATATCTCATACCCCCAGAACCTTCACGTCGGTAACTATGTCGACTTCCTATTCTGCCCGACTCTCTGCTACGAGCTGGAGTATCCACGCCGACAGGATCGCCGCTGGTCAGAGATCGGCTGGAAGACTGCAGCCGTATTTGGTTGCATCTTTCTGCTGACCCTGGTCAGCGAGGAGTTCATTCTCCCCGTCCTGACAGAGGCCAGCGCTCAACTCCACGTCGTTTCTAGCGTCTCAGACAAGGCATTCATCCTCGCCGAGACTATCAGCATGCTCCTATTCCCCTTCATGATTACATTCCTGCTCGTTTTCCTGGTTATCTTCGAATACGTTTTAGGCGCATTTGCCGAGTTGACTCGATTTGCTGACCGGCACTTTTACGCGGACTGGTGGAATTCGTGTGACTGGTACGTCCTACAGCAGATATAATATACCCAATTCACAATCGGTTGATCTAACAATTTCCCTCCAGGCTCGAATTCTCCCGCGAGTGGAACGTTCCCGTCCACCACTTCCTCTTCCGCCATGTCTACTTCCCTTCGCGATGCAACTTCTCTCAACCCGTGGCTATGACCATTACATTCCTGGTCAGCTCAGTTTTCCACGAGCTGGTCATGAGCTGCATTACCAAGAAGCTCCGTGGGTACGGATTTCTGGCTATGATGCTGCAACTGCCCATTGTTGCAGTTCAGAAGTCCCGCTTCTTCAGAGGACGGACTACCCTGAATGTAAGCTGCTCCTACGGGGATATGGTATCTTATAAAGCTGACTTGACTTTAGAATGTGTTCTTCTGGTCTTCTATGATTTTGGGTCTTTCGATGGTAAGTTATGCAGGGTCTTCTTGACTTTGGATATACCCACAAGTATCTTTGGTTAACACTGGCTGCTCTAGATGTGTGCGTTCTACGTCTTGGTCTAGGGAATACCTATACTTCTGAGTGCAATACCCTGGACATGGCGGAACAATGCAATCGATCAATGAAGTGAGTTCGTAGCAAGGTGTAGATTGGATTTAGGAATGGTTTAGCGGCGGTTGCTTTTATTTGTATCAAGGGCGTGCTCATTCGCCTTGTATATAGCTTTAGTTATATTTTTGTCTCAACTACGGGTACTATGGTTTGATACTCATCTCGACGGATGTATTCATGGTTATATAAAGGTGTTTAAATAAACCTCCCTGGGCCACATGATACAACTAGAATAACTAACAAATAATAATCTAACAAAGATTTGGACATATTTGGACGACACAATATCACAACAATGTCAGACATTTTGGTAAGTTCTATTCTCTATCATTATTCTAGTCAAATATGTCGGTCAAGACCAAAACAACATCGGGACATCGTAGGTGGAGTTTCAGTCTTTGAAGTTAGATCAGTTAAAACCATACAAAGGAGATGTACCTTTTCCCTCCAATTTCTGTAACATCGAATGAGTCCCATGCTTCCTACAGCGCAAAAAGAGAGGAAAAGAAAATAAGTCAAAGATCGTGGCATGTCATATCATATCAAGGAGCGTAAGTCATAAATTGGGTCATCAGGTATCTAGTAGCCGGGAGGTAAATATGGGGGAAAAAAAGCACAGGAAAATAAGAACAAAGAAAAAGAGGTAAAGCTACGCCATAGGATGTGATGAGGAAGAAGAAAGAGAAAGGAAACACCATTCCATCCCTTCCGACCATCCCACCCTTATGCGCCGACAAAGAATACGTCTGTCTCTGCCCCTGGCCCTAGCCCTAATCCTCACCCCCGCACTGGCTGTGCGGGAGGAAGTGAACCAGACCAGGGTACAGTAACATCGAAAGAATCAAAGAAACCGAAATCAATACCGGGGCCGTCTCAATGCGTGATGGAATAGCAAATTCACTACTCCCTGCACTGGCTGTGGCCAGTGTACAGGATAGGCGTGTAGACATGAAGAGGTATGCGATATACTATCCGGTTTGGAAAAAAGGAGAGACACCGTGACAAATCTGAGATCGATCTGGAATAGGTACCGTCATTGTTCAAATCAAATCTCGGACTGGAAGTAGAGGCTGTCTCCGTGTGAAAGGACTGCTGAGTAGCCCATGTATAGACAAGAAGGAATGATAATGCGAATGGGAAGGAGGATAGAAATCGAGATGAAAATGCAAAGCAAAGGAATTGAAAAACACCCCGAGCTCCATCATGAATATCCGATAAAGATGATAAAGATAAAAGAAGAAAGCGTGCACAAGCGTAAGCTGTCGTAAGCGATTTATACTGTTGCAACACAACACAGGACTAGTAAGCAGACTGTCGTCTGCCCACAGCAGGAGGACGATAATCCTCGTCATAATAAGGGCGACGCGGCGAGTAACTGACGTCCTCAGGCCTATAAGCACGAGAGTATTTCACATCCTTCTCCTTCGGACGAGGAGAATAATCGGCATCACGATAGGTTGCCGGTCTTGAAGGTCGCGAAGAGCGGACTTCAATGCGAGGAGATGATGGCGATTCAGTCGAGTAACTCTGGAATGTACTACTCCGCTTGGGGGGCTGGCGCGCCGACGAAGAGGTGCGTTCGGCACGGTCTGGGGATGAGGAGCGGTACTTCGAAGAGGCGGACTTTGGCTCGACAACGACGCGGTCTGGCTCCTCGACAATCTTGTAGCGGGTATGTGTCTTAGGGGAATTACCCCGCGTGGGCATTTCGGGCGTCGTTGGGCTCGAATATCCAGAATCGTAGCGATCGCGGGGCTTTGAGGGGCGTGAGGGCATGGGTTCGTGGGCCATTCCGTAGAGCGTGTTATCGCGCTTGGGACGACTGAAGCCGCTGGAGGTTGCTGCGCGGTGGTTCAGGAATGAGGGGCGGAGAGAGCTCTTGATGCTTGGGGAAGTTGTGGCGGTTGGCATCTTCGGCTTCTCGCGAGGCGACTCAATGTAGTCGTAGGAGTTGTTGCGGGATGTTGACGGATGTCTTGTTGTAGGGCGGGTGGACCGTCCCGAGGGCCGCGTACCGGGCGATTCTGGTTCCGTTGAGTCGTAACCATGGTATCGGCGTGGGGAATTCGAGATTCGACCCTTGGATGCGATGTAGTCCTCCGCGCTGGTCGTTCGACTATTAATCTTGCTTTGCCAATGATCGGAGAAATCATCGTCATCGTAGCGTTCGCGGCGAGAGGACTCTGGCCTGGATCGGGATTCGCGCTCTCGGCGCGGGGTTGCTGTTCGCTTGGTGAAGACGTAGCGAGGAGCACTGGAGTCTGAAGCATCATCGGATTCAGCGTAAGATTCGAAGGTGTCGTATTTGGCCGACGCTTGTCGTCGTCGCTCTTGATCGCGGGTCTTGGCACGGTCGGAATGGGTGGCCTTGGTCGATTCCCGCTGCTCCTTTGCGGCGTAATACGCACTCATCGGCGTGGCAGTTTTCTTCTTCCTTTCCTCCGTGGGCTTGGCCTTGGATCGCATGCCATACTCCTCATGCTTGCGAGACATCGGACGTGGTTCCTCCGTGAATCGCAATGATTCATCGAGATATACTTCCAAGGGGACTCGTTCCTCCACAATCCGACCATTGCGGTATTCTCGGTTGTTGGAACCACTTCCTCGTGGAGAGCCATATGACTCTGCTCGTCTGCGCTCCAGCTCGGCCTTCAATTCGGCTAATCTGTTGACTTTGGCGTCATATTTGGTTCGCCGGGACTCATCTGAAAGAAGTTCATAGGCCTGTTGAACTCTCTGGAATTCATCTTGGGCGGCATTCCGCTGCGACTCATCTTGAATCTTGTCTGGGTGGCATTTCAGCACTCGCTTTCGATGGGCGGCCCGGATCTCGGAGAGGGTCGCATCTTTGGCTACTCCTAGCGCAGCATATGGATCTATATCAGGAGCTGATGACATGGTAAAATTGATACACAGAAGTCTGTGTTGAGTTGGAATTGAAGAAGAGAAAGAGAGAGGGGGGAAAGAGGCGGTGGAGGTAATGTATGGAATGTCAAGTTGACGTAGTAGGATGCCAACGCCGACGCATCCAGAAAGATCTCGATCAGGAGATTGTAAATCGCAATGTAAGTAAGGGCATCGGGCAATGCCGTAAGAAAGTCTTGAGCCGAATGAACCGGCCAGGGGAAGGTATTTACATGTAGTGGCGCAGTCGACAGTAGCAGGGTGGCGCGCTTAGTCAAGATCAAAGGAGATGCCCAACTTGGGGTGGTCTCCGTAATTTCTTTATAATTTCTCTAATTCCCTATTTCTCTGTTTTTCTATTACTATTTATTACATGTATTATTGTCACTTCACCGGTCTCCCCCAGTTATTGGCCGTGCCCTGGACCTGATTTGTTGGCACCCTGCCAATCACCGCCTCGTCCTAGTGAGGGTATTTCATTTGCTTAGAGATGGGGCGATCTAACACGAGAACAAGGCCCAGTGAGGGGGTCATCGTCATGGCGCCCATCTTTACTTCTTTTCCTGCCGCCGTCTCGATCGAGTAGGTTTGGCATGCACCTAAAACTGCTCCCCCCATCTTTACGCCTGGGTCGCCTCACTGTGAACATTGAACATTCTTTACTCTTATTTTGCCTTGCTTCGCTTCAGCTCTAACCTTGTACGCCTAAGTGGTAGCCACAGTAATGTTCTCCCTCCCGAGGGGTTCCGGTGGCCTTAATCTGTGGCGGAATAGCCTAAATATAGAGAGACGCGTTTCCAATACTTTGCACATTCCTTTGAGGCACTGAGACCTAATCTCTGTCCCACTAGACCCATCACCAACGTGTCTGTCTCCACCTATAGCGACTCCATCTGGTATTTATCGCGGTATTCAAATGATTGGATGGAGTAGGGGTACAATGTACACCGTCTCGACCCATTTCTAAGTCATTCGGACTCATGAACCCGGCACTGCGGTCCGCGCGCAAGATTCTCCAGTTCCTATTATTATGACAACTCTCCAAACACCTCACCCTCTACCTCTTCTCACCTCCATATATTTCCCCGTAACATCTCCTGCCCAAATAGTATCTGTCTGGAATGTAAACCCCCATTAACTCTTAAAATGTCTCATAAATCAACCTAGCCTAACCGCCCACCTCTTGCTTTCTCTCCGTTTCGCCTCGCTTCGGGGCCACCCGGACACAGTCAGTTGACAATATCTGTGTGATAGTGATTGCAGTATAACCCTCAATCTGGGGATCCCCCGTGAAACCCAAATGAAAAAGGACCACAATCTTTCAATTCGAACCGCACCAGCCGTGTCCATAATCCTCCGATCCCATCAGCGCGACTGGGGATGTCACACAAGACCTTGTGCCGAAACACACGGTTGTAACTTTATACGCTTAAACAGTGATCTACGCCCCCTCACTTTTCTGATTGCCAACAAGGGTGGGTTTCGGATTGGATGTCCGTCTCTAAAGAGTCGACTTGTTTGTAGCCGAATGCTATGGTCGAGGCCGGCTGAGCACCAGAGAAATTGACACTAGACCAGGGGTCGTTCATCTATATTAGACCAGGGGTGGGAGGAGGGAGGCAAGATATCTCAAATTAAGTGGTTGTTGTCTCCCCTACGCAGGTTTGTCACTAAATATACTCCATTTTACTCCATACCTGGGAAATCAAATGCAAATGCAGGTCTCCTGCAATAACAATATGCACTCAGCTATAACAGCGAGAGAGTAGTGTACATGTAATCCAACCGTAATCCTCAAATCGAGCCAGAACGCTCTCCAGAAGCCTCGAAAAGCCTTCTAGAAAATATCGCCCCAATCAAAGTTTGAGAAGCACATGCCTCTTCCCACGCGGGACTAAGCTGAAGTGAGGTGTATCCCCGAGTTCTTCTAGTTTTAGCTGAAGAAAGACAACCCATAAGCGCAAACACTGCACGGTGGTTACTTGCATTGATTTATTATCTCACCAAGACTAAGACCAAGACTAAGAATGATCGGCCTCGCATGGTGACATCGTGAATCAGGAGGGTGGGAGGGTCTATGCATTGGTTGGCTTATGGGGTCTAGTCGTCCTACGCCCAGACTTTCCCTTTCCCACTGTGCTAACTGTGCTATCCACTAACAGTGCGGGAACTAGCGCTGGGTTGTTTTTTGCGTTTTTTTTCTGGAAGGTTTGAGTTGGGGAGGATCCCCGTTGCAGGTGATGCGGATGACTCGTGCCTGAAGAGGTCAAACTTGGAACTGGACTTAGACTGCAAATGGGAAAGAGTTATATCACATCTGATACAGTACTCCGTACGTGATTGCGATCTGTCAGATGGTTATGGAACCCGACGTGCATGCGGGGTATATACATGAGACGAGGAGTCACAGTCACCATTACTCACCTTTACGAAGACATGTGTAAGGAGAGAGGAGAGAGAAAGTTATGGCTGCTGTACGAAGTACGGGATATTGATTTTGTAGAGCTTGATTATTGGATTATTGGAAATACTTATGGAATCCGAGGACTCATCGGCTGCTGTAGCCAGTCTAACGGGCCGACCACCCACCACATGGAATCAATGATGTAAGCGCAATCCCAGGCAGATCGAGATTTCGCACTTCATGTTCTCACTTTCGATGTGTATGCATCAAAGCGCGCATGGCAAAAGCTCCCCAGTCACTCCGGGTGGGAGGCACCATCTGGCGTCAAGCCACAATGCATGGCAATAATACAGGAGTTTGGCCGGACTCAAAAGATTAAGCAGGCAGCTTAATTCCATGCCGGTTAGTCCCCGTCCCAACCCACGTTAAGAAGAAAACCGCGCTAAAAACAAAACTACCGAGGTGTCAGACGCACGGCGAACATCACCCGTTGGCCGAGTCTTGCCACACGGGAAGCTCGAGGTCAACAACGATGGGCGAATTGAAACGTTTGCCTCCGCGATGCGGGAAACTGGTGGCCACGACGGCCGCATTGACAATGCAAGTCTCCATTCGGAGCGTTCGCAAGGCGTGATCTAAACGGCCGATCGTGCCGCTGGTGCTGGTTCTGAGACTGGGGCTGGGGCTACTCGCGCTCAGGGACGGAGCGTTCGGCGAATTTCGTGGACTTGCCTTTTCAGGATCGGCGCCTGCTGATAACTTCGGCGAGGCTGATGACATCGTTTCATCGTTTGATATCTCATGTGCTGGATGTGGATGGCCGTGACCGTGACCGGGCCACGAAAATCCCTCGTTGGCTAGTCGTTCGTTCCGTTTGCTGGTTAAGTCGATCAGGCTTTGTTTCTTGCTGTCCATGGGCGGCAACTGGCCCCGAGTGACATGGTCAACTGCGTTGGTCGCTGTCTGTGTCTCTGTTTCTATATCTTGTTCTGTATCTGTAAGCGCGGCCTGCCAGTGGACTCTTTCGTATCCTCGTCCTTCATGCACATGACCGCATATGGCTAAGTGCGGCCTGATGAGGCTCAATGTCTTGCGAAGTGCTGAACACCCAACGGATGTTCCATTTGGTTTCTGGTCGCAGTGAGATTGTGGTGGCGTATGTGTGACGACAACGTCCGTGTCGAGTGGTATCTGACCCCATAGCCTTGTTGCATCACTTGAGTCGTATCCGAATGCCCAGTTTCCTTTGAATTGGGAGTACGGGGACCCGAAGACTTTGAAGATCGTGTTTGGACCGCCTGCTCGCGTTAAGCGAATCACGGCCGACTCGTGTTGAAGTAGGACTACTGAAGGCGACTCCGAGATGAGTTTTAGGCATTGCTGCGGGTCTTCGATGGACTGGCTGTGAAAGCTGCGTCCGTGTTCTGCATAGAATGTTGGGTCCAAAGTAACATCGTGATTGCCTGTTTATCTGGTTAGGGAGTCTTGATGTGACCATTTAGCGTGGATGGAACACTGAGGGGGCCATAGCATTGCTATTTATTGCCCGAGATCAAGTCATAGATGGTTTTGAATTGGGCGCATGGGCATCGAGTAGGAGAGAAACAGACCAGCAACTATGATCTTGATTTCAAAGTCGGCATTGCATATCCAATCCATCGTCTTGCGGAGCTCTCTTAGGCTTCCATTGTTAGTCAAGTCGCCTGCATGGATCAAAACGTCCCCTGCTGGGAGCTTGAAGCCTGCTTCGGATGGTGTATAGCCGTGTGTATCAGAGACGCAAACAAATCGTGTCTTTCGAAGCATGGTGATTGATCTAGAGAAAATCCTTGTCTCAATGGGATTTGTTGGCAAAAGCAGGCCTGATTGTGGTGCTGTTCGTGCCCAGGGCCACTGCAGGGGGGGGGGCCAAGAGATTTGGGGTGACTATGATTCATGAAGCTCTGAAGCGCGTCCTTGTCTTGGAGATTTCTGATGGAGAGAACTTGCATAGGGAAAACAATCGGACTATGGAATGGATTAGTCATCGGACCCAATCTTTGATCAACTTAGATCTGATCATTGAAGGCATGGAGATACACACCCACGCTAGATGCTATGAACAAGTAGGACTTGATGGTGGTGTTAAGAGGAAGTAAATAGTATAAAATAATACAGGAGAGCTCAATACCAGGTCTCCAACTTCCTATATCTTCATTCATCTACCAAACTTCAAGATCATGATCTTCACTGTACTTCTAGAACACCCAAGTATCGCCGGCCCTAAGCCAAAGCCCTAACGGCACAAAGAGAAGGAACCACCGTGGCGCACAGTCCAAATTGAAAGTATTATATAATCTGGTCACGGGTGGGGCAAGGGTATTCCCACACGTGACTGACACACCGCCTGATTGGTCCGGCTTAGGGCTGGGACCCTCGCCACTAACACAAAGTAGGCTTTCCTCGCTTAACCATTCACCTGCGAGCCACCCGACTTCGTTGTGTGCGTTGACCTGACACCAACGACAACAACCGCCGACAACATCCATCCCCCGGGACATATTACCAGCAGGATGTCCTCCTTCGAACCAGTGGTGCGTTTCTAAACCCCAAGCGACAACCTGAGTGCCGCTACAGTCGTCTTGAGAAATTCTGCATCCGGGAACCGTTATCGCTGACTTCAATCGTGAATTAGGTCGTCATCGACGGCAAGGGACACCTCCTTGGTCGTCTGGCCAGCACTGTCGCCAAGCAGCTGCTCAACGGCCAGAAGATCGTCGTTGTGAGATGTGAGGCCCTCAACATCTCCGGCGAGTTCTTCCGCGCGAAGCGTACGTTCAACCTCCCCACGAAATCTTTTCTTTGTGTCTTGTGTGGAATATTGGAATGTGTCTACGATTACATGTGGAGGAAACACGACTAGCAAAACGAAATTGGAAATTTTTAGGAGGAAAATGCACATTTTGAGGGGATCAGAAATGCTGACTCGAAATCCGACCTACAGTCAAGTACCACGCCTACCTTCGCAAGATCACTCGTTTCAACCCCACCCGTGGTGGTCCCTTCCACTTCCGCGCTCCTTCCCGCATCCTCTACAAGGCTGTCCGCGGTATGATTCCCCACAAGACCGCCCGTGGTGCCGCCGCTATGGAGCGCCTCAAGGTCTTCGAGGGTGTCCCCCCTCCCTACGACAAGAAGAAGCGTGTCGTCGTTCCCCAGGCTCTCCGTGTCCTGCGTCTCCGCCCCGGCCGCAAGTACTGCACTGTTGGCCGTCTCAGCCACGAGGTCGGCTGGAAGTACCAGGATGTTGTCTCCAGGTATGTTCTTCACTGTCACCTGGGAAACCAGTGTGATCCACGTTGTCTACATTGGCACATTCTAATTAATTCTCTACAGACTCGAGGAGCGTCGGAAGGTCAAGAGCAAGGCTTACTACGAGCGCAAGAAGGCCGCTCGTCGCAACCTTGCCAAGGCGGAGCAGGGTGCGAACGTGGACAGCAAGACCAAGACCCAGCTTGCTCAGTATGGCTACTAGATACCTTTAGCGCGGCTGGTTGTTGTGTCGAGCGATGGTTCTGGGATGGGATCGCGGACGGTTTACTTTCAGCGAATTTGAACGGCAAGTCGACCGACCTTTTTCTGCGGCCCGGTCCCCTACCATTTCATGAATACCACTGTCTGTGACGAACATGGTGGCCGGGGACAGGGTTTCTTCGGAATTTTCAAAAGTCGAAAAAAACGGAGTCGTTTGGGATTAAAGGTTCAAAATAGCTGGCCGTTGAGTCGCGCCGTGGCGGTTTAATCCAAAGAAACAATTTTCAAGAGTTCAACATGATTCTTATGATCAAAATACTTTGACCTATTATTTGTTCTCCTTTAGTGTTGGCTTGTCCTCCGTAGTTGGGTTGTAGTTTGTGGACTTGATCTTGACGTACCCACACTATTGCTCTACTAGTCGAGGTACCCCCTCGAGCGCAGTGCAGCATTACAAAGTACCAATATCCAATGTATGTCCGATGGATGTACTTTTGGCCAATCTCACAGCAAAGAGTATTCCGTTAGACCGAACATGATATTCTAATAACTCAGAAAACAAGAACCCCTTGGCAAGTTGCATTGGATACCCCAGAGTTAGTTCCCGAGTCCCCGCCTGTGATCCGCCATAGCCTAGGTTAACCGCTCCAGGGCTCCCCGCATTTCTCCAACTTGGAGTAACTTGCCTCTCTCTCTCTCTCTCTCTCTTTTTACTCCTCTCGCATGCCTCCTAGTTCCTCTTCTCTTTCTCCTTCTATCCTTATATCTCGACCTCTAATTCCCCCTTCTGTGTAACCACAACCCCGTTCTTGTGGTTCGTCCTCCCGCCGCTGTAGCATGTCTGGTGTAAAGTCTCGGCTGTCTGGCCTACTGGGCCACTTCAGCTCAGGAGCTTCGACACCTTCACCATTTGAGCACCGCATCAATCACCATTCGCTCTCGCCAACTTTCTTCCTGCCTCGTGCGGCGGCCATTGAGCCCGATGTGAGCTTCCCTTCCTATGTTCGATATTGATCCAATTGAAGTTATCTGACAAGATATTCTTCAGGCCGAGGCAATCTATCATATCACAGCCAATGGCAAGGTTCTACATAGGACCTACCGTGAGACTGCTGATCGTGCGAGGGGCTTGGCGTTCTACCTGAAGAAACATGGGTTCAAGAGAGTTGGGATCCTCTGCCCCAACACCCCGGCATTCCTTGAGTCTATCTTTGGGATCGCAGCTGCTGGGGCTGTTAACGTCGGTAAGAACTTCCGGCTTGGTCTGTTGACGAAAGGTCGGTCTAACATATTCATATTCAAGCTGTCAACTACCGTCTCAAGAAAGAAGATATTGCCTATATTTTCGAGCATGGAGATGCAGAGGTCATTATTGTTGACGAGGAGTTTGTGCCACTTTTGGAGACATATCGCTCGCAGCACCCTGATGTCCCCCTCATTGTAGACACTGATACCGATGCTACTGAGGGTCAATTGACGGGTCCCTTCGACGAAGCTGTTTTGCAAGGTTTGAAGTATGACTTGGATACTGGTGCTCAGGGCTGGGAGGGCCTCGAGAGTCAAGCTGCTGATGAAGAGTCCGTCATTGCACTGGCGTACACTAGCGGAACGACAGCTAAGCCCAAAGGTGTCGAGTTCACTCATAGGGGTTGCTACCTGGCATCTTTGGCGAATGTTATTGAATCGGGGCTAAACTACCACCGTGGACGGGCTCGTTATCTTTGGACACTACCTATGTTCCATGCTATGGGTTCGTGCCCTTTCTCTCTCCATAGTACTCAGCTGACAGGACGTGCATCACAGGATGGACATTCCCATGGGCAGTAACAGCAGTCCGCGGCACCCATTATTGTCTCAGGAAGATAGACTATCCTGAGATCTGGAGATTGCTGAAAGAAGAGCATATCACGCATTTCAACGCCGCCCCAACTGTGAACACATTACTTTGCAACGCGAAAGAAGCAGAGAAACTGCCCCAACCTGTTCGGGTGACGGTAGCAGCGAGCCCTCCTACAGCTCATCTCTTTGAACAAATGTCAGATCTGAACTTGCATCCTGTGCATGTTTACGGTATGACCGAGACATATGGCCCTATCACCAAGGGGTACTTTTTACCTGAATGGGATGCCCTTCCTCTCAAGGAAAAGTATCAGAAGATGGCCCGGCAAGGCCATGGCTTTATTTCTAGTCTTCCTGCGCGAGTTATTAAGACAGAGGTGCCTGACGATACTATCACTGATGTCCGCAAAGATGGCCAAGAGATCGGTGAGATCGTCTTTATTGGCAATATCTGCGCTCGTGGGTACTACAAGGATCCTGAGGCAAGTCGGAAGCTCTTTGCAGGGGGGGTTCTGCACTCGGGCGATTTGGCTGTCTGGCATCCTGATGGTGCGATCCAAATCCTTGATCGTGCCAAGGATATTATCATTAGCGGTACGTTCTGTAGCGAGTGGTCGGTCTTGCTGAAAGAAATAATGGCTAACTAATTTAAATTTAGGTGGTGAGAACATATCATCAGTTGCACTTGAGTCCATGTTGGTCACGCATCCCGACATTCTAGAGGCTGGAGTTGTCTCGGTGCCTGATACTCATTGGGGCGAACGACCCAAGGCCTTTGTCACGGTGAAGCAAGGCAAGTTACTGGAAGGCCCAGAAGTGATCACCTGGGCTCGGAATGTCAGCGGCATCAGCAAGTTCATGATCCCTCGAGAGGTGGAAGTGGTAGCGGAACTTCCCAAGACCAGTACTGGTAAGATTCGGAAGAACATCCTGCGAGACTGGGTAAAGGGACAGGTTTCAAAATAGAAAGACAAAAGACAAAGACAAACATAAATCCATTTAACACTAGATACTTTGGAATACATACTATTCTGGAACAGGCAGCTTCCCTACATTCCCGGGGTCAGATGTCCCGGTATTCCCGATCGATATGTAGATCACACGAGGTCACATCAAGTGAATCTGACGACATCACGTTTTCTCTTTGTTACTTTTGTAGCATCCCGTCTCTCTTCTTTTTGGTTGTAGTGAGAACATTTTCTATACTTGGACTCGATCTTATCGAACGATAAGCAGATGCTTGGCACCGACTCCGCGTGAAACCCGGCCCCATTGCCTCATCCCCCTCCATTGCCGCCTTTATCCCTTCACATTCGCATTGACCCTAACACACCTGCATTCGACCCTGGAAGAACATGAGCTGGATCTTTCGTTCGATTCCATTTTCAACGTTCTAACTTCATCCGGCTCTCCCTGCCATAACTGCGCACGCGCGCTTACTTCACATGCACCCACCACTCGTGCAGAGTTCCTGAAGTAATGAGACTTCAGCCATACGTACCCTCTAACAATATAACGTATCGAAATACAACGCCCGAATCCTTACCGGTCAAGATGGCACCCCGACTACGACAAAATGGCCGGTCCCCAAGCGCTGCCCCTTCCGAAACCTCTGGATCAACGTCACCAGAGCGTGCCGCCGACGATGACACCGACTTCTTCATGGCCCAAGCCAACGATTCACAATCCTCCATCGGCGTCGCCAATTTCCGTGACAGCCACCCCCAAAATGTCCGCCCCATGCCACTTCCGCCGATCGGCCGCCTCCCGCCAGAGATCCTAATCGCGATATTCTCAAAGCTGAATCTACCTTCGGACATGCTCAACTGCATGCTAGTGTGTCGTGGATGGGCTGTGAACTCCGTTGGGATACTGTGGCACCGGCCCTCTTGCAACAGCTGGTCGAATCTGACGAGCGTGACCGCGTCCGTAGGCAAACAGGACAGCCTCTTCAACTATGCAGACCTTATTAAGAGACTCAACCTCTCTGCTTTGAGTGATGTCAGCGATGGAACGGTTGTTCCCTTTGTTCAGTGCAAGCGCATCGAGCGGCTGACGCTGACGAACTGTTCTCAACTTACGGATACTGGGGTGTCGGACTTGGTGGATGGTAATCGGCATCTGCAGGCGCTGGATGTCTCGGAACTGCGACATCTTACTGATCACACGTTGAATACGGTATCCAGAAACTGCCCCCGTCTACAGGGTCTGAACATTACCGGGTGTTCGAAAATGACCGACGACTCGCTATTCGTCGTGTCACAAAACTGTCGTCAGATCAAAAGAGTATGTATATCGCTTCTCTGGCAAGATTTAGGGTGCTGACTCTTGTAGTTGAAACTGAACGGAGTTTCTAATATCTCAAACCGGTCAATTCAGTCTTTTGCGGAGAACTGCCCATCTATCCTTGAAATCGACCTACACGACTGCAGACTTGTCACTAGCCCTTCAGTGACTGCTTTGATTATAACACTGCGACATCTTCGAGAGCTGCGCCTTGCACACTGCACTGAGATTGATGATTCAGCCTTCTTGAAACTACCCGAATTTGCGACCTATGATAGTCTTCGCATTCTCGATCTCACCGGTTGTGAGAATGTCAAGGATGATGCAGTGGAGCGCATTGTGCATGCAGCTCCTCGTTTACGAAACCTAGTACTAGCAAAGTGCCGGTTTATCACAGATCGATCCGTGATGGCTATTTGCAGGCTAGGAAAGAACCTCCACTATGTTCACTTGGGCCATTGCTCCAATATCACAGACTCGGCTGTCAGCCACTTGGTCAAGTCCTGTAACCGCATTCGGTACATCGACTTGGCCTGCTGCAACCGACTGACAGATCATAGTGTGCAACAACTAGCTACCCTGCCCAAGCTGCGAAGAATCGGGCTAGTTAAATGCCAGGCAATTACTGATCAGAGTATACTGGCCTTGGCACGACCCAAGATGACCCATCCTTCAGTCAGCAGCCTGGAGCGAGTGCATCTTAGCTACTGCGTTCAACTGAACAAAGAGGTAAGCTTCCCACCATGTCAAATCCTGAGTTTCGATCATCCATGCTAATTTTCTATCCAGGGCATTCACGCTTTGCTGAACAACTGTCCTCGTCTGACTCACCTCAGTCTGACTGGCGTTCCACCATTCCTACGGCCAGAACTCACCAAGTTCTGCCGAGAGGCGCCTAAGGAATTCACACAACAGCAACGGGACGTCTTCTGTGTCTTCAGTGGCGACGGTGTCAATCGACTTCGGGACTTCTTGAACCGGTACGAGTCATCACCGCATGAAGAAACCGAAGCCACGATGTACGATGACGATGAAGAACTCGATGAAGACGAGGGCCAAATGACTGGGTTGATGAATGCAACCGTAATCAACGATGGAGACGATGATTACATCGACGTTGGGCCAATGAATACGTGATACGATACCCCCCTTTGCAGTCGAAAATGAGTCTCACATTTTCCTTTTCAATTCGCTGTGTCTTTACCTGCGATTCCTCGGAATCCATCGGGAAGTCATATTTCTACTCATATGAACGAAGATTACCCTGTCTTATTCGGTGTCTGTGTTATTGTGCGAAATGCATCGTGTACTAGCGGTTACGGTCTTGGATTATTCTTGTCATATTGAATTGCATAGCATTTGAGCAATCAATTCTGTTTAGCCCTCACTGTCAACTATGCAATGGTCAATTCCGGTACTTTTACGGAATATGATCTGCGAGGAGGAACCCTTAGATCTCTGTAAGAGCTATCACAAGGCCACAACAATAGTAATGAAAAGCGCAAATTGCGCTTACACTCCACGCTGGTCCCCGAAGTCGAACTTGATAGAGTAACTTACAAACATACCGTAATAACAATACCACCAAGCTCCCCCCGCACCTTTCTCCAACTGTAACCTCTCCCATCCCCTCGAGCAGAACAGGGCCATGGCTTCCTACAAAGCCAACCCGCTGGCGTTCACGCCGTGGCCGGTGACAATACTCACCACTGCCGTATACCTCGCCCTGATCATCCCCCTGCTGGTAATCCATCACAACGTCCCCCCAGCGCCCCAGACCAACCCCAACGGCCTCAATCTCACAGAAGCATGGCAAGACCTCCAAAGCCTGACGAAAGGTTTCCATCCCTACAACTCCCACCAGAACGATGAGGTCCGCTCATGGCTGCTAGAGCGCATCTACGCGATCAAGCAAGCCGCCGCGTCACCCGAGGAATTCAATGACGCGAAGGAGGAGAAGCCTGACGTATTCGTTTTCGACGATCTAGTCTCCAACCTAACCTTCATCGACAACCAAGTCGGCGTTTACTTCGAGGGCACCAATATCCTCGTCTACATCCGCGGCTGGGAAGATAAGAAAGGGAATTGGTGGGAGACGCCCAGTCGAGCGCCCGTCGGCAAAGGTGGCGTGCTCGTCAATGCACACTACGATAGTGTCTCGACGGGTTACGGAGCTACAGATGATGGCGTTGGAGTTGTGACTTGTCTGCAACTGGTGAAATATTTCCTCACGCCGGGCCACGCGCCGCGGCGCGGTTTGGTGGTTCTCTTCAATAATGGCGAGGAGGACTATTTGAATGGGGCGCGCGCTTATAGCCAGCATCCTATGGCGAAGTTTGCGCATACTTTCCTCAATCTGGAGGGTGCCGGTGCTGGTGGTCGCGCTACATTGTTCCGCAGCTCGGATACTGAGGTCACCCAGGCGTATGCGAAATCGGAGCATCCGTTCGGCTCGGTGTTGAGTGCCAATGGGTTTGAGAAGGGGCTTATTAGCAGCCAGACGGATTATGTTGTTCTTGATGGTATCTTGGGCCTGCGTGGACTTGATGTTGCTTTCTTTGAGCCCAGAGCTCGTTATCATACTGATCAGGATGATGCGCGACATACCAGCTTGGATTCCCTTTGGCATATGCTCTCTGCGGCTGCTGCTACTACGGAGGCTCTTGTTTCTGACTCGACTGATCGATTTGATGGACACGTTCACGACGATGGGAATGTGCCGAGTGGTTCGGGTACTCAGGCTGTGTGGTTCGATCTGTTTGGAAGCGCTTTCGCTGTGTTCCGCCTTCACACTCTGTTTGCTCTGTCGGTGACTCTGCTGATTGTGGCGCCTTTGACATTGCTCGTGACCAGTGTGATTCTGTCCAAGGTTGACAAGATGTATTTGTTCCGCTCATCGGTGTACTCTGAGATTGGCGATGAGAACATCTCGCTGCGGGGTCTGCGAGGCTTCTTCCGCTTCCCATTCCTGCTTTTCATTCCTACGGCTGTGGCTGTGGGATTGGCTTACATGATGACAAAGGTCAACCCGTTCATTGCTCACAGCAGCTCGTACGCCGTGTGGAGCATGATGATCTCGGCTTGGTTCTTTTTAGCATGGTTCGTATCTCGCGTTGCGGACTTCGCACGCCCATCGGCTTTCCATCGTGTCTATACTTGGACCTGGATGTTTGTCCTCACATGGTCTATGATGGTTGTCGCCACTGTTTATGAGCATGAGGAGGGTCTCGCTGGAGGCTACTTTATCTTCTTCTATTTCGCGGGCACATTTTTGGCGACTTGGATCTCTTACCTGGAGCTATTCGCTCTGCCACCAAAGTCAGAGTATGTTGGCCAATTCATCCAAGGATCACGGCGGCCCAGTAGCCGTGGAAGTCGTCTTGGTGCCTCAGTCGACGAGAATGAGGACGATGACGCCGAGGAAGAGCCGACTGAGTCAACGTCGCTATTGCATGGTCATCACCGCACTACATTTGCCAACTACGTCCATGTTGCGGGCGATCACACATCCCATGAACTAGATGACGAGGATGAATACAAAGACCCCAACGTGTATGGACATGAACAGTCTTGGAGCGGCAGAATGCCGCGATGGACGTGGCTCTTGCAGCTGCTCTTAACGGTCCCTGTGATCCTGATGCTGATAGTCCCCTTGGCTCTCCTGATCACGGCCGCACTCAACCAGACTGGCCAGGATGGAAGCCCCCAGCTCATCGTCTATATCTTCATCGCCAGTCTTACTTCGCTTCTTTTCGCCCCAACGCTTCCCGTAATCCACCGATACACTTACCACATCCCGATCTTCATGCTGTTTGTCTTCTTCGGCACTCTGATCTACAACCTCGTTGCCTTCCCATTCGCAGACTCGAATCGTCTAAAGCTGTTCTTCCTCCAGGAAGTCGATCTAGATAACGGAATTTCCACTGCCTCCTTGACCGGCATGCCTCCGTATGTCCGGGACGTAACCTACGGTCTCCCAAGCGCAGCAGGTCAAGATGAGACATGTGAATGGATATACAGAGGTAAAAACCACGTTCAGCGCTGCTCTTGGGATGCACCAATACCGCACGTCATCCCCGATGCCAAAGCTGTATCCGTTGATCATATTGAGAATACCGACACTCTCCTGAAAGCCACCGAACTTTCTTCCGACTGGATCTCCTTCAGTATCTCCCAACCTCAACCAAACAGCCCCTCCGCCCGCTTCGAAGTCTCAGGCCAAAACACCCGTGCTTGCCGTATCAACATGGACGGCAACTTCATCAAAAACTTCAGTGTCCACGGCTCTTCCGCTCCAGACCGCCGATTCCTCAACCCATCTCGGGACGGCTTAAACCGTATCCAGCTCTGGAGTCGCACATGGGATAACAAGTGGACGGTTGACATCAACTTTACGGAGCATGACTCAACAGAGACCGATGAAGCGGTTGATGAGACTCCTATCACGGGCCGTATCACCTGTCTATGGAGTGATAATAACCAGATCGGTCTCATTCCCGCTCTAGATGAGGTGCGGCAGTTTAGTCCGGCTTGGGTTGCTGTGACTAAGTTCTCTGATGGATTGATTGAGGGGTCTCGGGCGTTTGAGATTAAGCGTTCCAGTTTGGGGGTTGTTGGATCTTAATGCAGACAGTGGACTCAAATGATTATGTTATGTTAGGTTTATTTGAATGTATACGTTGTGCCATATGGGTTTCAAGCGCTACCGCTTATTAACAGGATGACGACCACGATTACTTGTAGTTTTGAAGAAAAGGATGCACTTCAGAAGACACATCTGGTCTTATTTGTTGAGGGCAATGTTAGAAGGACCCCATCTTGTTGATATTCGGACCCCCTCTCCACCTAAGCCTGATTTGGGAAGGCTTAGTATGTGTATTTCACGGTGCCTTTTTTTAGTACAGTGACATAGCAAATATTTTAACACTATTGAACAGACCGTTTTCTAGACCGTTTTCTAGACCGATTTTTAGACCCCCTATCATAAACCGAAGAGTAAGTCTATATTATCTTACTTTCTAAACGTTTTTGCTTTAGCGAGTGCTTTTTATAGAAGATAAGATTTAACTGTCACGGTGTGGCGTCTAGGATGCGCACGCGTACAATTTTGCGTACTAAGTAGTATATATATCGGTCCTAGGCATATCAGCCGTCAAGCTGACATAGTGGTCTTTTTGGCCTAGTTAGTATACGTGTATTGACCTAGGTGTAAGTCTTCACGCACCCTACGAGGCCTATTGTCTTCCTCTACGCCCTTTTGTTCATTTTTACTAAGGAAATACACTATGAAATACACATACTAAGCCTTCCCTAATTAGGCTTAGACAGGTGGAGAGGGGGTCCTTTTAACATTGCCCTTTGTTTATTATTTGCAATCGAATGTCTTGGGTTTCGCTTTGCGATGTATTCCAATTTGGTATCAACTCCGTATATCTAAGTCAGATTCGAGGTCTTCCTCAAACACATGACCCTATAGCCTACGGGGATTTCTAACATATTCAAGGGATGCTCCTCGTACATCACATTCTGTAAGAACCCGGATTGATCTTAGACATAGATAGGGTAAATGCCTACTTGACTTGTGATTACTCTTCAGGGAACCCAAAATTTAGTCTGCATCGAGACAAGCTTGCTGTCGTCCAGATGCGCAATTTCGGTGTCATTCCAATACTCACTGGGATGCAAAGTTCATAGTAAAAACAGGCCATCCCGTAAAAATACGGGAGTGGGAGAAGGCGGAGGGGGCAGAAACCCTAATTGAAGACGTCACTTTGGCTATTATGCCATACTACCACAGTGAGATATGGGTACAGAGTCTACGGACAGCTATCTTTCTTCTGGCCTAGTCCAGCGGGCACATAGTTGTCATTCTAGACTGGCAATGCATTGCTTCTGTTGACCGACATGTTGCTCCATCCCGCCAGACTGTGATTTTTCTACCCTTTCCTGTCTTTGACTACCCTCCTTGTGATACAGTATCGACATATCCTATGCTGATTTCTCTTCCTTTTAACTAACCTTAAGAAACAAGAGTAATTCCCTTTACTGGGAGAAGCTAATGGAACCTTCTTCGTCATTCAAGCATAACAAATTCAGCCAGTAATATCATTATGGTCATGGTTCTCCGTGTGACAGTCTCTAGGTGAAAGAACTATTTTAGGCAATACAAATTTCTCCGGAACGACACACAAAAGGGAAAGGATGTAAAGATAACGACCAGCGTGAAGAGAGGCAAGACCACATAAGAAGACCTCAGCGATTCACAATCAGATGATTCTTTTGTTCGGGGTTGCTCATAGGTTGCCCCAAAGCAGCCAGCCGGGCCAGGTACCAACAGCATTGGTTTACCGAAACATCGGTGGTCTTGTTATTGTCAATAACGCATGAATATTCCAGTCTCTATGATCCCTAGATCTAGATGTGACGTAAGAAGATTGTCTGGTCATATGTTGAGTGAAACCTAAAAGGAACTTTCAGGTCAATCATGTACTCCACGACTTGGCCAATTATCGCACGCAAATAGTTCAAATCGTGATATTTTTCGCCTAGTTCGCGGGCTTCAATCCAGGGGACTTTCAGTTCGCCCACAGCCTTCAGTGTAACTGGAGTACCGCGGGACACGATCGCCATATCTGGGGTCTTCTCGTATTGACGGCCAGCCGACTTAAAGTCGGCGAAGCGAATGTCCACACCTCGTGCTTCAGACCGCCAGGTGTAGGCCCAGACCGACGCTCACGGTACGACACATTTGAAAAAGACCCTGCCTGGCGAGTACCCGGAGGGACGGGGATATTGTTGGTCCCGGGCTGGGCCTGCTGGACAGGGCCACGAGACTGCGGGTTGGTGCTGTCGGGTTGGGCCTACTGGGAGGCGCCACGACGTTGTCGCGCAGAGTCGCCAAGGAAGTCCTCCTCGTCGGACGAGGCGGAAGGAAGATAAGGCATGTTCTGAATAAGGCAGTTAGCAAATATAAGATTAGAGACGATCTCCCCAAGGAAGGGGATAAATGAGATGCCTTAGACGTCTCAGAACTGAGCATCTCTAGCATCTTAGACGCCTTAGTGAGGAAGCATTAGATGCCTTAGCCGTTGATGCAGTATCTTAGGAAACAGTGAGAAAAGGGACACTTACTATGGTTGTAAGCGTATCGGGTGGGTGAAAGAAGAGGAAGGATTGTGGAGCATGAAAAGGACCCTTTTATAGGCAGCAAGTCTGATAGCAATTGCTATTAACAAACAAAACGTCCTACTTAGCCCTACCGAAATACCCCATAAAAGCTTATCGGAACGACCCTTCTATTACACTAATCACATGCTTCCTAGCCATTACCACTACCACGTGGATATGCCATCTTATACTAGAATAACCTAGTCGACGTTGGATACCTTTTCCTATACAGGGATTTCCCTCCCAAGGACGGAGGTTTTTGCCCTATATGGTTTTAATAGACCAACGCAGTCGATAGGAATGACCCATTCCGCTACAAGACCCCAGGTACGTGGTCTCTAAGGGGGGGATATTGTCAGGACCACTACCTGACCACGGAGGTCTATCGCGCCTAAGGCATGAAAGATGCCTCAGGACGCATAGAGAAAGGATGATCCAGGACCTCACCGCCTAGAATGGGCCAGTTCGTGTATATAAGCATCCCCGCTGGTCCGATTAGACGGACCAGCGTTCAGTCTCTTCATACAATACACCATATTGTACTGCACGCATAACTGGGCCATCTACCTCGCTTACCTACCTAAACCTAGAGACTGCGTGGTCTCACAATTCTGAACGCGATCAGCCCGCATAATATGACCCCTTTTGTGTATTATTGTGCTGTATTAATATCGGTGCTATCTAATAAGAATAAGTAAGAATAGTATACACAAGTCAAAGAACCTCCATGCCTCCCTCCACTGCTGGATCAACTGGCCCCTCACTGCCGATCCCCACTCGTCAACCCCCAGCCCGAGGTCCATCTCCAGCACCATACCACCACCACCACCACACCACCATCACCGCCATCTTGCCCCCTCTCACGCCTCCACCTCCTAAATCTCCTCCTCGCCCGACGCCCAACGTCCCCCAACGAAACCACCCCGACCACGACTCCAAGGACAACGCCGAAGTAATTAAGGGCTTCGGGAACCATCGTTCTGTATAGTGTAAGTCAACAAAAAAGAATGAGGTCCCAGCTTCTAGAATCTCGGAAGCCACTCGGCCATAGACATTGTCCCACGTCAAGCTCAGCATCAACGAGATGCATCTCATGTTGAACCTATTTTGCCTGAGGAAGCGTGGAGAAGATTGTGTCGGTCAATGCAGAATTCATACACCCTCTCGGTTCCTAAACCGTCAACATCATCGGGCTCTTACGCAGCTCGTCATCACAGATCAAGAATGGCAATACATTTACCGATGGTATAATGCTTGCTACACTGATACATCACGTGTCCCATCAACCTTCTATTAGCTTGACAGATTCCTAGGACAGGTAACGGGAAGAAAAGCGGGGGAAGCTTAAGATGTAAATCCTATAATATAGATACTCGTTAGAACGATAGCAAGGCGCTCTCGTGGCTTCTTCGGCAGTTGATATTTAATGGTTATATCCTACGTAAAACACCTTTACTTGTTAGATAAAATAATATTGAGGACATCTAAGCGATCTTACGTTTGCTATATCTTGCTTAACCTACTTCGACAGAGATCGAGAGGTCTTTCGGTTCTATCTTAAAGTAAAGTTAATAAACTTCCAAAACGCAGACTTATATAGGGATAGGGTTTTTCTTATTGCAAAATAGTCATCCGTAAAAGGTTTTATAAGATATAGGATAGAATTAGGTTTATCTTTAAAAAAAGGGAATTCCTATAAGGACCCCATTTCTTGACGAATGGACCCCCCTGCACCTGTCTAACCCTAATTAGCAAGGCGCCGTTATTGTATTTCATGAAGCATTATTCGGTAAAAATGCATGCATTTCTTGGCAATGCTAATGCGCTGAGAATCGGCGGTCATGGATCCGAGGTACTTCTATTTACTATGCAGCCCCCTAGTAAAATTAAGTCACCTTCGTACTCTACCATCGACTATGCCAATTTCAATATGGGCTGATTAGCCATTTCTAAGCGATAAAATAATTAGAGAAATTCGTGGCTGCCATAGTGGTGGTGTTGTGGCCGGATTAAGTGGTAAGATGCATGAAGCCGAAGACTTGACGCCTGGCGATACCCTAATTACTGCATAATCAATGGGTAGCTCTCCTAGTTAGGGCTAGTGCGATGCTGGAAGCATGGTCGGTAGTGCGAGATGTACGAGAAAGCGACTTGTTTTTACTAGGGGTTTATATAGTTAAAGTAGGTACTTAGCGGGTATATTGACACTCATGAGACCTCCGGTCCTCGGTGCATTAGCATGGCCAAGAAATGCATGCATTAAATACAATAACGGCGCCTTGCTAATTAGGGTTAGACAGGTGCAGGGGGGTCCATTCGTCAAGAAATGGGGTCCTTATAGGAATGCCCTAAAAAAATTGGCACCTAGGAATTCTTCACACGTGAGCTAATAAGCAATTGGCTATCCAATGCTGACCTCGCCTTGTATGCTTTACTGTCATGTTGAATGACAAAAGAAAAGCACCAAATACTACTTAAGGAATTTGCGACAGTTGCAATTCCAGCTCTTGCTCGGCCATTCACGCTTACCCAGATTGCGGTTCAAGGTAATTTCCAGTGGTCCTTCGTCATTCACATCCCAACTAAACCATTGACAGGGCTTCCAATCCATTTTGAAGCCGAAAGGATTCCAGGCTTCAAGGAAAAATCGGGTAACCCACTTTCCAGTGTTTTCACGCACACATATATCACGCCGCGTGTTCCAGAAGTTTTCCAGCTGCGAAGGGGTCGACTTTGTGAAATCGAATAGAAAACGGGTACGCACGCGTAAGCTCTGGTCCTGGCAGCCGAATGAGATCGAGACGTTGACGTAAACCTGTGCGATGGGATTTTCATTGAAGGTACACGTGTGTAGTAACATCTCCATGCATTTGCAGCTGCGATTTGTCAGGTGTTGCACACCACATTTAGAATCGCGGGGCAGATCATGGAATAGAGAGATCAGTTGTAGCTTGTGGTGTATGTTGAGTTGGCTACAAGGGCACATATCAAATTCACCAGCGTACGGCAAATAGCACTTCCGACTACCAAGTGTGTGGCAGCCATAGGAGCACACCTTATGGTCCAGTCTCCAGAAAGGTTGGATTTTCCAAACAGAGCGTGGATGAAGCATCCAGCATTGAGCGCAAAATTTCCAACGGGAATTTTGGATTCGACGAAGTAGCAAGACTCTAGCCCAGGGGATGATTTTCACGCCTAAGAACATCGGCTGTGGTGGCACAGGCATCGTCCTTCCCCGTATCCTAAGGAGTTCGATGTAATAGGCAAGCGTGAATTTACAACTCAGCGCAAGGCAAATCACATCCACGATCGACATGATCACAAACAACCTGCCTATGATTTTAGGGGAGATCTTCGGCCATGTGCGTTTCGGGGGAAGGTTGCTTAGGATAAAATAAGGTCGGCTTGGGGAGCGCTGTCGATCCATTCTGAATATCTTCGGAGATGTGAAGAGTGGAAATATTCCCTTAGTCCTAAGTAATGATTTAACTCTCAACCCTGACGTTGATATTTATCATCGACTAGATTTTGGGTTTAGGTAGAGGAACATTCCAAGGTTATATAGCTAGTCCAGTGGGCACATAGTTGTCATTCTAGACTGGCAATGCATTGCTTCTGTTGACCATATAACTTCGAGTGTGCGCTGCCAGTAGCGTGTTATCGATCTTCGGTAAATGACTGCCTTTGGCGCTTGATTTCCACTCTTACTCCCACTAAGCGCGGATCTCACCGCGAATGTACGCGTTCTCCCTCGTCAGGAGCAGACGGAAGGGGTCTTGTCTAGGCGCGCAGCTTCCCGAGCTAATCTGTTTGCCGCGTCGTTCCCTCGGTCATCACAATATCCTGGTATCCATTGGAGACGAAGCGCGATGCTCGTTGCGTGGACTTCTGTGGCCGCTGAGAGGATCGCGTGGACGAACCGCTGTCCTGAGTTATTGCTTGCTTTCTGAATTGACCGCAGGCTGACTTGCTATCACATAGAATCGTCGCCGTCATTGGACCTCTATACGCGTCCCTTTAGCGTTGGTGAGCCAATCTGAACCCATATTGATAGCGTAAAGGATGCCTATGAGCTCTGCTATGTGGACCGACCAGCGGTCCATCTGTCCCAGTTGAATCTGTTCAGACACCATGGCCTCCTGGTTTTCATCGAGTGAGACCACGGCTGCGCCCAGATGATCCTCACGACCCGAAGCATCCGAATACACAATCACATCGGACGTGAACTGTACGGTCTCTGCCCGTTCCTTCGCAATTTCAATCTCTGTATTGGTGATGGGTCTCTGAATCTTTCTTCGAGGACGCAGATATTACTAAAACAAATGAACAGTGATGTTTTTACAGCCCTGTTCAAGGCAGACACCCGTGTGGGGAAGATTGATGTTCCATAGGGCAAAGAAGTGGAGTAGAGCAATGCACAGGGTGGCTTATTATGCAGCTATAACTATAGACAGGATAATGTCTGCCAGGTGGGACTTTTCTGTCTTGGCTGCTGTACCCAAAGGGGGGCTTGTACAGGGCATAAATAATACAAGAAGGCGTTATATTCAATTTAATCCTTTAATGGACCATATGGATACTCTGGAGTTTCAAAACGCGTTACGTATGCCTCTGGCCATCGCCGCTTCAACCTGGCAAATCACCCCAAATCTTCGAGGAAGATACCAATATCCAAGTGTCCCATATCGTAATCGCAATGATGTTTAAGTAGCAGCCATACACTGAAAATATATGAGAGACATAATCATCTTTTCCGACTCCACGCAAAGCCATATCAGGATCACCCCTTCACGAACTGGTGCATCTCATTCATAGCGCGTCACAAACTGGTTTAGGAGCAGGAGGAGCAGGAGGAGCAGGATTGACAGGGTTGGGTTTGACATAGGGCGTCCCACGGTGATTGCACACGTACGCGCTCGAGCACCACTTGCCGTCGTCGAGCTTATACAGCTTATCCCAGTGGTAAGAATAACACTTGAGGGGACGATTCATCTCATACGTGTGCCAGGCGTCTCCAGCAGCAATCGGGTCCTTGATGCTGGGATTGATATGAACCTGGAAAACGTCGCCATTCGGCATCCTCGCGGACACACCACCGGCTTGACCCCAGGGGTATGACCCGCTCCAGGGTACATTGACCATCATTGTGGGCCTGTACGTTTCGAGGCCGTTGCCTGTCCAGATATCGCCTGGATAGTAGATCATTTCACGTGAGGTCGAACCGCCATTGACACCGAGGCCGATACCACAATCGGCTAGGACGAGGTTTTCGGACGGGGTTCTCTGGGAGAGTGAAAATGGCAGTGAGGAGAGGAGAAGCGATATTAAGATCGTTAAAGGGCGTAGTTGTAGTTGATGTATGTGCATGGTGATATTGTGAGAGAGTCGGAGTGGCTTTAACAATCAACGATGGGTATGGTATAGTTATTATGGAAGGGCTGTTTGTGATCGATTTATAAACTTCCCAACACAGGTGGTATACATTAATATTTTCTCGGATATCAGCTGAGGCATTGCCCAGCCTGGGCAATGCTTACATGCATTTGGTCCTTGCATCGACCCGACCCGAGTCCCTATCGGTTATTTCGACCTCCTCCGTTTCGGCAAGCCAAGCTCTTAGCTTGTTTTCCCCGTAAACATCTTAATCTTCAGCTAGCGATTGTCTGGAGTTGATGGTGCCAAGAGTTATACTCTGCTCATCTTATGTATAAGTCTCGACTCCGCCACCGCTGCTCCAGCCGGCTATTTGCTCCAGCCGGCTATTCCGATCTGACCTTCTACATCACCGTCACTGAGGGATATGCGGTCATTGCATGATGAATACGGGATGAAGCAGATCTAGATCCGTCTTCTCTGCTCGTGAGAGCCATCTCAGCCTTCAGCTATACGCGGGGCGCTCTGTGGCTTCGGAACACGTCAGTGTGTTATATGAAAATGCTCAGCTCGCTCGTGTGACCATATTGTTCAAACGAAGAAGGCCATAAACCGAGTCTCCCGCGTCTCAGCAACTATCGCGATAGATACTATATTATTTCCCCCACACGCTGATCTCGTCAACTTCAGACAGACCCCAAAAAAACTGGGATTAGCCATGATGTTCCTCACACTCCCAAGATCGGCCTTACTCGCCTCACTTCTCGGAAACTGCCTGGCGAACCTCCTCACACCATTCGGAACCACTGCCAGTGCGAACGCCATAAAGTTCCAGCCGGCGATTGATTTTGATACAGAAAGTTGCTACAACACAGCCGCTGTCGGCACGGACGGACGAGTGAATGACGGTATCGCGCCATCCGTCGCTCCTCCACCTGTGCCAACCCACTGGCTCTTCACCTCCAATAACACCGAGGAGGAACGCATACTCCCTAACCTGCGCGGCTGCCGTGAAAAGGACCGGCTCGACCATGGCCAAGTCTACGTCCGTGAACGCTGCAACCACGGCTGGTGCGCGTACATGTACGGGTACTATTTCGAAGCTGATCTGGGCTGGCTGGAGGCTCATAAACACGACTGGGAACACATCATCGTCTGGACGCTGAATGATAACATCTTTTTCGTATCGTGGTCCGCGCACGGCAAATACACAACCTACCACCAGTCTGCTGTTCTCTTCGAAGGGACTCATGCGAAGATGGTGTATCACTTGGGCGGGGTGGGAACTCATTCTTTCCGCAAGGCTGAGGCGAAGGATGATCATGTTGAGAACCACACGGGGCAATGGGTCAAATCCCCGCTGGTTTCCCTGGAGAAGCTTGATTGTGATATCGTTAGAAAGCTGCTGAATAACAATTGGGGGAGTGCGGTGCCTGATCTCAAGAAGGACAGGTTTGGGTCGCAGTTGAATGAGTGGATGCCGTTCGATGCGAGGAACAACGAGAAGTATAATCCCTGGGAGCCGGTGGTTCCCTCATGGGCTACGTGAAGTACATAACGATGGCTGGACAGATAACGCATACCATTGGGAATATTGACATTTTCACGGCTCAACTCCTCAGGCTTCATAGGCTATTATAATATCCTCCACCTTTCAAACCTAATGACTGGTTATTACATCGAAGAGGAAAAGGCTTTTGCAGTCTTGTTTGCATTTGTGTACTCACTGGGCTCACTCAGATATATTTAACATCTCCAATACCGCAGATTGAACACCATTTCGTCCCAATTGACTTACTGCTGTAGGCAAAGCAGCTCAAACATCTCTTGTAGTAAATCTCGGAGCTGAGCTCTTGCAAACATATACAGCGAACCCCCGGGGCCCAAACCTAAAGATCCAAATACCATCTGAGCTCAAGTCCTTCGACAACACACCATGAGTGTGACGACACCACAAAGAAATTTGGTTGTATGATGCTTCCAGTTATGGTTACGTGCATATTTCAAGATGCCGAGCGTTTCAGAGGAAAACACTTTGGCTTGGTCACTATCACTCCTCTGATCAACATTGCTGCTCACTTGTGGGTTTGCATACGCCTTTGCAAGGCATATCCCATGTAAACCCAGCGATGCAATTAGAGGAAGCATGCAAATATTCAATGCCAAGGTCGTAAAGACATTACGGCGTAGTAATATCACAGTGTCCTCCATAAGAGCGGTGATGCCATAAGCCCAGGCCAGCCCAAAGCTTGACAAGGGTTGCCAAATCGTGACTATATCCCACAGGAGGACCAGCATTGACTTCAAATATGAATTCAGCCAGCAAACCTGCATAGCCACTTCAAAGAAGTAGGAGACACCGATAGTGAGTGTCATAACGGGACATACTATGTCTTTCAAATTCAGGATCCAATTTTCTGGCTTTGTTATGAACTCGGGAAGAGAAAGATTTGGATAGTAACCTAATTCCATCGACCGGGATACTGGCTTATATACTCGCAACATATGTTGTGTGAAATCTAGAGGTAGGCAAGGTGAATACAGTACCATCATTTATTTGCACTCTGCATATTACCATGGTCACGCAGTTTGACTTAAATTGGTATTTGATTCTATTGCCAATGATGGGTCGTTATTTCCGGGAAAGGGGGGGGAGGGGGAGGGGGTAGATCTGCAAATGAATATACATTTAGGAAGGACAGGCATATAGTTGGTCAAGAGGGATGTAGCGGTGAAGAATAAAAATATTTTAAACAAAAACAGAAGAGGAGATAGTGATGCCGTACTATGAGCGATGATTCCGTCTTGTCAAGACTGTTCTACAAAATTCGTACGACCAGCATAAGAAATGCGCAGGATGGTAATCTTTCCTTCGAGGACCAATTAAAATATTATTGATGTCGAAATCCACCTGACGGAAGGAAGTTAAGTGACAACAGCAGTATGGTGATAGTGTGATGGGAGCCCGGGGGTAGAATATTCGCTGAACTGCGCAGGCACATGATGTCTTGGCTGCTGCTGCTAGGGGGCAAGCAGCTTTTGAGGGTAAGACTGGTATATATTATGATTCGACAACGGAATCTGTCTTTATGAGGGATATTCCGTCGGGGATGTCTGCGGTAACACTGGCAATAGATTCTAGAAAAGCAATCAGCCTGCAGGTCGTCACACGCCGGTTGCCTTATGGGTGGTGAATTTTGGTGTTGTCGGCAGGCAGATTGATGTAGGTATGGGGCTTGCGGCGAATTGATAAATAACTAAAACAATCTTCTTCTGGGAAAAAAAAAAACCTGGAATCCGAGATAATCTATCGACCGTGGAGGGCTTGAACTATGTACTATATAAACCCGTTCATGACGGATGTAGATGAGATCCCGCACAAGGTACGGATCATAGAGCCCATTCTGTCACCATGAACCCCAGAACAAACTGCTCATCACCTGCCGCCACGGTTCGGGCAAACTCAACGAGATCCTGGTCTGGAATATCCAGGTTCCCAGACTCCGTCCCAAAGACTTTGTCCCGCGCCGCCACCAGGCCCTTCATCATAGATTCCCCAGGCGTAACAACGATGAAAGAGTCTTCGACGTCACTCAACATGCAAAGCATGTTTGATGTGGTGGGCGTCAGCCATTCGAAAGGTGTCGAACGATGAATCATGAATCGGAGATCCAGACCCGGGTTCGCCTGGAAGCTGAGAATGTGGGAAGGTTGCTTTGATATCCGAATGGTAGTGAAGTTCTTGGGATTGATGAAGACGTCTCGCGCGGACTCGCACCTCGGTCGACGGGGCAGTTGCAGCTGAGTGAAGAGGAAGTCGGCTTCTCTGACGACGGAAGATTTGTCCTGTGGGTTCTCCACGATCGTGAATGTGGACTCGGTGAGCGTCACCGAAGGGATGCAGGCCCCGTGGTGGGACTTGTCTTCTCGTTGACACGCTGGTGAGCAGAACCGCACCAGGCTGCAGTCTGTAGTCCGTCTCTTTGTCAGCTATATAGGTTCGTGTGTTCTCGCTTCGGAACAAGATGTCGATTGATAGGAAAACGGTGGGAAGGTGACAGCTGTGTGATGTGGACATACCTGAACAAAACCTCAGCGTGGAGTTACTGCAGACCTGTCTCGAGCATTTCTGGGCTGTAGTCAATCCCCATTCCACTTTTTCTTTATCCAGAGCAGCCTGCTTTCGGCTTAATTCCTGCACGGCAGCCTGTGATCCCTCGACCTGGGACCGGGGTAGTAGGGATCGAGCCTGTGGCTGCGAGACAAGCAGACGATATTGCTTCAATGCTTCGCCAGTCTCGCCGAGCCGATCCAATGCGTACGCATATGCGTACAGTGAGCTCCACGTTTCCGGATGGGAGGGTCCCAAGAGAGCCATTCTCTTCCCGTGGAGAGCGCGGTATGTCTCCATGGCTTTTCGGATCAAGCCATTCTTGCCGTAATGATCACCAATGCCCTTGAGGACATTCAGAGACGCCGGCGTGTTCTGCGCCATATATTGCTCAATGACCTGCGTGATGGCGGGAGGAAAGTTGGAGTCCTCATAGTACATGACGAAATTGCACACTGATCCCCAAGTGACGGGATCGTCTAGTCCGAGGACTCGTGTCATAGCAGGGAGGGCTGAACCGAGCAGTGACCGTGCGCGTTCGATAGAGCCTGCTCTGAAATGAAAGGCGGCCAAGTTGTTCAGCGTCAACTGCGTCATCCGATGATCCGGTCCTACTACCTGGGTATACCCAGTATAGGCCTCTTCAATGAATCGCAAGGCGTCCGGATTCTTCCCCATCTTCCAGTACACGGTCGAGAGCTCCTGTATGTTCATGAGGGCATCCTCCTTCTCACCGGCATTGATTCGCCCCCTTAGCGAGCGGCGATATAGCGCTGCCGCATCATCCAGTCGGCCGATATCCTCATAGTAGATGGCTAGGTTCGTCATCATGGTAAAGTTATTCACGCTTTTCAGGCCATACAATCTCTGACTGCACCGAAGGCCCTGCATATACATTCCTGCGGCATTCGACATGTTGCCGTTTTTCTTGTACACGTTACTGGCAAGATGGACGAGCAGTATAAATTGTAGCTGTTCGTCACCGTAAAGTGCCCGCATGGCCCGAAACATCTCTGTATATGCCCGTTCGGCATCCCCTATGCGTCCCCGGGCCAGGGCTGCCTCTCCACGTCTCCCAAGCGCCATTCGGACGACATCGAGTGATCCGCGCGGGGGGCCAATTGCATGACAAGTAATCCTGCTTAAATCCTGCCCGGTTATCAATCTCGGTCGCCCGACATGGTCCCGCGCCAGGATCCGTGAAGGGGATCCATAGCCGAGAACTGGAAGACCAGACAAAGCCTTGATTTCGCTGTTCGTGAATGCAGCCTGTTTTTGCTCATTATTGAACCAGGCGTGAAGCTTCTCGAGGTAAGTCTTACTGGGAACCTCGGCGGCGGTGAATTCACTGATTATGCTCTCCAATCCAGCTATGTTCTCAACAAAGTTGTGTTTTGCATAATCTGCTATCTCGCCCATGAGACTTTCAAAACGAGCTTGGAGCTCTTCTGGGCTCAACCTGTTGGGAGGACTCGATATTCGAGATTGACTATTTCCATGGGTCCGCTGGTCCCCTGCGGCATGCATTTCAACGTGTTGACTTCGATCGTGTGTCAGAACCCAGTCAGAACGGCTATGGAGATAGAAGAGCTGCCATTCCATATGCTCCTGTACATCAATATTACCCAAGCCTCGAACAGAGCTCACATTTGGGCTGTTCCCGAGTGATGTACGTTGTGACTGAGGGGAGGGAGACCGGAAGGTGTCTTCGCTTCGTCCTGCCAAATGTCAGCATTAATACACAAATGATTTTTGGGTGG